AGATGACGATCATGTCGACGGTTTGCTGCTGCCAATTGAGTCGGACCAAGCCAACAAAGCCTCAATGTTTACTTGAACCACTGAAGAGTTCCCCGTCGCCGGAGACTCGGATGTGAAAAAGACCTCGGCATGTGGCGAATCTGCAATTTTGAACAAGTTGTCGAGTGTCGTTGGTAGAAGATGGTTCGAGGCTACCAGACAGCTATGTGACTGTTGAGACTCATGCCGTGACGGACACTTCCCTTCGGATTCACTATCGCTGACATCCGGCCGGTTCTTCTCTTGTCGACGATCCTGCAAAGCACTTGGACCCAGCCAACCAGCCTTGAGTGGTGCCTGCGACCAGTGGGATCGGAACAATTCTCGCCTGCATCGTTGTCACGCATACTGAACTTCCTTTGACGCTTTCAAGGACCGTCCTCCCCTGTTCCTCAACTCCATCGACAATAACTTGGCATTGGCTTGCGTCATGAGCCCAACACCATCTTTATACCGGCGTTTTGTATCTCGCAAGCAGTCGGGACAAGGATGGCATCTCGCCGCATGTTCAGCGAAGCCAGTAGACAGGAATGAATGACCAGATTTCGATGTTGGACATTAGCCTTTTTCTGAGCCGAACATGCCGCGGTGACATGGCCATTGCTGCCCGTTTCCTCTGTCCACGCAGGGTACATTTCGATGGAAGCCCTCGTGACACTCTCATCAACATCATACCCGCCAAGCTGTGCTCCCAAGGAAGTACTGATACCGAGACAGGTGCTATGCACACTGTCGCAGTACGCTGGTTGGTGCCAAGGGCTCCAGACCCCGCCCTGCCGCCGTAGTTGACCGGCATTGTGCTCAGATTGACATCGTTGCCTGAACAGCCACGGCCTGGAGGTCATTGAATTCTCGTGTCGAAGAAGCAGCCGGTGTCTGTTCGGGGACTTAGGCCATCCTTCTCGTGGTCTATGGTTTGACTTCACCAGACTGTTGCCCACCGTTCAGAGTCAACCCACCACGGCATTTGCAGGCAGTTCGGACCCTTATCCCTCGCACTGGGCCGACAGGAAACCGTGTGCGACAACTGCTGCATCCGCAAACACGGCCTAGTGGCATACCCGTCAATCGTTTCTCAAACCACATTCGTGCGACCGCTAGCGTAAGCCGATTGGTGCTTAGAGCACGGGGAGAAACAAGATCACCATGACAGGCCAGTGGAGGCTGTGACAGCGTCGGCGGTCTGTATTCAGCCTCGAGCGACCGGCTGCGATTGGGAATGACGTGGACATGCGATCCGATGCCTCCATCACGCAATGCTCAAAGGACGCCCTGGGCCCTTCATTCTCGTTCTCGAGTGACGAACCTCTGAATGCGAGCATTGGTTTCGTGAGGCAAGGTCGTCGCTGACGGATTTGCTGCTAGTATTCGCTTACCTCTCTTATAAACGAGGCCGGAGAAGCTCGCCATGAAGTCCTTGGTGAGCAGAAGGCATCAGCGACGTTTCACATCGATAGCTCGATACGCCACCCATACGAATGCTCAATGACAGTAGATTCGGATAATCGATTGCATTTTCGTTGATGGCATTTTGCGTTGGATCCAATAACTCCCACCAAGCAAGGCAAGCATCGGGTCTCGCAATGGCAGTTGGATCACACCAATGATCTTTGGATGTTGATCTCTTGATTGTCGGACCTGAAGGCGAAAGCTGAACGCATGTACAAATGAAGCTGCGTGTAGCTCCCCGCAAAGCGTAAATGCTGCCCACGTTCATGTTCGGCTGGGTGCAAGGGAACGGGAACGGGCGTACAGTGTTGATCACTGCTGAGTATTCCACACTGCATGTGCGCTCTCACTTCGACTTTCTGTTTCAGCATCATCCAGAGGGTAGCATTTGGGCCCCGAACTCCGATGGTCCTCGTGCCAGAGCTTTGGAGTAAATGTGATAAAGATCTACCGGTAATACTGGTTGACTACCGTTGCCTCCATCACGAACTTGCCTTGCGGTGTCGAAGACGACGGGATGACGCGATTGTCAAACGCGTCGCTCGCGTTGCGACAGAAAGTTAACGCGATGATCCATCCTGTTGCGGATCTGAGAACAACGACGAAATCTCTGCAGATGCACTTATCGCGCGCGTTCGGTCATGCCCTCGCAGCCTCCCAAGGCCAACAGACCCCACGTCATTCATCGCCCTTCAAGTATCCCTGATACCAGCGGCTGTCAGTATTACCTATTCCACCTACACCGTCAAGCACTGACCCGTCACTACCAGTCTACAATCACCAAACACGACGCGCATGCGACGACGACGACGGCCCGACAACGATTGACGAGTCCCCAGCGATAAACGACGCCCCAAGCAAGCTAACACCAGCGACGCAAGTGCCTTCCACGAACAAGCGAACAAACGACCAAAGGCGATAGCGACCGAGCGACCAACGACTACAGTGAACGACGACGATCACGAAACACAGCGACGACCCAATCATCACCGCCCCCGATGTTGATCCGAACGCACGACGACCGACCGACTACGATACGAATTACGACATCGACGATCCTCTGCAACTACGACGGACAGATCTCCAATGCAGTTACATGCTTTACACATCTCTACATGGTCAACAATCCCACCACATGCCATTGGGTCATCGTGGGAAGGGCGAGTCGCATTGGCAGTGGGCTGTCGGCTGTGAAATGTTTTCCTTGCTCTCCTGTCGACAGTTCAGCTTGCCCTCACTGATGCGTGCCATGTAGCTTGTGGCTGCAAAGGTAGCTGCCCTGACGACTGTCTTCATTACTGTTCGAGAGGGTTTGCTGCTTTCACCATCAAGACGACCCGGCCCAACTTCTCAGCACACAAGAGCGGCAGGCCCTCCTGTATATGGCATTGGAGACAGCCATCGGGATAATGAACTCTCCAGCCACAAGCGACAGGAAGGCATATGTGAGTGCAAAGCAAGGCTTTGGATGGATATATGTCGTATGTTTCACAAATGTCATATCTCAATCTCTAGCCTTTTGAGGTCGTGTTAGATGTCAAGAGGAAGGGTAGCAACAAGCTAGCGCACAGCGATAAAACTGGTTGGCTACATACAGGGCTGACGTCCTTGCCGTTTACGCCGTATTCTTTGCCTGGCATCAGTGTCTGTTCGAGATCTCGGCGCCTGCTTCGCTACACTACTCGAGAAAATTGAACTGGCCGGTCTTGAGTCTCTAATTTCCTGAATCATTACGACCACCTCGATGCCTTTCGGTACGAGCAAATCGTCTGCTCCTCAAGGCAACCACCAGGTCTACTGACGGTGCTCTTACCCGAGCAAGGGGAGGCAAGAAAATTTGAGACCTTTCTCCTCCGTGGTGAAAAGATTTAGGCAATCTTGTCTAAATGTAGGGAATTTTTACTGGGTTTATTATATCACTCTCTTCTAAAGTCTCGTGTTTTCTTGCTCCATGAGGTCGAGAAAGCATGAGCCAACGTCTCTGCCTGCGCGAGCATGATTTCGCCTTCCACTGTCACCAACCTTGATCAAGATGAGCACGGATCTTGCTCTTTTGCGCCAGCTTCGCGGCCATCCCGTTTTGCGAATATGATGCAATTGAGTATTGATAAAATACACTATGTTTCTTTCATATCAAGACCCCGAAGTGATTCCCATTCGTCTTCCGTCATTCCAAACTCGATCAGATCGTACCACTTGCGGTTCATCCAAACAGTCTGCCGTCTTCTGCCTTCCAGCTTGAAGCCAATACTCTCGTAAAGATGTACTCCTCGAGGGTTGTAATCGGTAGTAGTAATACCAATTGTATGCAGGCCAGCGTGTCGGAAGCCCCAGTCCACCATCCAGTTGATGGCTTCTCTACCGTAGCCCTTGCCCTGATGCTCTTTAACAAGAGAGATGCCAATCTCGGCAGTCCGATGATGGGCAACTGTGGGTGAGATGCCTCCCCAGCCGATGCACATGACGCCAATGATGGTTCGAGGCTTCTTATCTTTGTCTTCTGTCTTGTCGTTGTCGGCATCATCTCTAAGATATATAGCGACACCGAGCAAAGAATTGACAACCGACTCTATATATGAGTCGACCTCCTTGGGCCCCTTTGGCAAGAGCATGGTGGGTGCTGAAAGGGCCTGGATGACAGGATCTTGGAGGATGGTGAGAGCGATCTTTTTAAGGTTTTCATCGGTCTTGTCGGCTCGGACGTACTCGAGTCGCTTTGACTGGTAAGCATTGGCGATGTGCTCTGTTGAGTAGTCCATGATAAGTGATGTGTTTGAAGAGTGCGTGCAATGATTTGATAAAGTGGTGATGTAATTGACTGATGGTTTGGTCAGTTACTGGTATTGCAGTTTTTGTAGTCGGATGAGGCTCTTGAGTGCCCAGCCACCTTTGACGCTATTCCCGAGTCGGGCGCCGGATGAGTCATTGGCCGCTTTACGTTCGCTCACTCGCATTCCCTTTTTGGCAGTTATCGAACGCGCAACGATTAGTCTAGTTGCCCTTTTGTTAGACAATTGCTTAGTGGTAGCCACCTTCAGCAAGGATTGTTGTCGCGGGCAATTGTAAGTGTAGCTTTTAGTGCATACTGCCTCAACTGGGCTTCTGTGAGTGCTAGTTTGAGCTGATAGAGCTAGGGAGCAAGAAAACACAAGACCTAAGTTTAGGGTAATAAAATAAAAGGTATCCTAAGCTTAACCTAAATTTATATTAAGTTACCCAAATCTTTTTATCAGTCAGGCTTAAAGTCTGTAGCCAGACAAATGACACCGCGGGAAGTAACACAAACCAGCATCGCGTGACAATGAGGGTCAAAAGTTAAGCTTTATCACAAACAAAGTCCTGATTTTAAACCCTCTCACAAAGTTCAACCGAAGGCCAATATAAGAGAGTTGTTTCATTCTCCTAAGCATCGTCAAATCTCACCATCTTCTAGCTTCCCAAGGTCGGTATACAATGGCACCCTCAAGCTTCCATAAGTTTCCAGAACTGCCCCCCGAAATCCAGCTGCAGATATGGGAATCTTCATTTCGCTCGTCGAAGATCTTCCCGGTGGTTTGCACTACATCGGCCTTGACTGGGTAGCAACCCCGGTTCGACTGGATAGAACCGTGATAGACGAATTTCAGAGAGCAAGGTCAGGTTACGAATTGGAAAAAGGTCTCTGGACGGCGTGCTGGGACTCCCATGCAGCTGCCATCAAACATGAGCAGCAGCGAAAGGCCAAGTTTAAGTACTGTTGTCCACCAAGCACAACCCCGTTGGACTCGGCCTTGTGGCGCTTCGGATCGTCCGCGATGTACGAGCCCGTATTAATAGAACCTTCTCCTCGTGAAGGGCGACAGATTGTCGAATCACAGAAACAGAAAATTATGGTCTATCCCTCGCCAGATATCTTTTGTGTTGCATTAAACAGAGGAGTGCGAGCTGCGTGCAGTGGGCATTCTTACCCACTTCGAGAATTCAGAAGACTCACCTTCGAATTCAAGCCTTCTTGGAACGCCCAACTATCACAGCATGACAACTACTACCCCATCAAAAAGTTCAAGCCTTCGCTGGCCTTTATTCTCCAGCTGGTATTCGACGCAGCACATATAAGGCGTTCCACGACGCCAACAATCAGGCTTATCGACAGGAATGCTCGATGGATAAACGACGATACTACACAACTTGGTCTTGACACATTTTACGACTGTGACTACGAATATGTTGAGATTAGCATGAAACCTGGCTCGTCTTCTGCACGGATCGTTTGTCATAGCCCTATTCTCGAGTTCTTCGATCATCTGGACAGGCTGCTGGAGGACAAGCTCCAGAATGTAGGCCCTTTTAGTCGTTGGAATTGGCATTGGCAGAAATTCGTGATAAGGGACTCCTTTTCTATCATTGCTTTACGGAAAAATCAAGTGGGAGCTGCAAAGGAGTGAGCTATCAACCGCACTTCAGAGAGTGTCCATCATGCCTTTGGCCATTTGGGCACAATTTCCGATGGGGAGAGAACAGAGATGTTGTTCTGAGAGGCTGGTCCTGGTACTTGTGCAGTAGCTTACGTCAGAGACCTGGGTCAAATATGGTCTTGAGTTGAGAGGCCACAGGAAATGAATGTGATAGTTCAGGATCAGTGCCTGAGAAACCCTTTTCAGAAAATAGTGCGTTTCCTATGTGCATTCCTGATATACTTTCATAATAGGGTTGACATCACTGATGTGTTTATTATGGATTAGAAAGCTTGTTAATTCTTGACTGAACCTTAACTTAAGGTACTCTCGACTTGATTGTGGAGATATGGGTGTGACTTTAGGTGAAGGTTTACTTACAAAAGTAACAGAACAATGGCATACTTAAGGAAGACAGAGATGCCATTTCCGTACCTCGCCTTCTTTCCAACTTTAGCTCTGGATCTTTCACCCCCACGTATCAAGACTGATAGGCTTCCAATAATGGCCGCCACAACTTTCCATCTCTTCTCACAGCTCCCGTGTGAGCTCCGACTACAAATCTGGGAATCAGCAATCAGAAACTGGACAGCAAACATTCACGACTCTTCAACATGGAACTGGGATAGTCTTGACGCAGCAAATCCAATGCCAGAGGCTCCCAAGAAGCGATCCTATGGCATAAACTACGTGAGCCTCGATAATAATGGCGATGGTATTCCTCTAGACTGCAGCTGGAACAAGCCTCAACCCGCGAACCGGTCTGCCTACCTCTGGCACGCAGGTCTGTGGATGGCCTACAAAGAGTCTCGTGAGGTCATGCGAAAACACTGGTTCAACGACCCCTACTCCAAAAGCCATCCCGAATACGTGGAAGAGACGGTGAACGACGGTCTGTGGAAGTGGATTTATGGCAATGAAGAGGGATTAGATGTGATTTGGAACAAGTGGGGTCGAGAACTGGAATCCTATGAGCCTTGGCTTATGACTACATCCCCTGGGGACATGTTCAGCATTGCTCCGGACAACTATAGGCCCCTCGCCCGGTTCAAGCTCTTCCTAAAGCGCAGCAACCATAAGATTTATGAATATGCTATAGAGTTTGACCCAGCGTGGACGTCTGAGTTGGCTGGCCTCGACAAATATCGACCGACAGACCGCTTATCGCCCACTTTAGCCTTCGCCATCAGAATCTTTTGCGAAATTGCGACTCAGCAAATGGGTGTACCGTCTGTCATCCATCTTATCGACAGATACTCTGGCTGGAAGTACGTCAGAAAAGCCGAGGAACCATCGGTGTATTACGATTGCAAACACGAGTATATCCAGATCGACCCGAGCAATCCTCTGGCCACAAATCGTCTTGTCCGAAGCACCCCTATGCTCACGTTCTTGGATCAGGTTGATCGGCTTCTCAAACATAGATTGACCTGGAAACGAAAGACATCGCCTTGGGCTTGGGGCGATTACGGGCTTCCGCCGGATGGGTTGTCTGTTAGGAAGTTGGTGCGGGTCATGGCTAGGCGCGATAAGGAGGTGGTGCTCAAGGCCACGAAAGGCAATCCTATTCCACCCAAGACGAAACAGCCTGCCCTGGTAACTTTGCCAAATGAGAAACCCGCAAGCGAAAAGTTGGCTGTGCGATGGAGATGCTAGTGTAGATTGGCTGTAGTGCTCGTATTACTTTTGCATATTGGGTTTAAAAGACCTGACTCTGATTAGACTCTGCTGAGCCGTTCTCTCTGTGGGATATGTGATGGAAAGCGGTTTGGGAATTAGAAGACGGCACTGGTCTTGTAAAGCGTTGGGATTGGGAACTCATAAGAATATACTGGGAGATTCAACGTTCACAAGTAAAGCTTCTGCATGTGGTATCTGCAAATTGATTAATAGTTGAAGATCTACAAATGACTATCGATGTAGGTAACTCGAAGGAATCTCATTCTTGTCGCTTTCGGTGAATGATAATTTGGGATTTTGCAGTTCAGGTTGCTGCCAGTATCCAATCAACCTTTACTTTAAGGTTCAAGAAAACTAATAGACGCATCACGCGCGGGGTCATCTAATGATTTGGTTGATTGATACTCAAAGCTTATGACGCCTCAGCGAGACATATCAAGCCACCACACTGAAAATCCAATGATTTACAACATTGAAGAAAGCTTCTTTGGGACACTGACTCACTTCCGAGAGTCTCACGTATATATTCCTAGAGTCATCCACTGTCTTTAAACAAGCACTTCTGATCCGACTCCCTATCTTTTCTTTATCCGTTAACCGACATTTGAGCCACCGGTAACAGCTGACACCCAAAGCTCATCATGGACACCACCACATTCCACTCCTTTCCTCGACTACCTTTTGAGCTGCGCGAGCAAATCTGGAAATATGCCTGCCGGCAGCTGATGGAGAGGCGTAGGAACATTCACTACCTGTATATGGACGAAAATAGAAACCTCTGGCCTCGGGACTACGATCGGAAGACCAATGACCCAAGCAACACCACCAGATCTGGCTTTACATGGCATACCTATGTATGGCATGTAGGGCTATGGACAGCTTGCAGGGAGTCTCATGATATAGTAAAGAAACTCGAACGCTTTTACATCAGAATGCGCTGTGAGTTACGCGATTGGCGTTGCAAGTGGGTAGTTACCCCCCAGAAAACCGAATCTTTGCCCCAGGACCAAGTTATAGAACTTCATCGGGACATATGCCTCATTACCAGCGATTCATGGGAGTCTCTTCTGAGACCCTGGAGACCGATATATTTTCAAGCCGAAGATGCTCGAGGTCGAAGGCGATTGAAGAAACCACTGAACATCGGCGTCAAGTTTGACCCATTGTGGGCCGAAGAAATGCAAAAGGCCGTGGAGACTACCTACTTCGCCACTGTTCTCCGTGACCTCCCTCCCCCAATGGCCTTTGCGATCAGACTACTTTTCCAAGTTGCAAACGAATACCGTTTTTCTTTGAGCCAATCGACGGTTATGTTGATCGACGATATATCTGAATGGCAATCATTCGACACTGAAGGGCATGGTGGATGCAGGATCTTCGATTCCGGCCAGGAGTACGTGGAGATGGGATGCCTTCTTGGCTTTAGTACGCATATTCCACGTCCGGACAGTCCTATGGACGACTTTATTGAGGAGCTCAATTACTTGTTCATGGGCAAATTACAAGACGCTTCCCAGCGGCGTAATAGGCGTCACATCCTCGATACTGACTTTCTTCTACCAGTTCTGAGACGGGAGAAACAAGTTCCAATGATTCGTCGGTAGCATCCTGTCCAGACCAAAGCGGATGGCGGGTCTGGACCTCAACTTACAGATAGATGATGGTCGCAGAGTTGGTAGAACTAGTGTTAGCAATCAACAATATCTGAGCAAGATACTCAAAGTTACCATTTTTTTCTCTGCATGTAATCTCACTCGACCACTGCTTTGTTGGCTTCCCAATATGATTCAAGATTTTAAACCTAAAGTTGAGTCATAAGGTGGCTTTGGTAGGTTTAGCACTCACCTATCAGAAGCCTGCGCCTCTGTGATTCAAGGTTTGACCAACACAAAGCTTATACAATAAATCATTAAACTATGCTACATATAAATAAGGCCCTTTCTCAGTTTTTAACCCTAGCACAAACATCCTCCAAATTCTCCTTGACCGACCAGACTTGCAAATCAACGCCAAACCATCCTCCATCCACTATGAGTCCAGTCACTTTCCACCCATTCCCAAACTTGCCTTACGAAATCCGGCAGCAAATCTGGGAAGATGCATGTTTCGATTGGCGCGGTGATCGGCTCGGGCTACACTATATTAAGCTGAATGAGAACCGGCAACTTGCCCCACTGAACTGCGAATGGAAAACGACTGGTCCAAGAAACAGGTCTGCATATCTATGGCATGCAGGTCTTTGGATGGCTTGCAAGGAATCTCGAGGTATTGCTGCGAAGCATTGGAGTGTTCAGGGTTGGACGGATTTCCAAAAGAACACCAAGGATAAAAGTCTCGGTGATGTTATCTCGTTCCGCTCGGAGCCTTTGCATCCCGATTACGTTCGGCAAGGGCTTATACACAGGAAAGGCGACTACGAACCCTGGCATCAAGTCACTGATATGGACAAAGATATATTTTGCGTCACCGCCGAGTCATGGGAACCACTGGTCAGGAACTGGAAACCTCTTCGTGTCGTGGCTGAGGACGAATGGGGGCGCCAGTTTATTGACGCTGTCACCAACATCGCTGTTGAGTTTGACCCATCCTGGTATCAGACGATCAAGAAGTTTAGTCCGGACAACCACGTTAGCGACTATCCCCCGTCATTGGCCTTTTTGATCAGATTTCTTTTTGACCAGGTCCACAACAAAGAATACAGGAAGGTGGTTCAACTTATCGATAGAAACGTTTTATGGCACGTCGATAATGAAGCACTGGCTCTTCTTCATCCGATCTACATGGATTGCGATCACGAATATTTCGAAATAGACTCCCATGAACTCCAAAGGGACAGTCCACTGTCTCGTTTTCTGTCCCTGCTCGATGATTTGATAGGCGACAAGTTGACCGAGATCGAGTACAGAGAGCATGGCTCCAGGTACAATCTGAGCGAATCAGATTGGGAACAGGACGATCGACTCCCTCCTAAAGAGCTAATGAGATTTGTCGTGATGCGGGATAACCTGCGACCGCGAGATTTCATTTGACATCAGAACAGTGTTACGAGAGAAAACACAGTAACCTGTGCTACTCATGCCGGTATCATGCAGAGTAACTAATGGAGAAACTGGCATTTGGCTTGAAGACGCCTCTGATGTTCGGTGCGTGACGTTAGCGTCCTGTTAGCCATAATAATACAATGAGGTCCTTTCAAGAATCAGCGCTATTGCATTTGAACCCATGCCTATATCGAGCCACGGGATGTGCTTTGAGATCCTGTAAGCCTTATGGACGACTAGTCCTCGTTGTAGTTTTGTGAAAGTGGCGACAGGTGTGTATCAAGTCTCTGTATCTGAGGTCCCATCCAATGTCGCACCGCCCAGTCTTACGTCCGTGGTCTGAAACACAGCTGTCAGGGGCAATCTCTCACAAACCCGGGCAGCTTCCCCTAAGGTTTAGACAAGAAAGGCCTAAACTTGACAAAGCTTAGGCCTAAGCTCCTCTAAAATCTCCCCTAATTTAGGCGAGCTTCATCATAAACCTTTCCGTAGGTTAAGCGGAACGAATGGTCCGGTTCTTGCCCTACTTGAGGTGCCCGCCACTGCCAGCCGGCAATTTCAGCTCGTTCCTGACTCATGCCGTTCGACCCAAACGACAGAAGCTTCAACTGCCTTGATCACGACTTCATTCATTTCTCTCCATCATCATCAACCGCCTTGCCTTGCCCCATCAACAACTCTTGTTCAACCACGCGCTTCATCAAAACACCATTTCCATGCATCTCCAAAGCCCTCAAACAATTCGGCCGAACATCAATACCCATCACGTGCCTCACCGCAATGCCCAAAAGCAAGGCGGACATCTCTGTGCCTTCACGTTCTCGCCCGTTGCAGGCGTTGAGCGGAGGCTTTCTTTGCCGCAGTGCATGAACGAGCGATCACCACAAATACGTGAGTATACCAATGACAATCAACCCTCTCGGGGGGGGCAGCTTCGGCCGCAGTCGTGCCGCTTCGCCCGGTGTAAGTTCGCCCCCAACTACTCTTGAATCCAATGACTTACCTGTGGGGTTAGTCTTCCAACACCTCGTGTCGCCCCTCGGGGCAGCAGCAGCAACAACAACAACAGCAACAGCCCATGGCCGCTCCGGCGGCAAAGGTATTTCAAGCTTCCAATCCCCCGACATTGTCCCTTTGTGCTAATGAGATTGTAGCCCAAACCAACTGTAAGTTCTCCCCTCGAGCGACCATATACAGATGACCAGTACAGTAACGTTTGTACTCAGCCTGGGTCGCGCGAAGTAGGTTCTTTAAAGCCCCAATGAGCCGAATATCGATGATACTGATTCATTTTCTCTCCGTGCAGGAAGCCGAAGCCCAGATGGACGTAAGTTTAGCCCCTGTTTGGTATCTAGGAAATTGTGTGGTAGACTAACTCGTGATAGTACTGGAACGACCAAGCGACTGTAAGGAATTTAGGTATTCTATCATCAAGGCCATTGCTCACGGGAGATCACTAAACAGTCCCACTTTAACAACATGAAGGCAAGTTCACTTTGAGCTCTGCAACAGAAAGTCAATACATGATACTAACAATTGATTGCGACTGTAGAAGTTTGAAGACCTGTACATAGTGCGTCAATACGCGAGCAGCCCACCGTCAATCTTTGTGAGTCGGCCCATTTCCACCATCGAAGTCCGATCTTTTTCAACTGATGCTGACTACTTCTCTCTTCTTTTAGTCGTCCAACGTCATTCAAGTAAGTTCTGATGCCCTGCCAAACGTTGATGACGAGCTGGTTGCTAACCACTGTCCTCTCCAGAGCTACAACTGTCCTTCGAATGCATGACTTCACCTTGAGGTGTTCATTGTCGACATTGATGTTTTTCTCGCCGTTGCAGACAATCAATTCCCTCTTTCTAGAACAACAATTCACCGTGGGTCGTGTAAGTTCTCTTTCAAATTTATAAGATACCGCGATGCTAACCTTCTTAGAACAACAACAAGCGATATTTCTCCGGCGTAAGAGCCCATCAACCATATCCCCCAAACTCATGACCCAGTGTCCCACCAATTATCGAACGCACTTTCAATCATATCAGAACCCTTGCCGTCCCTTTATTCCGAGACCACCCGCTTCTCTTCCCAAGAGTCCGACCGTCAATTACGCTCGCGGCCCCCCCCTCCCAAAGCATCCCAACACACCATTGTCGACATGCTCGAACTATACCGGGGTGGCTTCGGCCACGCCCGTGGCCGAGTAAGTTCATCCTTTCACGCTCTTGGTCCAAGCGACTAACTTATATAATAGCGAAACTTCTCCAATGTAAGTCATCCCAAGGTTTACTTTTATTTAGTAAATGGCCTGTTTATAAGATTAGTCCTCGAACACCTCGCGTCGCCCCTCGGGGCAGCAGCAACAACAACAACAGCCGCAGCAGCAGCCAATGACCGCTCCGACATTACAGTTATTTCAAGCTTCAAATGTTGCAACACTGCCTAGTCATTTCTGGTGGGCGAGAGTCCCAAGCCAATGATATGCGACGCCACCGCGACCCTAAACTCTGCAAAGTTTGTCAAAGGCGTGCCTAAACTTTGGGAAGATTTAGGCCTAAAGTCGTCATAGTCTCGTCTGAACTTAGCTGTCAGTTTTGTCACACTTTCGAGGAAATGGGCCGACGCGGACCGTGAAGCGGGATGTAAGTACGCAATCAGATATACACTAAATCGCAGAGAGCTGATGAGGCTTAGCAACTTCCCGAAGTGCCTGCCGCCGAAACGGCGATTGCTGTACGTCTAAATAGCATGCTACGTTATATGGACTTGCTAATAGTGAATAGGAGGCTCTTGCAGCTGAGCTTGGAGAGCGCGCCGCTAAGCGGCAAAAGGTCGAGGAGAAGGAGGAAAAAAGGAGTAGGAGGAGTGAAGTTTTCTGTGTGAGTATGTTCTAATTCTACGTTAAAAACTGAATGCTAACGTATGTTGAGAAGGGAGAGTCCATTATAATATGGTGTAGTGAGACTGGGTGTGTGGAATGATGATATCAGAATGAACAAGGCTGAAGAGAAACGTCAGAAGGGGAGGAGTAAGAAGAGAAGGAAGAGGAGGAGTAAAGTTGGAAGGGGAAATGCATGAGAGAATTATGCTGGCCATTGACATCAGGCTCGCCATAAAGTCCTCAAGCAACACACCTCTTCATTCAACTGACTGAGGGTTTCGTACAATCATTCTGGACAGTTTCCTTCTCTTATTTCGTGCCTCCGAAAGCAAGTCCAAGGCGAGCCCGCCAAGGTCGTGAATACCATCAGCATCCATGTCAATACAGCAGCTCCTCTGGTAGCATAATCCCTTCGACTTTTGTTCGTTCAGACGCGATCCCGAGTCACCGCTTTACATGCAAACAGGTCAAAAGGTCATGTCATACATTTTGCAGGATGTCTGTAGCTACCAGTCAATTGTCAGCCGGCCGCACTTTGGTGTCTGTGACTCTTGAATTCCGTTTGCCTCATCTCGCCTCCCATCTTGATGCAACAGGCTGTTGGCCCATCCCGGTTCTCACGGGCATATTGTATGCAAGTACATGAGGAAGGAAACTTTATTATGGTGCGCTCGCCCTTTCATGCATGATTCGCTCCCGGCTGTCGACGATAAAGGCCAGTCACCATAGACCTTGATTGTCGTCCCTAGCCTTGACTCCTCTGGGTCTCTTTCGGCAAAACTTGGCTCAATAAAGCATGGCTTTTGCCAGATTTGGACCTAAAGTTGCGCATGAGGCGCTTGACACAAAACTGAACAGAGCTGAGAACTAGGACTAGGAGAAGAGTTGATTGCTCTGATAGCGAGAAGGTAAAATGAATGAAGCCCTTGGATATTGTTATTTGTCTCAATCAGCTTTGGCTATCGAGATAGCGAAGCCCAATCCTCTCCGTGCCATGTTTTCGTCATATGATGAAGCCGTTGACGACTTCTCCTTTACCAGTCGACAGGCATCTTGGAGGACTCCTGGAAACGTTCTAACCGCCAATAATGAGTTTCTTATCATTTAAATGCCCTTTTCTAGAGTAGAAGAAGGCGTATCTGTTGCGAGATGGTCTCGTCCGGCGCCGACGACCCTGGGTTGGAAATCGTACTTGGTGACGGAATAGGTACATCTCGAGCAAGCCTACAGCAAGAGCACGTTGTTTACAGACTCCTTCCTTGACTTAAAAAATGTCTGTCGGCCTATGTTCAGGGCAGCCTTCAGACATCATGGGTGATGCAAATACTGTCGCAGCCCATCCTGGCGATTGTCGAGATCAATCTGCAACTGCAAACGAGAGCCGATACGAAGCTGATGTGGCAGAAATGCTAAGTCTAACTACACAACTCGTCAGCCTCTCGATCACGGCAAATCTTACAGAATGCATGTCGGAGCCTCCCAGCGCGCATGATAAGATATGTAGGAAGCGTAGTAGCCACGACCCATAAACCTTTCGTCCCCCAGCGCTATCTCCATGGTCTCCAATCCATACTCACGGTCCTGCGTCCCCGCCACACTGCAGGCGGCGAGATCATTCGGCGTTATCACTGCTCGTCCTGAGGGAATAGACGACATGTGTCAGCTTCACTATGTCAGATGCTGGAAAGAATGGCGGCGCCAGTGTGTTCAAAGGGGTGTAGCCAATCCCGACAAAGGCTTCTGTACTGTCTTCATGACGATCTCCTCAATAGCCGAGGATACTAAGGGCCGAAAGACGATCGCAGCATAATTGGCCTCATTTTATCGCACCCAGTCTCTTTAGCACTCGCTATTATACAACTTATTCATCAACCTTGCGCATCTGAGAGTAGAGAGAGGCGATATCAACATTGTTGACAACCCCAGCAACAGCAATGCTGTACTTGCTCGCAGCAACGTTCAAGATGTCTTGCTCGATCATCGTTTCCTTTTTCTCAACATTGACAAAATCCGTAAGGGTGACGCTACTGGCGGTGACCTTCACATTATGAATTTTTTGTCCAGTCCGTTCAAATACAACCTTCTTCAGTGCCTCTTGTGAAGCCCGTTCCAATGCATCGATCACGTTCCTTTGCCGCGCAGTGTCACGAAGAAACGCCTCTTTTTCTTCAGTCTCGTCTGACTGGAGAGTCTTGCCTTCATACTTAATAATTGCCTTCCTTTCTTCTCGAGCTTCGGCAAATTTCTGAGTGAGGATTGTCTCAAAGCTTTGCAGCATCTGATCCCCCAATTCTTTGGTCATCAACGGCTGCCGAGAAACGGTAAGACTAGTAGATCAGTTAGTATTACCAATAGTAAATTAATCGCGCAGAGAGTACACAGACAAGTTGGCAGTATCGAGGATTAATGAGAGAACTTTAATCCCTCCATTGAGCTGCTGCCTGAGCGTCTCAATGCGAGCTTGTCGAAAGACCCCGATCTTGAAATTATCAAGGAATGATCTTTTCCCATCGCTAGAATTTCTCATCCAGTGTAAAAGAGACGCGTTGAACTCAATGCAAGCTTCGTGGCAGCTAATCAAGGCACCTTGAGTCTCGTCGCGGAGAAAGAGCCCAGGCCGGTTTTCTTTGACGGCAGATTCCAATTTTATCAGCGAAGGTTTGAGGTGCGCAAGCTCTAGTCTAATTTTATCCATAGCCTCTGGGGCGTTTCGGATGTTGTCAATCGTATTGCATAATAGTGCAACGCCTTGAACGGTCGTAGTGATGATGCCGGCTATAGAGGCAGTTACACTCAGAGGATCGGGCATCTTAACGGCACGACAGACAAGTTGATATTATCAGTAGTCTCGAGATGGAAGGCTTTTTTGAATGGGACATTCGGCGAAACGATCTGGGGAGACTTCGCTGATAAGGCTGCGGCATTTATTTTCAACCTCCTCAGAAACAACAGCGCACACTACATACTGAGTCACGACGAAAGTGGCTGTGATCAACAAGAATTACGATTTTCAGTAATCGGGGTTGAATTCTGTGTCTCTTTGTAAATCAGGCTGCGGAAACTGGTCCAGTGATTGGTCATTCTGTTAGAAGATGTGTGCGCCCAGTCTTATATGCATAAGTCACCAAAAGCTCAGCTGATGCCAAACGACGAAGTGAACTTGATTGACACAGGGTATTATACTTACCCGGACTCTGCGCAATCGCGCTACGTTTCTTCTCGCTGTCAGTATCACGCGTCCCCTCGTCGGCATAGTATCGAATCTTGGTATAGCTATCCAACAAGTACTCTCGGTTACATAGCGTCATGTCTACTCAAGTGTCAGAAAGCCACGAAAAGAAGATGATGCAGCAAATACATAATGTTGTGGTGAGCAACGGCGGAATGGCAGTCCTTGGAAGCAATCGCAACGTCACTATCGGCAAACCGGATGGTAAGAGAGCAATAATGAAATAAGGAGTACTGGTGAATAACCCTTCTTAGTGCAATTGAATAGCAAGGTCAACAAGTGTCGTGAAACTCTCTTTGTTACTCTGCCAGACATCGATAGAGAGACTCTTGCGAGTTCCAAGGGTCAGAGGACCCCAGGGACTTGTGAATGGGTCTGTCACAATCCTGCCTACCAAGCATGGTTTGCCAAGGAGTCACCACTTCTCTGGATATCAGGGGGACCTGGCAAAGGGAAGACCGTCTTGTCGCTCTTCCTTACCGAACAAATCAAATTGTTCTGTGAAGAATCAGGAAGCCGATTACTTTATTTCTTCTGCCGCTTTCAGCATGAACAGTACAACAGTCCAACAAAACTGTTAAGGAGTCTTGCCTATCAACTCCTCGAGTTCAGCATTGACGGGCCTCAGATATCAGAAGTCTTCAAGTATCTTGAGACTACCGAAAGGGCCCACAAACTTTGACAAGCTTAGAGTGTCTCTGGAAGATCTTCGAGATTCTATTGTCCCAGCCTCATCTCCCCACAGTTTACTGTATCATCGACGGAATTGATGAATGTCATTCCTGCGATATCTTGATGGAGAAGTTCGAGAGCCTTTGCAAATCCCGTTCTGAAGGACCACTGGCTCTGGCTATCATTGGCCGAGATGTTGATGTACTAGGGCGAAGCTCTTACCATTTCACTGCATCGAGTCAAGCTAATGTATCTGGCTCCCAACTCAGTGAGCCTTTTCGTGATATACGGCTTGATCCAGACAACGAAGAGAGTGTCAACAGCGACATTGCCAAATTCACGCGCTCAAGGTTGGAGCCATTGACCATCATTGATGGGTTCAATGATATTCGCATGGATGTGGAGAAAACATTGATTAAAAAGGCTGACGGGACCTTCCTCTGGATCAGCTTTGTGATTCATGAGCTTTGCAACAAGCGAACATGTCTTCAGATTCAAGAGATAATCAGAGACTTGCCAGAAGATCTCCACCCTATCTTTGGGAGGATGCTTCATCAGATCGATCCTAAATACCGCCAAAGCACTATATCTATCCTGACATGGGTAGCTATGACGGAGAGGCCTCTTACCATCGCAGAACTTGCCAGCGCCATAGAATCTGATGTTAAGGATATGGCCGAACGACTCACTATTTGCCACCCGTTTCTGAAATTACATGATGATAAAGTTTTATTTGTTCATCAATCAGCAAAAGAGTACCTTCTACGCAGACTTCATGACCAGGATCCTCTATTGGAAGCATTCAGAATCATACCTGATCGGTGTCACGCGACGATAGCAGAAAAATGCTTACAGGTTCTTGAGAGTAATCTAACTGTCCACCGAGGTCATTCTTTCGGCATAAGCCAGGCTCCGCTGTTTGATTATGCGACAAACTGGTGGCAAATCCACTTCAGACACGCCTCCAGGGACACGAAGTTGTTGTTTGACTTGAATCGCCCGTTCTACAGCGAGGGTTCTGCCATTGCATATTATATGCTTACCTTACCTGGGGTTACTAGGAGTTTCGCATCGACTGTCAAGACATATATTGCATCCTTGGAGTCACTTAAGGATGATGCGCTATCATACATGTCACTTTGCCTGGCATCATTTCATGCTATTATGCCCTGGTTAGAAGCCCTCCTGAAACAAAAGAACGATAAACCTCGTACTTGGGTCATACGATGGAGGATAAGAGGTGCTCGCAAATCTCAAGCTTGCAATATTGGGTGGCGGAGACGCGCAGACAATTGAGTTCCTTCTGAGCAACGATTTCGAACCTTGGGACATTGGAGACCATAATGAGGCGTTGGAGATCGCGGCAAATACAGGGCAAGAAGCGGCCGTTAAACTTCTTCTCGACCTACCCGCCACGGCGTTCGACTCTGAAAGCAAGGGAAGATCCCTACTAGCATCGGCATACAGCGGCCATAAGACTATTGTGAAACTACTTCTCGATAATGGTGCGCATATCGACTATACGACTGTTGGAAAAATGACAGCTTTGGCTCGAGCAGTGAGAGCAGGGCAAATCACTGTCGTACAGCTTTTACTTGATCGAGGCGCTGATATTGATACACGAAACCCTCTTCACGAAACAGCTTTGATAATGGCGGCTGGCAGAGGCCACTCTGCTGTGGTAGAACTGCTTCTCGCCCGAGGCGCTGACAGTGGAGCCTCAGACTACTATGGCGACACAGCTTTAACTAAAGCAGCTGGAGGAGGCCATTTCGAGACTGCTCAGATACTGCTCCGCAATGGTGCACCTGTAGATTCCCAGGGTGCGGAGGTTCTGACGCCTTTGATCAAGGCTGCACACTCAGGCCATTTGGATATGGTTGAGTTGCTCCTTGACTGCGGTGCTGAAAAAGAGACTATCAGGGGAGGTCATGGAACACCGCTCATCGAAGCAGCTGCAGAAGGTCATGTTCAGGTGATGGACTTGCTTACATCACGCGCCTCACACACGAGGCTCAGCACAGGCTTAATGGTACAGCCCTGGGAAGTGCTGCGTATTTTGGTGAGTTGGCTGCAATGCAGCTGCTCATTGACCGAGGGACGGAAGTCAACATGAAAAATACTTTTGGCAAGACGGCTTTGATCTGCGCTGCGATGCAGAAACAGCCAGCCGCTGTGGATCTCTTGTTGCAGAACAAGGCTGAGGTTGATGCCATCGATGAAGGTGGCTGTACGGCATTACTGGAGGCGGCAAAGAATGGCGACCTTGATATTGTTTATGCACTGTTAAGCAAAGGCGCTGATCCCAATCGGAGAAGCAATTCGGGCGGCATTGCAATAATAGAAGCATTGATGGTGGCTGGAGCTTCTGGGTTAGAGGTTGGGAGTCAGCTGGTCCAGAGAAAGACAGCCGCTGTATGTTTGCTAGACCATGGAGCTGACGTCAACCTCTACGGTAGATTTTGTCACCGGGGCTTGGGGAAATTGGACGCACCCCCACTGATACATGCAGCCAGCAACGGTTGGGAATGGGCAGTTCAGCTGTTGCTTGAACGTGGTGCTGACTGTAATCTACGAGCAGTCGCCATACAGTCGGAGCCGGAGCCGAAGCCGGAGCCGGAGCTCGAGATACGAATGCAGCCTGTCACGAATCCTAAGCAGAAGCGTTGGAAGTCATCTTCACTCTGGAAACATAGGAAGAGATAAGTATCTATTCAGATCCAAGAGATAGGACTACCGCCAACGATAGAGCGGGAGTCAGCAGTCAACTGCACGGAGGCAGGATCGGCAATAGTATATGCATCAAGAGGAGGACATTCATCAACCGTCCGACTACTCCTTTCTTATGGAGCTGATACAAGTTTTACAGATAACAAGGGACAGACTGCGCTAGCGTGGGCATGTAAGGAGGGATTCAAAGAGATCGAGGAACTAGTATTTGAACATGAGGCCTCAAGGGCAGCCTTGTTCAAGGGACCCTTCTAATTTTGGCTCATCGGCAGTTAGTCGAATGTGGGTAAACTCTATAGTATTAATGAATGTGCTTAAGATAGTGGTGCAAGATATGACTAGATCTCGTGGGACATGGTGCCTCGCCGTTGTTGGCTTGGGCAACGAATAAAACAGCCCAGGAACCTCGACAGCTAAGGGTAGTGATATAAAACAGTAGTAAGATAGTCGGGCTCTATAGTTTCAGGGACATTATATAGCTTGTAGTAGACAGGCTTTAAGAGTCATGCATGTAATACCAGGGTTGACTCAGATGCGGCCAAATATTCCCTTATCAGTCCACGCCTTAGCCACAGTAGCAAGGCATCCACCAAACAAGCACATAACACCACTAAAGACAGAAACCTGAAAGAAACCTCCATACTTGCTCACAAGAACACCGTTGACAGGCGGACCGATCAGAGCTGCAAAAGAGCTCACAGCCAGTCCCATTCCCATGTATGTCCCGTTGTTTCTTGCATCCTTTGACACGAGTGTGAAGGCTGCTGACACACCGGAGATGATTGTTCCAGAGCAAAAGCCAAATACGAGAGCATAAACCACCAAGGCTGCTGTGGTCTTTGCCTCGTTCATGCAGAGAATGACAACTCCCGTGCATAGTCCTCCGAGGGAATACATGTTCAGACGACCATATTTGTCTGCCAGTACTCCCGGGATGATACGGCCAAAGGTTGACGCAGCGTTCGTAATGGCGAGTAGATATGACGCCAACGTAGGGTTGACACCTCGTGAGACTGCATAAGTCGGGATGAAGAAGAGCGGAGCAAACATGCCGATGAAGAGAAAGAACAGAGATCCTATGACAAGCAAGTACAAAGGATCTTTGAAAGGCTCAACCAGGAAGAACGAAGTCTTTCTGCTGGGCAGACGGGGTCTGACCGCCATGCATGAAAAGGTCATGAGAGGTATCATGACAAAGCCCATGATGCGGATGGACCAGCCAAAACCAAGAGACGAGTCGTTCAACATCTTTGACAATGCGATCGGAAAGACAACTCCGCCGATAGAGGAGCCTGACACGGCTATTCCGAAAGCAGCGGCTCTCTTCTTGTCAAAGTATTGGGAAACGGCAGCGAAGGCGGGGATCTGGAGGAAAGCCATTGCGGTGCCCATGAGGATACCTTGAGCAAGCATGAACTGCCAATATTCGGTGCATAAACTCGTCATCATGGTCGCGAATACGTAGGTAACGGCGGCTGGGCGGAGGACCTATGAAACAATTAGCCTCAATCATCTCATGGTGCGTAGGAAACGTACCCAGGAACCATATCGATCAAACATTGGACCACTCAAAGCCCCAACAGCGAATTGAATAAAAGTCGAGATGGATCCAATCCAAGCGATTGCATCTTCTGAATGTCCTTGAAGTTGGTGAGTTATGTAGTATTCTTGTAGAACACCAAAAGAGTTGGCGAAACCGAGGCATGAGAAGAAGATGCAGGCTGATCCAGCTGCTACCAGCCATGCTTGGAGACCTCCATCTGGTGCAGGCGAAGGATCAAGAGGGTCATTTGGTACGTTCTTCTCTTGGTCCATATTGTTGCCGGAATCAGAGAGTGCCTGGTCCTGAAGCTTTATGAAGTTGTCTTGATCAGCCATGATGAGGGACAGCGAAAATGGGTTTGAAGTGGTGTCTAGGTAGGAGACTCTTGAATTGAAGATGCTGATGGTATGGAATATTTCATAGTACTAATTCCAGGTCGCTCACTCCTTTTATGTTGAGCAGGACAGTCAAGGAGTCGAGTTCCTCCTAGCCTCTATCATACTTCCCTGAGGATTGACCAATGACAATCTTACGGAGTCGGGGTCGGACTCGGAGTTAGGATGGAACCCGGCAAATGGAGAACCATCAGTACCAAAAGCGCATTTCTCACCACCTCAATTACACAATTCTCCGCATCCCAACTCATTCTCAAGTAAACATCACCAAAGACCACGAAAATGGAACCTTTGCGTCGCCGACGAAGACCAGCTGTGTAATAAACCTCACCTCCGATTGAATTACGAGGCATGGCTAATATTGTCGCAGGTCATGCAATCTCTGTCGGAAGCGCAAGATGCGCTGTAACCGCGGGTCGCCGTGTAGCAATTGCATGCGCGCAAGAAAGGGCGAATGCGTCTACGAGAATCCTCCTCCAGCTGAAAGAAGCATAGCGAGTCAAGACCATGTCGCCGAAATCGCGGGAGACTTCAATGCATTTCTCTCATTGCCAACGCCTGAAGATCTTGTCGCAAGCGCAAACTCTGGATTACCTGTTGTGAGCACAGGAGCAGCGAGCTCTTCGACAGGTGCGCCGACACCGGTCAGTCAATCGTCTGTTCAGGAACTCGACATGCTGCGAAACAGAGTGCGACAACTCGAGAGTCAATTATCATCAAACACTGCAACACCGTTGCAATCTCATGTCTCAACGCCAGCTTCGACACTTGAAACCTCGACATCAAGATTGGGTGGAACGTTTCACCTACACTCTCAAAGACAACATGTTGGTGCATTAGCGACGCCACGAGCGATCTCTCATAAGTCGCGGTTCTTCGGACAAAGCCATTTTGTCTGTGGGTTACCGTTGGTAAGGCACATACTTCAATTCGCTTTCTCAAATGCTAACAAAGAAAAGCTCCGAGACATTATTGAAGCAATTGACCACTACGCGACTGAGACAACCGGTGTTGTCATCAAAGTTCAGAAATGCAAGGCTATGGCAAAGCGCATCAAAGCACTGCGTGCGCCAGCATGGCCGACACCCCTCACCACTGAATTGGCATCCAAAGCTCTTTGCGACAGTCTTGTCGAGTGTTACCTCGAAGGTATAGAGAAGGTGTATCGTATCCTTCACATACCGACATTTAGGAACAAATATGATGCTTTGTGGACCTCTGATGCCGAGCCGGATAGAGACTTTGTTGCTCAGCTCAAATTGGTGCTGGCGTTGGGCGCGACGACCTACGACGACAATTTCTCCTTACGAGCCTCGGCCGTTCTATGGATATACGAAGTTCAGACGTGGATATCAGAGCCAGAGTTTAAGTCGAGACTGGGTGTTCAATTTCTCCAAACAAACATCCTGCTTGTTCTTGCCCGGGAGATGGTGTCGGTGGGAGGAGAATCGTCCTGGATCGCATGCGGTTCACTTCTTAGGACCGCAGTGTCAATGGGTCTACACAGAGACCCTGCGCTTTTATCGAAAACTACGACAATGGCTTGTGAGATGCGACGAAGATTGTGGAACACGATACTAGAGCTCTGCCTTCAGTCAAGTCTCTCATCTGGCGGGCCGCCAATGATCATAGAAGAACAGTTCGACACTGAGCCGCCTGGGAATTTTGACGATGATGACATCATGATCAATGGTGCGACTTCCAGACCGAATAACGTCTTCACCCAAGTTTCGACAGCGAGGGCCTTGCGACTAACATTTGCGACTCGTCTCAAAGTTGTCAAGTTGCTCAATGATCTCAAATCTGGTGACTCGTATCAAGAGACATTGCGTCTTGATGCAGAACTCAAAGCTTCTTACAAGGAAGCCAACCGGATGTTGAAGGACTGCAAGAAGAGCCAAAACTCGCCATCGGAGTTTGAGCTGACAGTAGGTGACTTCATTATGCGTCGGTATCTCTGCGCACTTCACTTTCCATACTATGGACTCTCTTTACAAGAACCGAGCTACGCCTTCTCACGAAAGATGACGATCGAGTCAGCTTTCAGAATGTGGTCCACCGTATCCTCAGATAGTGCAAACTCTTCAGCCAAGCAACAATTCTCGCGTCTCGTCACATGCAGCTCCGGCTTCTTTCGACTGTCGGCATGGCAGGCCAGCATCATACTCGTCCTCGAACTGAGGAGTACGGTCCAAGAGGACGATGGCTTTTCCTTGACACCAGTACGACCAGACCTGTTAAAGGTCATGGAGGACTCGAAAGCTTGGAACTTGCGAACTATTGAAGCGGGCGAGACCAATATGAAGGGCTATCTCATGCTGTCGATCTTGATGGCGCAGATCATGGGCATCATGCGACACTTATCCGAAGCCGAAATCGTTGAGCTCATTATGAAAGCTGGTGAAGAGGCGATGCAGGACGCGTTGGGAGTGTTTGAATCATTCTTGGTTCAGTTACAACCTGAAGGTGCAGAGATTCAGGATTTGCAGGAGATTGATCTTAGCTTTATGAATGACTGGGATTCTCTGGTGAGTGCGTTGCCCGAAACGTTTGGTCATTGCTGACATTGACAGATGGTTGACGATTTTCTTGACGATGGAGTTTCCGATCCCATGGCATGGATATTCTGACCTTTTTGAGCACATACTGTATTTGATCGAAGACGTAATGTCCTGGGAGAATACACGATGGTGGATCATGTCGTGATATTGAGATTTAAGTGACTCTATGTATACCCCACGCAAGCCATCGAGCTCAGCGTTTCTTCGCAACGGCGTCGGGTGTTATTTGATATAGAACTGTCTAGATAATCTAACGAATGGATAAAAATTCATGTCAGTTTGTGAGAAGAGTTGGATATGTGGGTTTATCGGAAGATGGACGTTGACATTTTATGCAATTGACGCCACATAAGTGAATTTTATGCAATTAGTGCACGTTATGCCAACAGTGGTTTCGGCGAGACAGATCAGATTAGCTTCATTGAAACGTGTCTCGAAATTACTTCAATTCATTGGCTCTATATGCAAGCGAAAGGTATTGTTTTTTTACTCATATGCCTTCAGTCAAATGCTGCTCGTTGCGTCTGTCAGTTCACAGCGAATATGCATAAAAGATGTGCCCCATTTTTCACCCAGTTGGTCCAATCGCGTGTCAATGCTCCCAGAACCTCAACTCCAACAACTCTGATTAATCCATTTCCAACAAAACTCCAACAAAAGACATCTCGGACGGCAAAAAGAAGAACTGGATGGCGTTGGGATTGCTCCCGCCAGGGCTTGAACCTGAGACCTTCGCATTACCGGATACTCGGGTTGAAGTATTAGTACGACGCTCTAACCAACTGAGCTACGGAAGCCACCAGTTTTGATTGGTGGACGGTGTCTCACCAGAGTTCACAAGCTTGCTGTGGAGTTGAGACGAGGCGGACGTAGCTGATCTCACAGATCTGTGTTGGTTGTGGAGTTGCGAGCACCGACATCGATGATGCACTCTCAACTTGGAACTCTCGTTGACCTGGATGCTTAGCCAGTAGTTCACGGGGAAAGACACACCAGAGATGGAGTACAGTTGGTTAGGCTTAGTGTCATGACTTGGAAGTTTTGAGAACTCAAATAGAAGGGACTACAAGGCATGATTTCAGGACATCACTGGGGAACATCAACGTTTAAAGCACCAAATCGTATTTCAATTGTCTATAAGTGTATATGCGGTAGATCTAGCACAAATTATTATATATGGATGAAGTTAAAAGTCCACCATCCACCTCCTCCCCTCAACAATTCACACCAATAACCATTTAGAGCATGGCAAGAGCACCAACGACGGCAATAATACCGGCAGGGACAACCTGGGCGGCACCAGCAGTGACGACGTGAGTGGGGGTAGTAGCGGGAGGAGCAGCAGCGGGCTGGGTACCGGCAGGGGGGTTGTAGCCGGGAGCGGTAGCAACGGGCTTGGTGGCAACGGGAGCGACAGAGCAGGCAGTGGGGGTGACCAGAGAACCCTCACCGTTGAAGGGAGAGTAGCCAAGGCACTCAGAGTAGGTAGCAGCGCAGTAAGACATGTTGGCGTCAGCACCAGTGCGGCACTTGTTGTAGGCGTCGGAGCACTTCTCAGCGCAGCCCTTGTTCTCAGCGGGGGTGGAAGGCTTGGGGGGAGTGTAGCCGGTAGGAACAATGGGCTTGGTGGTGGTGAAGTGGCAGTCAGGGACGGTGACGGTGCCGGGAGCAGTGACGGGAATGGTCTTGTTGCCGTAGGTGAGGGTGGTGGCCTCAGGGCAGTAGGTGGTGACAGCGGTGACGACCTCAGTGGTGTAGACAGCAGTGGGCTTTCCACCAGCGTGGCAAGAGGTAGGCTTGACGAACTTGCCGCTCTCCCAGGGGTTGTAGTTCAAGCAGGCAGCGTACTCAGCAGCGCAGGTAGCCATGTTGGCGTTGGGGGCGACACGGCAGTCGTCGTACTTGTCAGAGCACATCTCAGCGCAGTCCTTGGCGTGAGTGGGCTTGGGAGGAGCAGCATAGCCAGTGCCGGTAGCAACGGGCTTGGTGATGGTGCAAGAGCAGTCCTCGATGGTGAGGGTGGTGGCCTCAGTGATGGTGTAGGTCTTCTCGCCGTAGGTGAGGGTGGTGGCCTCGGGGCAGTAGGTGGTCAGGTGAGTGACGACCTCAGTGGTGTACTTGACGGTCTCGTTGGAGGGGGGAGCATAGTAGGGAGAGGCGGTGGCAGCGCCGACGAGGACGCTGGCGATGGAGGCAGACTTGATGAAACCCATTTTGACGGTTTTGGTGCTGGAATAAGCTTAAGCGAGTGTAAGTGTTTATTGAGCACGAAAAAGTTGGACTGTAAACGAGAGTGGTTCTTGTCGTGGATGGGATGAGAAGAAGGAGAGTCTACGAGGCAGAAGGGGATGGGGGTTTATAAAGCCATCTTCGCCTCAGCTGAAGTCAACGTTACTGCCGATGCCGAAACCGATCGATGCCCAGAGCAGACCCAGAGGAGAGTCCACTCCCGTCTAGCAAATTGCGGGGATCAGGAACCACCAAAAAGCTCGTGTTTATTTACAGCAACAGAACAGGCACAGGCAGGTTTTTCAATACGAAGAGGTAATTTACCGCCTCAATGGGTCCGGAAGTCGGCCACTCCTCGCCAATCCCATTGGCCCTCGCTATACGGCTCGCCGAGGAGGCGGGCGACAAGCGGCAGGGATTGACCCGTGTAGGCTATAGCTATACGGCGAGTCATCTCATCCCCTTCCCCCTGCGCTAGGCTAAACCGTACCGTGCAGTACTGTACCTGCGCTAGCTCGACTCACTCTTAGCGCCCAGCTGATGTTTATGCATCCTTCATCCTTGATTTGTGGTAAACTAAAAAACAGAGGAGGAATCAAATTTTGGTTCTTGTCAGCCTCAATGATTTCCATGCTTTAAATTAACCCTCGTAAACAGTGATCTCCTACTTTGTTTGGATCAAGCAATTTAACCTTGTCGTGTAACTAGCACCTCCACTACGACATCATCACTACAGACTAGAGAACTCTGCTTTGCTTTGCTGTGAAATATTGGGTCTGCCGGCTTATCCGAACAAGACTAGCGGATTTGAGTTTCATCTGGTGTTGCTGGCCCCTGGACTGGCTGGACTGGACGGATAATTCAACCGGCGGGAGGAGCATTTACGAACGATTGGATGCAAAAGTCTCAAACTTCATGATTGGGTGAGACACGGCGTGGCGTTCTGAGCTGACACGGGTAAGCTTACTAGAACTTGATGATTCAGTCAGATAAATTCCGACTGTATCTGCTCCACTGATCTCATCTGATCTACTCTGTAATTACTGGCTTTTTTCCCGCTCCATTTGCCTGTCCAGCAATTCCTTCAACTCGCCAGTGCAATCCTCTTGGTCCATAAAGACTTCAATCATCGTGACTCCCTCGCTATCCTGTACCACTTTCGAGTCCATCGCTGTCCTCAATTCCGCAAATGTCTTGGCCGAAAAATAATGCTTCGATGCCTCCTCTTGGCTCAATCCAAACAATCCAAGGGCATGCTGGTGGTTCCACGGCGAAATATCGTTGTAATCCGCATTCCTCCCGTGAATGGCCCGCTCAATTGTGTAGCCATTGTTGTTGATGACGAATATGATTACGTTGAGCTTTTGCTTGACCATTGTGCTAATCTCTTGGGCAGTCATCTGTAGACTTCCGTCGCCGATAAACAAGACTGCTCGCTGCGAACCGTTCATATCCCGTTGGGCTAGTGCTGCACCGAGCGTGGCGGGGAGCATGTATCCGATCGATAGCCATGTCACGCATGTAAAGTAGCGACAGTCTTGGGGAAGCTTGAAGGCCTTTCCGCCAGTCGCGGCGGTACCAGTTTCGGTCAGAACAATATCGCCGCGACGGAACATGGGGTTCACGTAGCGATAGAACTCAGCTTGGTTGAGAGCGTCCGATGGTGAAGGCTCAACTGGTCCCTTTGTCGCGATGGCAGGACTCTCAATCTTAGCAAGCTTTGAAGCATCAAACTGGCTGACGATCTTTTGAAGATACTGTCGAGGGTCAACGTCCCGAATGAGCTGACCACCAACCTTGATCTGACCAGGCGAAAACGAAACCGTCACACTTTCCTCCGGGATCGCCTTGAAAATGCCAGTGTTGATGTTGCTCATGTGTGGACCAAAGAACAAGATTAGATCGGAAGACTTGAAATAATCGAGCGATTCTTTATCTCCATCGTCGGCCAGGTATACGCCATGAACGTTGGGCAACTCCTCATTGATGAGACCTTTTCCGAATGCCGTTGTCCACGTTGGCCAATTGGTAGTATCGATGAGCTTGTTGATCTCGTCAATAGCACCGATACTGCGACTCTCGCCGTCAACGTACAGGAGAGGCTTGGTAGCAGAGTAGATGCGCTGCAAGATCTTATCAACAGTCTCCGCGCTGATCTCAGCAGCAGACGGCGCCGCGCGAATAACAGGTCTCTTGTCAAAATTAGACGTCGAGACCTGCATTGAAACCAGATCATCAGGGATCTGCAGATAGACCGGTCTCTGATGAATCATGGCCTGCTCAATGATCCAGTCGATCTTATCAGCTGCAGTCTGCACATCCGTCAAACAAGTCTGCGCAGCAGTGACATGTCGATGCATCTCCGCAAACCTCCCATACTCTCCGTCCAAGAACGTATGATGCACCAAGGCCCTTGCGCTTTGGAGGGTTCTTGATGGTGCGCCAACGATGTGAATGACTGGTGCTCGCTCAGAGTACGCCCCCGCGATGCCATTGATGGCTGAGAGTTCGCCGACGCCGAAAGTAGTGATCACTGCGCTGAGACCTTGAATACGAGAGTATCCGTCTGCGGAATAAGCGGCGTTGAGCTCATTGCAGTTTCCGATCCAGTTAATACCAGTCGGTTTGATGTAGTCCAGCAATCTGAGGTTATAATCGCCTGGGACGCCAAAGATGGAGCCGATCTCGAGTTGCTTGAGACGGGTAAAGAGGTACTCCCCGAGAGGGACAGTTGCTTCCTTTGTATGTGTCATATTGTTTGTAATATCGTTCTACGTCTATGATGAGAATGGAAGAAGTGTAGAAGAATGAAATGTCTTTATATATCTACAAGAACCAGGGCGTCGATGACATCCCCGCGTTGATCCGCATCTTGACGCCTTTGATTGCCGGGCTCACATTCCAAATCGGGCAAAGTAGCAGAAACCCCATGTCTAGCCGGTCCTTCACCCCTTTTGCCGAGGCAGGCCCTTGGTGGGGAATTCGATCTATGCCAAATATGGTGAATTAAGCGGCGTTAGGGATGGAACATTATTGATCCTCGATGCCCGCCGGCGCCGCAATGTCATCAATAGACATTGAAATGTTAACCATGATAAGAGTTTCAAGCCACTTGAGATATTTTCTCTAGAGAATATCACAGGCCGAGTCACTTGTTGATAAGACATAATCAATTCGTAATAGCCTAATAAAGAAAAAGACTGTTTTCTCTAGTCCTAAACCCGACAACCCGGCTGAAGAATACTGAAGTGCATGTACAGGGTAAGCGGGGGTCCTCTGATAACGACCCAGCGTTGGCTCAATTTCCACGCACGCGTGACCACCATAGACATGACAAAGGGCGTCGAATTCGTTATCGTGACCCTGAAACCAGCTTTTACACCGTAAATATGCGGCTTCTGACCGCCATGTGACTAATGTTAGACCGTATCACCATAACGTCTGAGTTGCTCACCTCAGTCTCTGAAAGGTCCATGTTCGTTATCGGTATCGATAAGACATGGATATCGATAGGGCTGACTGAACTGACCTCATTAATCCAGAAGACAAGGATGACCATGCTGATTTATAAATTTAGGTACAACTATTTGTAGATTCTGTTACCGATATCTTACATCTATAATTAGGATCAAGGAATAATTATCCGAGATTTTACTTAACAGCCTTGCTGGCGAAATGAACATGGTGGCTCGTGTCCCGGTGCTACCCAATTTCGTCAATTGATCTGTTGGGGGTCACCACCCAAAAAAGCTACAGTTCGTACTCATCTCGAAGAGCCTGTAAAATAATTGTTAGTGGAAAAGACGATTGCAGCTTTTACGCGTGCTCGCCCCTTGCATCTGGGCAGTATGCAAGATGGTGGTGTTGAATCTAATAATCAGTTTGTTGGACATAATGCGACTGGAGTCCCTGGACTGTGAAAAGAGTCTCAGGCAGGGGACCGACTTTGCAGACGACTTCTGTAGCTTCATTAATGGCAACGCAGTAATGGTCACTTTGGCTCTTGTGGATAGTTGATCTCGCAATGTAGTAGACAATGTCAGCACCGAGCTCAAGCACATTGTTGAGTTGAGAGTCAATTTGACCACGTGAGAATGTATCGACTTGGCATTGCATGGAATGAGTTCACAATCATTATCTAAAGAAGATGCAGTTTCAAGCCTATGATCGGGTACTGTCCTGGCGCTTGTTTGGAATCCTCATTTTGAGATGGCTTGCCTTGACCTGAGAGATATTGACTTCGTCGACTGTACCCTTTTGACGACAGCAATGTTGGTCTTGAAAACATCTGACTGACCTTTGAGCAAGAGTCTATCGGAAACCCTTTCCGCCGGAAGCTTTCCGATTGCTGATCTTCAGAATACTGAATTCAACCATTGATACGGCTTCTCAATCTGACCGTATCTTGAGTACAGCTACTGTGAAGCAAATGCAAGCCACTGGAGAAACTTCTGGTTGCCGAAGAGATACCTGAATGTCTCATGATGCCAATAACTTCAGATACGTCACTATAGCAGTGCTGGGAGATGCAACCGTCGGTTAGCTAGCCAATACCGTTACATGTCACACCAACCTGTTGCAAAAACTAACTGTTTTCAGGCATGCATTGGCAGATTTCCTTTCTCAACCAAGAACCGATGTTCTCAATTCAAAGATGGGTAGTGAGATCAATATGCACCACCTGGTTGGTGACTCACGTGCCTGCAGATCATATTGCCGTAAGCAGTAAATTCTAGAGAGACATGCATGAACTATGTCACGTCTGGGATACATATTCCTCAAGATCAATGGCCAGCTCGGCAATCTTATCTATTTCATCTTTACAACTTGTCCCACTTTGTCAAGTTCTGGCGAAACGTCAACGCTGCTGCGGGGTAGCTTCAACCTTGTTCCGCTTCGGCATCCAGATTCATGGCCCGAGACCAAAACCGACTCAAACACTACAAACGACTCTTTACTGTACCAAGCTTCAGTACAGCTGGATTGAGTACATAAGAGACGATGAGTTTACAACAAGTCATGGAGCATCAGCTCGACAATTCGACACTATCGGACACAATGTACTCCCTCATGTCCCCAGCCATTCTGCTAGGATCTCTTTTCTTCTCATTCCTAGCTGCGGCGAATTCTTCTATACCACAAGTTACCCTTCAAGGCTATGGCACATTCGCTGGCACAAACATCTCCAGGACTTTGCTTGGAGACAGCCTTCCGCAACCCGTCAATGCCTGGCTTGGAATTGACTATGCCGAGCAACCCGTAGGCGATAGACGCTTCCGTCCTCTACAGTCTCAACCTCAATCCCTCAAGGGCGTGCAAAATGCTACAAAATACGGATCTGTTTGCTTGCAGGATCTCATGTATCCTAACCCAGACGAACAAGATGAGGCGTGCTTGAACTTCAATGTCTTCCGTACACCTGGCGTACCGCTTAGCAAGAAGCTACCAACGCTGGTCTGGATCCACGGTGGTGGTTTTGCATCGTTCTCGGGACGAGATTTCGATGGTGCTTCTTTCGTTGCGTCTTCTGCTGATCCGGTTGTTGTTGTCTCGTTCAACTACCGTCTCAATGCCTTTGGATTCCTACCAAGCAAGCTGTTCGAGCGTGAGGGACTTCTCAATCTGGGTCTGCAAGACCAATGCTTCTTCTTGCAGTTCCTGCAGAAACAACTTAGCTCGTTCGGAGGAGACCCTAGACAAATCACACTTGGAGGTTTATCAGCTGGTGCACACTCCACGGCATTTCACTACTTCCATAATTACGGCTCTGATAAGAATAAGCCACTATTCGCACGCGCGATTCTTCAATCTGGTTCAGCGACAGCTCGATCGTTCCCCGGTGTCGACTATCCAAGATACAAGGAAGACTTCGCAGGTCTGATGAAGTACATCAACTGCTCCACTGACGAAAGCGACAAGGAGCAGATGGGTTGTCTGCGCAGTGCACCCGCACAAAAGATCAGGGAGTACTCGGCAAAGGCTTACGAGGATGCTAAAGATCAACTGAACTGGCCTTGGCAGCCGTCAATTGGAGGCCCAATGATCGAGAAAGCGGGATCTAAGAGTGAAGAAGAGGGCACGTTCCATCATCTTCCCATCATCACGACCTATACCTCTAATGAAGGAAAATACTACACTCCCGGTAACTTGGAGACCAACGACGACTTTGTTCAATTCTGGCACCGGATTAGTCCTGGTCTCAATATCACAGATCTCGCTCTCATCAACGAGCTCTACCCAGACCCCGTAGCATACCCTGACTCTCCATGGGCCGGATCCCCGAACAGCACTCAGTACAACCGCATCTCAGCTGCATGGTCCGACATGGCGTACATCTGTATGAGCCGCCACACCGCCGTCACTACATCAAGCGCAGGAGTTCCTACCTGGAGTCTCCATTTCAACACTCCTGACTTTCCGTTGGTTGCGCAGTCGTGGAAGGGAATTCCTCACGCCTCTGATGCTGCATACATCTGGAATGACCACCATGTCCCTTATCCCGAGACTGCGCGGATTTACTATCAGTATATCAACAGTTTTGTCTTGACGGGTGATCCTAACAAGAAGAGGTTGGATGGAACTGTGGAGTGGCCGCAGTATAAGACGGGTGAGAAGGGAAGCGCGTATGCGAAGCAGCTTTTGGTAAATCCTGGGAACTTCACTGTTGTGGAGGAGGACAGAGGCAGGGGAAGGCAGTGTGAGTTCTGGAATGATCTTGAAAGAGCTGGCCGTCTCTATAAGTAGAGATAGCTTGTGTCGGAATGATGTTCTGTCATCTCAGCGGTTGTATACGTCAACAGGCATTAAAGTAGAACGGAAAGCGGGCATTACCATTACGTGCGTACGTTATGTCTAGCAATACAAAAGAACCCATTAAATACATCAAAGCATCATAATAAAAAGTATTCGTCAAGTTCATGAAAATGGATGCCTTTCCCAGGCATCTCTCATGAACCCCAAAAGCGCGTCGCCATGATACACTCTTGGACTTCCTTGTCAAGGCCAGTAAACTTGACCACGATGGAGGTCACTCCAGCAGCCGAAGCACCAGCTGCATATACCTGAGCGAGGAGGTTGAGGAATATGTCTATGAGGATGGTCTGGGACTTGGTGAGAGTAATAGGCGTTATTTGTGAGGATAATGCTCCGCGTCCAGAGACAATGGGTACGAACCAACAACCAGGTCACATGATCCTGGCTTCTACTCGGGGGGAGTATTCACTTGAGCCCTACAAACATATGGCCATGAATCAAACAGACACCAGCTCAGAGACCTCGACTTTTGAGAGGTTACCTAACGAGTTACTTGGTGCCATTTGCGATCTTCTGCCAAACAGCGACATCAAAAATCTTCGACTCTCCAGTCCTCTTCTCGGCCAGAACTGCCGGCTGCAGATCAGTCGCGTTTTCATATCGCCCGATCCTCTTAATATTTATGTAGCATGGTGCATTGCTGCCTATGAGACCTATCGACTGGGAGTAGAAGATATTATTTGGGACGATGCCACCTTGGTCCCTTCCGGAGGCGACGGAGATCTATTCCATGATTACTTTGATGAGAGCGACGAAGAAGTCCCTGCGGAGCTAGCCACCGACCTCCAAAAAAGGCGCTTTGCCTGGTTTGCTCGTGGCTGCAAGAGTAGAGTTAGAGCCGCTAAAGATCGTATGGCAGACCCGTTCTCACGACCTGAAGATGTGTCGAAACAACACCAGTTGGATAATGCAATGTCATACCAGGACTCATTTAAGTACTATAATCTGCTGGAAAGTCGACAGTGAGCGGTGATGGATTCAGGAACAGATGAGGATACGTTTCGTTACGCTCTTCGACGACTCCCAAACTTGAAGAGAGTAGTCGTCACGCCGGCTGCTCACGGATATCTTTTTGAGCCCCTGTACAAAACACCCATGATCGGACCTTTTCCATATGGGTTCATCTATCCCGTGCCCCGAGGATGGCCCACGCCCTTGCCTGGACATGAATGGGCATTCGCCATGCCTTGGTTTGGCGACGACGCTGTTGAAGAAGACAAGATCTTATACCATGGGTTTCAAGTCGTCACAAAGGTCCTAGCTGAAGAGAGGCACAATGTCACGGAATTGATGCTTGACGACCATCAGCTTAATACTGGCATCAACCACTTCGCCTTAAACCAAGGCACGGAAGAATACGACAATTTCTTCGATATACTAAAGCGACCCATTTTCCAGAAGCTTCAATTATCACTTCTCGTTGGTTTCTATCTTGGCGAAGATTATGATATATATGACAATGGGTACTTGTACGATGCCCTCTATGAAGCAACCGATATGAGGCATTTTAGCTTCCATACTGACTTTGCCACGAATCGACGTTCGTGGACAATTGAAATGTATAATTATACGTCGCTATTCGATGTCTTTCCCATCCACAGATGGCAGCAGCTCACGCATTTCGGGCTATCAAACGTACTGGTAGCACAAACCGATCTTATCTCTTTACTGTCAAAGTTACCGTCAACAGTACAATCTGTTGAGCTGAGCTTTCTCACTTTCATGGAAGGTAACGGCCACTACATAACCTTGATGGAGGATATCCACAATAAGCTCAATTGGAGGCATCGACCTGTTGAGGGACGGATCAAGATCTCTGTCAAGATCTTTTGTTATCTATCGTACTATGGCCGACATATTTGTCTTGACGAGGAGGTCGAAGAATTTGTCTACAATGACGGGCCGCAGCCGTTCCAACTTAGACAGCCCGGTAACAGCTCTGATGTTGACCCGGGAACCGGCGTATTAAAAGACTTGTTTAATCCGGCTTGGGAACGACCCAATGATTATTCCCCAGAGAGCAGTTTGGTGTTTCCACGACAGCAGTAGTTTCGATACGGCCATGAACCTCCATCACTTTACCAAGACATAACTCTGGCCTCATTCTGACTGTGGAGTATCAAATAGCGCAACTTCATCAATATATTACTATCAAAATTAGTTAAGCCTCCACTAATGGCTTATAAAATATATAATTTACCTTAGTATCACAAAGCATGGAACAGATGCTAAGGTTTCAATTGCCTCGACAGACCTGCAATCATCACGGGTTATTGATGAACATTGGTCTGTGAGCGCATGATGAACTCAGCTACAGGATCATTCGATTGGCAAAGAAGTTTGGATATCAATTCTTTTTGGAATTGATATGATACCAACAGACTGGTCATGTGGTCAATGGGCGAAGTTGTAAGCGGCTGGATGAGATGATATTGAGTCCTCAACACGAGATAACCCAGGAAACTACGAACACATCATCAACCATGAGTATACTGTGTGATCTGTTACTGGTAAATCATGAACTTAGAAAGGACTTGGTTAATTGTAATATTGCCTACAAGGGATAGATAGTCACTCTTTTCTGCCGATATGAGCTCTGATCTGGCGCATGATATATCCCCAGAATGCCATAAGCGGATCACAATCCGGCCATTTTTTGATTCAAAACTTTGGTCTGGCTCCCAGCGTAGCCTCTCTCGCCTGACCTGTGCAGCGTCACAAAATTGACGTGACAGTGTTTGACAGGGGTTCATTCACTCACTTCTTTATGGCGCAGCAACTCGGGCTCCCTATATAAAGACAGCTTCTTTGAACTTCTTCTTCAATCCATCCCACTACCCTCCCTTCTTTCTTCTTTTCTTTCAACACCCAGTCACCTTTTAACCATCGCCCGCTCTTATCCTTCTTCCTTCATCTAATTATTGGCCCCCGTCCTGAGCATCCTTAGGAACCTCACCGATCCCATCACCTCTTGGAGCACTCACAAAACATCCCTTTAAGCATACTACTTCACTCGCATCCTTTACCAGATCATTTAAAACATGGCGCCATCCAATCCCAATGCAACCCTTGACCGAATGCCGGTAGAACTCCTTCTGACCACTGGCGAGGGTCTGGACCAGGATTCCATGAAGGCGTTGACACTGGTCAATAAGACACTTCGATGGAAAATCCTTCCCTTTTACCCGGTCAAGGTCACACTCTCTGGAGATGCTTCTCAGATTGTCGCACGAATGGCGCTCCTTATGGAGCATCATCCAGATTCTCCAACAGGGCCTATGTCCCGATACGTCAAGTCAGTTCCCCTCTGACGATGGATGCTTCGTGTTCATTAACAAAACATTCACAGGCACGCTTGCTTCAATTTGGAGCCCTCCAGGTTGATTCCCAGGTCTCACCCGATCAACAACCTTGTCGGAAACTTTTGTCGCCAGCCCCAGAGACTCCCAAAGGTCACGGTGTCTTCTTACGACATGTACAAAGTACTGGCAACCCAAGCTCTTCAGCTGAAGCAGCTTGCGGTGATGGGCTTCGAGGGGATGCCAAGATGCGAACCACGGCTAACCACAAAGATTCTGCGAGACGTCCATCAGAACTTCCAGCAGCTTGAAACTTTGGTTCTTGGCGAGTTCCTGAACCCTAGATCCCCTCGGGGCCAGCAACACTTCCGAACCCCAAAGGAGCGGGCTGACATGGTGAGTGGCCTACAGTGCCCTTGTATCGTGGCTACTTTTTAACTGACCGGCATTTAAAGAATATCATGGTCGCGAAGGTCTGCATGGCCTTGAGGTCCATGCCACAGCTGACCCGGTTTGCTTTCGTACTCACTGATGAGACAGTCGGAGAGAGCGTTGGCACCCCTCAAGAAAGGTTTGCCCCATATTACCGGGGCCAATGGAACACCAAGGAGAAGTGGTACTCCCAGCTCATAAGCTCCATTTTCGGTGTTGTTCCCGGGCTCCAGCAGCTTTGTGTCAGAGCTCGCCCTTCAGTCTATTGTCGGGGCACCAGAATCCGAGGGGATTCAAACCCGACTATCACGTGGAAGACCGACCAGGACGAAACAACTGATGAATTCAACAACTTCTTCGTTTAGGCGTCGTCCTTCTCTGGAGAGTCAATCGAGGGAATCAGGATCCCGAGGGATTTAGATCCGACTATCATGTGGAAGGCCAGTCACCAAGAAACGGCCAATGAATTCGGGCGCATGGTCCAAAAACAGCATTTCATTCTTTTCAGGGGAAATGCCTATTTTACGGCACACTCAATCACCCAGTTGAGCCGAATTATCTCTTTTATCGCTATGGTTCTTATCTCCAAAACCCCGAGGGCCTCAATGATCTCTAGGGCCAGCGGTGGCCAATAAGGAGGGGGCTGATGCCACGGTCGTGGGTAACCCACAAAGCATCGTACACAAACGCATTACGATTTCCGTTTCCGGAGAACGCTAGGGGGGAAATTGGATTTTTTGGGGGGATTTATCGGCGCATCGTGAATTTCGACTCGAAAAATACGTGGAAGGGGGTCACTCTTTTATCAACACCAGGCTCTGGTCTGATTTCGGACAGATTGCCACTACTACGGACTAAGGGTTTCATGGTTTCTTATTGCTAGCTACACAGTTTTGGACGAAATGTATAAAATTTGCTATATTTGATGCGTACGTGCATGCGCGGACACTGTCCGCATGGGAAGACTGAGCACCATGCACGGGTCATTCGACTGTGGATGACCCACGAGGTGCGTGGTAATGCAAAGTCTCAGCCACAGGTCTCAATGACAAATAACACATCTGTGCACGATGCAAGCATCGCTGTTAGGTTCATCAACCAAAGGTAACGCTCAAAAATACTCTTATGCATGCCAGATGGATGATCCACACCCAACGCTTGAGCCTGTCAAGATATCAGGTTTCAGTGCCAAAATGGTATACGCCCTCGAGGCAATCGCCCATTCATTTCGCAGCATTTAAGGTGTGTATAAGATATCTGGACTGATGAGCGCGTGAAGAAGGAGCCATTTATGTCTATCGGGCATAAGATTTGATTCCATGTTGTACACTCATTTCTGCCAAGGCGGGCAAACTACCACTTTGGAGTTTATGGACAGTGTCCACCTCGTTCAGCTAACAATACATGATGTAAGAATAGAAGGACGCGTACACTAAAAAGGGACTTCAAACATCTTGTCGTGCCATTTCCATGCAAATCGTGAGTCCAATCTTAACTTGAAAATCAACATCCCTCCCTTTAATACGCGTAGTACAGCGTCGACTCATTCTCAGACTGTCTGATTTTCTTATTCTCCTGCTTGAGCCAGAACCTCATTCCCCACGCACCAATTGCAGTCGCGATACTTAAAGCAGCGCTCGAAGACATGGCCATGGTGTAGCGAGGTTCGTCGGAAGAAGGCCACATGTACGGAGTCCAGATGAACGATGAGACGGCGATACAGTTGACGATGGCGAGGGAACACGCTTTCTTCTCTTTTGTTTGAGAGCAAGTGGCAGAGACCCAGCCAAGAATGATACTGTTGACTGCGTATGTACCGATCGAAAAGACGCACATTGCGACTGCATTTATTAGTTTCCAGGTTAATACTTTGAAAAGTCTCGGAACTTACAGTATCGGGCACCCGTATTGAGCGTCGCACAGCCAAGGACGAAGCCAAACACCGCGACAGCCTTCGCAATGGTGATATGCCTAAACAGTCAGCACCAACGCGTGCCTCATAAACAGAAGAACTCACCAAGTTCTCTCATTGAACCGTCCAGAAGACCAAGACCAAGCAATAGAGATCACTCCCGCAATCAAATATGGAGGGCACGTCAAAACCAAGGTAATAGTCTGATTGAACCCCAGGGTCTTGACAGCAGTCGGGAAGAAATTCTTGAAGCCATTCGCACCAAGATGGCAATGCTGCATGACGACGAAGAGCCAGACCTTGGGGTCCTTTGCTGCTTCACGAATGCCAGAGAAGCTTGTGGACTCGCCGGCATTTCCTACGGTGTCGCGCTGCGTTCCCTCGTGGGCTAGTTGTCGTTCCTGTTCGGTCAACCAATGTGTTGTGAGGGGCTCGTCGGGGAGGACGAAGAAGCCGGCCAGTGCGACGATGAGGGTTACAGCGCCTTGTATGATGAAGAGCCATTGCCAGCCGGCGAGGTTGGCCTGAGATGTTAGCTATTGCGGAGTGACGGGGTTTGACAACGTACCATTCCGTCCATCTCAAAGATGCCAAGGGCGATCAACCCCGCAAAGGCAGTTGCAAGAATATTTCCGGTATAAAGAATCGAAATGCGAGTCGCAAGCTCCTTGCGAGTGTAGAATCGCGCAAGAATATACAGTGCACCAGGATAATACGGCGCCTCGGTAATGCCCAAGAAGAAGCGCGTGAGCAGCAAACCGGTATAGTTGCGACTCAACGCCGTCAAGCCACTGATGATGGCCCAGACCGTCATACAAGACGCCATCCAGATACTCGGTCGAACACGAGTAACGACCATGTTCGCTGGGATACCGACGATGACATAGCCTGCAAAGAGGATCGAAACGCAGGTCTGATATTGGGAGCCGGTGAGGTTGAGGTCTTTTTCGATGGTGTTGAGTCGAGCGAGGGCGATGGCATTCCGGTCCTGACATGGTCAGCATCCACAAAAAGACACCTGATGGGAAGACTGACGAGGTAATTGAGCCAGTACATCAGCCAGAGAATAGGCATGATCCACCAGTCGAGCTTTCGCACGAGGGCGATCTCGCGGGGGTCGGTCTTTTCATGTGCACCTGAGTAGTCGCGTGCTTGGGGGGCTGTCTTGAGGACCTCCTCGACCTCATCGAGAGCACCAAGGTCTCTATCTCGCTTGTCCAAAGAGTGACGAGTTTCCATGTTTTCGTTGCTTTTGTGGTAGTTGGTTGGCAGATGACCGTCATACAATGCGAGGTCGATCTCCCTCTTTATACACAGCCTCACCAGGACATTCTAATGCCACCGTTCCACCATGCAGCGACAATCCTCCCCGACATCAAGGTTTCATTGCATCTCACTCGTTGACGTCAATCCGCAAAATACCGTATCTTGTCAGCCATCATCTTCTCTGCGCCCGTAAAGCAATGCGGGGATCCCAATACGAAAAATCCATTGGACAGCGTTATTCTCGAAGAACTTTAATCACCCTCCTCCTCCACGCTAAGGCCATCTTGGCAGGCGGGGTAGCGACGCTTAAAATCATGCTTAAATGTGTAGACTAAGACTTTCTTGGAAGGTGTTTGGGGGAAAGGAGTGTTGAAGATGTCTTGGCGAGAATATCGTCATTGTCTTGAGCGAATTATTTCGTCTGTTGGCGCCGCTGCCTATCAAGTTTCTCGAGATATGTCGGGAGCGATGAGTCGTGTTAGAGAAAGCAGAGTTTGTGGCTGAAGTGGCTAGAAGATATAACGGAAAGGAACGACAGAATGTCAATCTGAGTTTGGTTGACGGGCGCAGAGAGGGATACACGAGTGATGCATACCAGTTCCTGCGATCATTACTGTGGGCAAGTTTATCGGTCTGATCTGGAAACCCCAACGCCCAGACTCACTGACCCATATGAGGATGCATATCCCCACAGATACCCAGAAACGCCAAGTATGCCATCTTCCCCGTTGGACCAGATCATCATGTTTCCGGCTCTTCATCTAGCTTCCGGACCGTGGTGGTACTGCAAATCCGGGGCAGATTGTCGAGTGATTACCGATTGGCTACGGCAATCCACACACAGACAATGTCTGCCGGAAGTTTCTCGTCTGCTATCAGAATGAGATCTTGGCGGACGGGTAAAGTCATCTTCAACTACTGGCGTTACGATCATAACTGCATTGGTGACACTCTCATATGAAGGGCTATCATCACACATGCTACTCTCATTCCAGTCAGTTGGCTTTTGGCAGTCCATTATATTACATCAATGCAGGTGAATCACTGAGAACATAAATTCAATGGCAAGGATATGTATTGACTACTAGCCCAGCTATCTTCCAACAACCGACCAAGCAGTTACCATTTTGACGAGATTTTGTACAAACAAACAACTATATACAGAGTTATAAAAGAAGAATACGGTGATGACCAAAAGCAACTGCAACGATGCTCCCCCTCAAGACCAGAGATCTGATCCTGCCACGCAAGCCACATTTAGCGGAGAGCGTTGACGACAGCAGTGTAAGCAGCCTTGGGGTTGTAGTTAGCATCGAACAGAAGACTGTCGTGCTCCTTGCGCCAAGAGTTCTTGTCAGAGACACCCCAGACGGTGATACCAATGCACTTGGGGACGTTGAGGCAGGCCTTGGTGACGGTGGCGTAGTCGTTGGCGGGGGCAGTGCGGATGTCGAGCTCGGTGATGGCAACCTCCTTGACGCCAGAGTTGGCGAGGGCAGTGAGAGCACCCTGGATTTGGCCAGCGGCACCGGGGTCAAGGTGAGTCTGGGAGCCAATGCCGTCGACGGGGACACCCTGGCTGAGCCACTTCTTGACGGAGGGGACCATACCCTTGGTGACCTTGGAGGCGCTGCCGGAGTCGAGACTGTAGTCGTTGATGTACAGCTTGGCGTTGGGGTCAGCCTTGCGGGCGGCGCGGAAGGCAATGCCAACGTAGTCGTCGTTGCCGAAGACGTTGTTGAAGTGAGAGTCCTTTCGGAGGGTACCGTCCCAGTCGAAGATCTCGTTGACGACGTCCTGAACATGTTAGCAAGGTCATTTCCAATAGGTTCGGGTGAAGATAACATACCCAGGCGTAAATCTTGCCCTTGTAGCGTCCAACGACTTGGGTGACGTGGTTCTCAATGACCTTGGTCAAAGTAGCCTTGTCGTTGATGTTCTTAACCCACTGAGGGAGCTGAGAGTGCCAGACCAGGGTGTGACCTCGGACCTTGAGGCCATTCTGCTGAGCAAAGTTGACGACCTGGTCGAAGCTACCAAAGTTGAAGTTGCCCTGGCTGGGCTCGGTGGCGTCCCACTTGCCCGAGTTCTCGGGGGTGACGGCGCCAAAGTCGGCCTTGATGATGGCGGTGTCCTTTGCGACGCCGAGCAGGTTGGGGTCGGTGATGGTTCCGTAGTAGAGCTTGCCCTTGTTCTTGATCAGCTTGTTGATGCTGTCGGCGGCCTGGCGGGGCTCGATGGCGGTGGGAATGGCCGCGACCAGCGAGGCGGTGTAGAGGAAGGAAGACAGCTTCATTTTGGAAACAAGTTTCTTGTGTTGTAGATAGAGATATGTGACAAAGAAGGATAAAACGTTTGATTTGACCTGCAAACGGTGAAAGAAGCTGTGAAGGTGTTGTAATGAATGTAGTTGTTTGAGTGATGAGAATGCCAAGTGCCAAGAGAGGGTGGACTAGGTCATCTTATATATCTTGATCGGGCAATCCCTTGGCATCTTAGAGAACGATGGTATTCTCGAAAGAGTCAGTGCCCGGGATTGATTTGTCCGATTGAGCTAGCCCCTTCTCAGTATTCGGACGGTGCTCCGAGTACCTAGGGCTGTTTCGAGATAGATTGTCGTTCAAAGGAGTTATGCCGAGACAGGGGTACGTGAGTCGAGGCGGCTCTATCTCCTGGATAATCTCCAGATCGAAGGAACTTTTGGCTTGCTTTTTTGCATTGCATTGTTTCTGGGGTGCATATACCACGACCCCGTAATTCGGGCCTTTGCTTTTGGCCTCACCGTCATCTGATGTACGGCCAAATGGTATGTTTTGTTTCGTGTCACTCTGCCGATGGCCAAGAGATCGACAAGAGTTGAGACGATATTCTGTTTACTTGGCGAACTTGTTTTCATCAACTTCAGGTGAAACTCGAACAAGAACTCAAAAAGGCCAGAGCTGAAGGGAGCTAGTATGTGTCAGTTCTGACCAACGCCCCACAGACAATGGTACTAGCAGGGCTGGCAGGGGTCTCATTTCGGCTGAATAGGCCCCTTGAGACGTGAGACCAATCCCGTATCAGCTAAAAGCACGAGCCAGATGCCCAATTCAGGAACGTGAGCTCGTTCAGCGTCGTTCCCAAGGTAAACACGGGGGTCACGTTTCATGTATGGGGTGGTGGTGATATTCTAGATTTCTGCCGAATCGAGAATCATCTTGGGGCAATATTTCTCCGCGTAAAGCCACCAATCGTTGGCAGTGGGTAAACGGATACCGGCACGGAGAGTTGGACAACTTGCTCGATTCTGGTTTCATCTTTAGAGTAGGTGGTAGTGGTGATTGTCTGAGCGGCATTCAGCTACGGGTTTGACAGGCGCGCATCAGCTGGGATTCACCGGGTGAATTGGATATCACCGGATATTCTCCTCATGATATTTCGTGATCTTTGATGGTTGAATAGACGTAGCATAATAGTCATGTCAAGAATAATCTTCCTCCAAAGAGAATAGAACGAGGGCATCAACGTCGCACTGAAGAAGCATGTTCAATATGCTGGTGGATGAATTCAGTAATGGCATCATTGACTGCGCCTCTGCCATTACCGCGCCTATGAGATTCGTGACGTGATGTTGAAGGAGATTGTCATCATTTTCACTCCTGACTACTTGCCAATTAGACAGGAGGATGATGCGAAAAAAAAAAAATGAAGATGTCAGTCACTCTTCAATTGAAGAAAGGATTTGCAAAACTGATTAGTAGTACAGTTAAAAAGATCAATTAAATCGACCAATGGCCAATAGAGCATTAGTTAGACAGAACAAATAATTATTGTTAAATGTAGGGTAAGATGTTGAACGATGCCTCACCATGTTTGCCTGTCTGCTCTATCTTATCTCATGCTCCACCGAAGTGAACCCACTTTGCTATCGATGACTTCCACTTCCGCGGGAACGACGGGAGTATAAATACTAAGAGTCCGACTCTCTTTCTTCTCTATAGATTCCCCTCAACTTCCGATCTTCATGCCATTCTCCAACAAGACGCAGTAATTCGAATCTCGACTGCACACTGTTTCCATTTCCTCGAGCCGTCGTCATCCGGCTTTCATTTCTCAACAATACTTCACTACACCGACATCTTCACTATAGCCAGCCTCGATACTCTGACTCCGTGCGACTTTAGTAACCAGGCGGAAGTTGTGATGCTAATAAACTTTGACTGCTTGTATCGGGCGCAAGACAAGACTACTGAGAACATGCTTGTCTAAACAACCTACCCAGCAAAGCAACGGACCATCTGCAACAATGCCCCCTCATCCAAGTTGGCATGATGTAAGGGTAAACATTACGCGCTCGACCGTAAAGTCGTAGTAGACTCTAGAACTTGAGTTCACGAAACTCAAACGCATTGTGGGAATCCGGGTGGACCCCAGCAGATATGTCACTGGTATTGTAGTTTGTAGTAACAGTGGCAACGATAGTCAGGCATACTGAATTACACCATGGGCGAGTGAGGCGATTCAAGCTCCTAGCCATAGGCCTGGATGGCAAGTACATACTATGTATGTATCTATTCCGTAGCCTACGTCAGATTGTCCACCTTGCATTGTCTCCTCCAAACTCTCCCCCTATCTCGGCCTCCCGAGTCCCATCCCACGTAATCAATCGCAATGCCAAGCCCGTCAGACTTGTATGCGAAAGTGTACTCTGCTGGCCACGTCAAGTCTGAGATCTATACCCATGCCATGTGTAATGAGATGCTGCTCCTTTCAATTTGCTGCACATCTTCCCGCCCGCGCAGAAATGCGATGATGCGCCACCATGTCTTGGACTTTCAGTATCAGTTGCTTGATTGGTGGATTTTGATTACGGGAGCGCTTAGCTGCATATGGCCTGGTCATTGCGGCTCCTTAACTCCCCGCGAGTGATCTCTAATATGATCACTATGCATGAGCTATGCCGGATGAAGAGCGTGATGGCTGCTCTGTGCTCTGATCGTGGTCCAGTCTATCTATTAGGGGCGCGCTTATCGTAGACCGTAAGCTGATAGAACCCTGCTGAATATCCCAATATCCTTCAGAAGACTTGCATACCTGGACTGCAGGCGACTATGCTCCCATAACAGCGACATTATGATCTGCGTCAGCTTTGCAAAGTTGTTTGTTCGCCCCCTCATGCCACCGTAAGCTGAAGCAATGCTCAAGGGGCTTGGAGTCGATACGAGCTGCCGACCTGAAGAGGTGCGACACAAAAGCAATGGCCTGATGTGATATTCCTTGTCTTGCGAACAGACATGGTTCCAATGAGTCGGGACCTTGAACGAGCTCAAACGAGACCTAGGCTTGACTGGGATTAGTATCAGGAGCACAGGCAAGCCACAGCAACGTGTGCTAGCCGAATTGAGAATGGTTGAAACGTCTGAGGTGGTGGGGGATGGCACCTAACAGTTCAATATACGTGAAACAGAGGGGACCTGTTAGTGAGCCTCTACCGCCAACGACATGTGTTGATGTTAGCATACCTGTATGGTTATTCTCAGGTTTAAACTCTAAATAACATCAAAGGTATTACACTGCAGGTACAAAACATTAGCTTCCGCTTAGCACCTCAGTCCACGGAGCCGCAAGATAACGATAAGACCCTATCTCACTTTGGCATCTCATTGGCCAAGCTCAATTACTAAACCCCAAGTCAGCAAAACCTCCCCTGTCATTGAAACACGATGAAACTAGAGAATCAGGGATCTCAGCAAATCATGTTGATCCGCCGAGAAACTAAACGTCTGGAGTAAAATTAAAGGTCCATCATCGAAACACGACAACAGGTGGAAACAGATGGAAAAATTCCACGGTTCAAGCCAAGACGGGACATGGCAAACAGGCCGCCATGGACCTTGCATTTTTAAGAACTTGAGACAGAGTTAAGCGTAAACGGTAAAGCAAAGCAAGCTTATGTCCGCCGAACCTTGTCGAGCATAACCTTGTCCCGAACGACGACTCCCACAATACGATCATGATGAGTTGGTATATAAACATCTTCAACGAACCCTCAGGACTGAGAAGAAGCATCCTTTTCCAATCAGTCCATTTCATTCTTTTCAAAGAGCTAGTCTCTCACATCATTCTTTCAACTTAACATTCATTCTATCAAGTTCGCTTGCGACTTTACCATTCCAATCATTTCACCATGAAGACCACCACTTACGTTTCCGCTCTTCTCGGCCTGGCCTCCGCCGTCAGCGCTCACTACACCTTCGACAAGCTCACCCTCTCTGGTACCCAGGAGGGAACTGATAACCAGTACATCCGCAAGCATGAGAACGGCTACATGCCCACCAAGTTCAAGGGCATTCCCGATGGTTCCATCTCTCCCACCGACAAGGACTTTACCTGCAACAAGGGCTCTACCCCCTCTACCGGCGTCTTTAAGGTCAAGGCCGGTGATGAGATTGGTCTCAAGCAGGCTTACGGCGGTACTGGAATGCAGCACCCTGGTCCTGTCCAGGTCTACGCTGCTCCTGTCAATGACGCTACCAGCGACAGCCCCTATGACCTTAAGTGGTACAAGATTCACCAGGCTTTGATCTGCAAGTCTGGCAACGCCGAGTCTCTCCGCTCCACTGCTTGGTGCTCTTGGGACGAGGACTCTGTCCACTTCAAGATTCCTTCTACTCTTCCCGATGGACAGTACCTCATCCGTGGTGAGCATATTGCTCTCCACGGTGCTCACGATGGCCAGGCTGAGTTCTACTACGCCTGTGCCCAGGTCGAGGTCTCTGGCAACAGCGCCACCAGCATCCCCGGTACTTCTGTCTCTATCCCCGGTGTCTACAAGCAGGACGACGCTGCTGTCAACTTCAGCCTCTGGGGCAGCTCTACCTCTTACGATGTCATCCCCGGTCCTGATGTCATCCCCGGTGGTACCATTCGTGGTTCTGCTGACGGTGCCGGTGGTGATGTCACCGAGACTGTTGAGGGCGGTTCTGACTCTGGTTCTGACTCTGGCTCCGACTCTGGTTCCGGTGCTTCTCCCACTGAGGGTTCTGCTCCTGCTTCTACCGCCCCTGCTTCTTCTACCGAGTCTTCTGCCGCTCCCGTTGTCCCTGAGATTCCCGACTCTGCTGAGACCACTCCCCAGCCTACCCCCGTTGCCGCTGAGACCACTCCTGTTCCCTCTGCCGGTGACGGTGCCAGCAGCGGATGCTCTTCTGGTTCTTCCAAGGCCCGCCGCCACGCTCGCCACTTCGCTGCTCACCGTTTCTAAGCGTATGCAGTAGCAAGGAAATGATTGGATGTCAGTGATTTGACATGATGCACGCGGGACGTGGTGTTTTGAAGTCATGTCATGCGCTGGCGTCTTGGAGGAAAACTTTATTCTGGACTTGATAAAAAGAGAACACTCTTCAGCTTTCTTTGTAAACTAGATACACTTCTTGTAAATATAATCTTCCCGGCTGAACTTCTGGACCAATCATTTGTGAATGTTTGTCGCTGGTAATGGAGAATTAAATCTCTCGTACCTGCAGTTAGTGAATGTTTAACTACCACCAGATGAGCAACCATGTGGCTGAGGTAAAAGCATACATACATCATCTCTGCAAGGCATCATTGGTCTTCTGCGAAGTTTAGTCAATTCAGTCTCGTACCGCATCTGGGTGATTTATCTTGTCCACCATCCCGTTGAGCCCGCGGGCCCCGACAGCGCGGGTTAGCGCTAACATTCCCAGAAAATGTTATTTGATGACAGGGGTCTAATTTCTGGTCTTACTTAGTACCGCCACAGCGCGATCTGACACGAATAAGCATGTTTCTCGAGCAAAGGCCCTTCGGCATATCCGTACATCCCGTTTCTGTCCTCCGATGACCAAATTATTCTCTCCACATCACCATCGACATATGTACAGTGGAGGATAAACAAAAGGCCTCGGTTATCGGTGTTTTAGTCGGTAATATGTTTCAATAGTGCATATGGCCGATTGGGACTTGTACGAATCTCCAGTTCGCAAACAAGTCCCGGTTTAGGCTTAGTTGGGAATTCCAACAGGGGTCAATGATTGCCCCTGCGTTAGTTAGCTGGTTTTAGAAAGCGGTCTTTGGCGGGAACATCTTTGACGATTGATTTGATTCGTGGGTAAATTCAGGATTCTTGCTGTGTCTTAGAACAACTTCGATCGGAGCCACGACCAATCGCTCATTAGGGGATATTCCTCTAACAACATCCTACGCTGAAGGCACGAATCCAAAGTTTCAACTACTTACGCTTCGATCCTACTCCTTTAGGTACAGGAATAGTACACGCCCTGAATATGTCCCAAGGACCATCGTCGTTCCTGACATGTATGCGGACTCGGGTTTGTAATCTGGTGGCAGCCAGAGTATCCTCTCACCATTCCTAATAACCCAAGCGGGATCGTCACCGATGTAATATGTCCCCAGTATGTCATCGTCAGCCCGATTACCTTGGACAATGGCATCAAGGTTGAGAAAGCTGGTCCCCGTGCCGAAATGCTGGAGCTCCGGATGTGGCTGCGAAAGAAACAGACTTTCCCCTGTACACGTATTCCAGACCTGCACCTGGGTGTTCAAATATGCCCCTATGAGTCGCTCGCCTCGAAAAGTCAGAGTGTCTATGAAAGATTCTCCGGACTCCACCTCAGTTTTAATAGTCAGTGTTTCGAGTCCAGGAAGGCAGCGAATCTTGATGGCTCCCCAGATAGTGTATGCAATCTTGGAAGCGTCCGGCGAAAAAGCGACACGAGGAAAGCCATTCAGGGGAACGGCCAGTGTATGCTGGAGAACTGTATTTTCCACATCCCAGATCTCAACTGTACCTGGCTCTGAGGACCCAACAGCCAGTCGTCCACCGTTGGCAGAAATGGCGAGGCAACAATAAAGCGCTCCAAGATGATTGAACGTCCGCTCGAAGGTACTGGCTTGGCGTGGAGGATTGGTGTTCCAGATTTCAACGGTTTTGTCTTTCAATATGGCAAACACCGGTGCCTCAGTCGCAGCTGCTACGAATGTCTGGGTTTCCAAGGGGATTTCTGGTTCTAGTGCTTCTTTGCAAACTCCACTCGCCATATCCCAGATCTTGATGCCCCCCCGGCTATGGGAGAGTATGGTGTTCTCATCCCTGAAAGGCGTCACCATTTCCACCCCCATGGATCGTCGGGTAGCTGTGCTGTCCTCCGTCGAAGCCATTGATGTAAGATCCCATATCCTGACGGCTCCTTCTAATGATTGGCCAGCGAGTAAGGTTCCGTCGTCTGAGATAGCAGGTCCAGCCCTGATGAAACTGCAGACAGTCTTGGAAAGAACCCCGGTCTTCATGTCAAGGACGAGAGTCCTATGGCTCCTAAGGCTGACTATCAGCCAGTCCTTGTTGAGAGCCAGTTGGTCATGGACGATCGGTGTCTCAAAATGCAATGTGTGAAGATATTCGTATGACTCCGTGCTCCATACCTTCACCATTTTTGATGTGGACGATAGCGAAGCGACCAAACAGCCATCGCTTGAGAAGCGTACGATGTCATGCTCGTGTTGAGGTCCTAGGAAAGTCCAAGACGGTTTCGTGGAGCAACTCCATCGTGAAAGAAGCATCGAGTTCTGGGCGATGGCTGCTATCCACTGACCCTTTGGCGACAAGAGTATAGGTCGGTGTTTGTCTGGTATATCAAACTTAGAGACGCATTTCCCTGTGTCGAGGCTGTAAATGAACACTACAGATTCAAGATCGACTGAGCAGATAAACCTACCATCATCAGAAAATGCGATACTTTCGACACCATATACACCCGTAAGGGGGAGGCTCCAAATGGATGCGCCATTGTCGAGATCGTAAATCGTGATCATGTCAGGCCATCCGACAGCTATGATTCTGCTGTTGTACCATGCAAGAACCGTAATGAAGCCCCGCTTAGAGCCGTGACTTATGCTGTGCAGACGAGAACATGACCTCTGGTCCCAGACTCTTATATCTCCCTCGTAGTCAATCGAGGCTAGCTTGTTATCGGGAAGAAATGCCAGCTGTGAGAGTCCTTCATCAACAACCTCGAGGGTTTGACTCTGTGGCCAGTTTGGATCTACGATCGAGGGCTGAACGATATAGTCTGGGTAGTGGCGGTCTTTGAATGGAGTTGGAGCGATGCTCCCTTTTGGGCTGAAGATAGTTCCGGAATGGTATATCTGGAGAGGTGTTTCTTCTATGCCGGTACGAAAATAGCGAATGAACTGTATTGCGTCTTGAATGAATTGCAGTACACTTGCCCCAGAAGTCTCCTGTCGCACTGGTCAGCGTTGTTATAAAAGAAATTCGATGGATGCTACCTACGTCAATCATACCCTGTAACTCTTGGAGCATCCGGAGGGCATCGTCAAGTCTTCCAAGTAGACATAAGACCTCAAGCCAGTTCGAAAACCAACCTTGAAGAAAGCAATGCGCATCACCTTCGTCATGAATACGCACGCCAGCTGATTCGAGATGGTGAACCCAATACAAGCATGCATACTGGATCTCGGCGGGCAAATGATCATCGATAGTAGATGGCTCAATATCTAAGAGCGCCTCTCCAGGCGACGAGAGTCCACAGATATTAACCTTCAATGTTCCTCTCATAAGACCCAGACATCTACTTGCGAGTCTGTCCTGTGTCTTCAGTTCGCTCACCTGTAGATCCCCAGCGGATTGACTCAGGATATAATCTCGGAACGAAAGATGGAATAGCTGGAGAGGGCTATCGTCTTCAGGAACATCGATTACAGAACGCAGTGGGTCGACCTGGCTGGATATAGACCATGCATCAACGCCCAGAAGCCTCGCCAGTGAGACTATTGGTAGAGGACTGGCGAGCAAGACAAGAGATCCAATGATGTCCAAAAAGCCCTTTCTAACCTCATCCTTGTCTTCATCAGGTGCACCGCTCAATATGAGGGTTAAGACAGGCTTGTACAGAGCCTCATACGTAGAGTTGACCCTCGATGACTTATCAATGATGAAGTCGATTTTAGAATCAGGACTCTTTGCCCAGTGTCTATCGCTGATCATGCGTACAAAAGTAGCAGCTGCGATGAATAGCGGTAAGGCTTTGTGAAGTAGTAATTCAAATCGTTCCTCCCCAGGCCAATCTGAAGATAACTGCATATGCTTCTGGGGATGAGTACGATTGTACTCTACCACAAAGCTCTGCATTGCCTGACGGAGGTACACACGGAAGTCACTTTCTATAGTTCCAACATGGAGCTTGTGAAGCACGATTTCCTTGTGAAGCGGTTCGTTGGCAAAGTGACCCATGATATCAAGCTCTGGCCTGCTTGTGAGAAAGACTCTCAGTATCGCCGGGCATGTGGCTAATAGCAGACGGAAGATCTCGCCACGATCTTGTTCGTCACATTCATCCAGTGCGTCAAGAACGAATACAATAGGCTTGGCGAGCCCCTCGTCTTGGAGTTTGGAAAGTGGACTTAGGATCAGCTTCTGCCATTGGATTTGGATAGGTGCCACGTTGAGTGAATGATCCTCCTTCATGGCCTCCAAGATATATGGAAGAATGGGAGGGAGATATAGTGCCAGTTGATATGCCAAAATGGAGAACAAATGTCGACCATTTCCTCGTTTGCCTGCACCTCTCTTGAAGAAGAAGCTAGCCCCGAGGCTTTTGGTCTTTAGATTTCGAGAAATAGTACGTGAAATTGTGCTCTTGCCGGTACCAGCAAGGCCTGGAAGCCAACAGATGGTCGGACTTGAGGGATCGTGAGCCCATTTTTCTATGTCATGGAGAACCTGTACTCGCGTTCCCTCAAGACAGAAGGAGTCGTGTGGGTGGTAAATATGATCGAAGACATCTTTGGGATCAACCAGAAGATTCCTCAGCTGCGACTTGACCCTCTCCTCCGCCCTTTCACTAGATAGGTGTCAGACTGTGGCAGCTTACAGCGCGCTCTTGACTCATACCTGGACTCCAGCCTCATATCGACCATCAAATCATGCAAAGCCCTGAGTTGATCTCGGCTTTGAGAGTTATGATGTAATTCACATAGTGAACCAGCATCATGTAGCTTGTCTTTCGAAATATTGAGGCCTTTCAAATATCCAGTAAAATCCTCTAGGCGAAAGGCATCCGTGAAGGCTTTTGCTGCTGCTTGCTGACGACGGAGAGCAAAGCCAAGGAACCTGATACAGTGAGACAGCGCATCGGTAATTGTCCGTCGTAAGTTTGCATTGATAGGAAGGTATGTGGAAGCCGACGAAGAGAGGTAAAGCTCGTGGTAAACGCTGCATTCAAAGACCAGAACAGTGATTTCGGCGATGCCTTCCACAATCTTGCCTCTGATCTCTTCTCTAGCTGTAAGGTTCTAAGCAAAATTAGCTTGGCGTCGTGGACAAACACTAGTGACGGGATGATGTACCAGAAGAAGGAAGCGTACAGCGGCCCATGGGAGGGCAGCAGGATTGGGATTCATGCTAACAGCGATATCGCCAACAACAGCGAATCGATTGAGATGCGGAACAATCTTTTCCATCGCTTCAGCCAGCCTTTTTTGTGTACCAAAACGCTTCATTTCAGTTTCTAGTCTCTTTATCAAGTCTGACAGGGTAATTTGAGCATCTTCTGCTGAACTCTGTTCCTGAGCTCGAATGACTTCTGACAACTTTTCGCCGTCTTTTGATGCTTGGACATTATTGATTGCCTCTTTCCAAAGCTGCTGGATCATCTGTTGCTGATCATTGTATTCGTAGTTAGTTGTTGATATGGTGGAGGCATTTTCAGCCTTTGATGCTGACGATCCAAGCGAGATAGTTTCTTGTCGAGGATCTTTGGTGACTGCGACACTCACTGAAGACACGGACATCAACGGCAAACCAGCCGATAATCCGCCTGAGATGAAATATCAGCGATGTATCATGTCGTATGTTGATGGGGAATCTGGGCGTGCTGGCACAAACCTTGAGAAACGGCTGGCGTGACTGCAGCAGTGCCTTTAGAGTCACTGCTTGGATCAGTTCCTTTGCCAGGGTTGAGCCGCCTTATAAAGGCTCTAAAAGATGGCCTTTTATAATCTGACATGATTCTAGGGTCTATGGCCTGCCTCACAGAGCTGGAGGCTATGAGAACCAGCGGGCGTAATGGGTGTTGAGGATACGTAAGTTCGAAGAGGGGAAGTTTGGGTATGAAGCGCATAAAATCCGAGCTCTGTCTTGATGTGATTGGTCAGGTATCCGTGAGGCTGACAGACAGACTGACAGGGATACGAATGCTGATGATCTTGGCAACAATTCTTTTGGGGTAAGACGGCCATGACAATCCAAGCAATCTATTACTCTTCATCAAGTTGCCTGAGTTTCCGGGTCTCCCATAATTGGTTTCTACATATGGAACAAGTTGCGGTGCATATCATCGGTATATTGAAAAATCAAGCAATTTCATTAGAAGCACCAGCTGTCAGGGAGACAACATGGCGACACCACTAGAAAGCTAAACCTAAGGAGTGGACGGGAATAGAAGAGAGACTCATCTAATCCCAACAGCCGCAGCAAACTAATATCAGAAAAACATCAACCATCCTTGGCTAAACGAGTGACTACAGTAAGACATCCCCTCCCCCCTTTTATCCCACAGAAAGAATTGCTAGACCTACTTCTCAAGGCAGACCTGAGAGTAGTAGGTAGCAAAGGTAGTAGCCGCAGCAGCACAGCAGAAGATACTCTCCTGATTAGCCTTAGCCGCACAAGCAACACAAGCAGCCACAAAGTTGATAGAAGAAAAGTTGGCGCAAGATCGGCAAGAGCTAGGATGAGGGGCACTATCACAGCTCCAAGAGTGAACACGGCCAAGAGCAGCATCCTTGATCTGAGGACAGTTGCGAGCGCGAACCTCAAGATCACGGCTGTGAACCTTTTCAGCGTCAAAAGACTCGAGAAGGTTCTGCTCCTTGGAGATGGCGACGATGGGCTCAAAGTACTGGTCGAAGAGAGACTCGGGGATGCAAGCGGTGGGATCGTTGATGTAGGTGCTTGGGATCTCAGGGAGCTTGTAGTCTCCGGTGCCGTTGAGGTTGGTGAAGGTATGGCCGAGGGCTTGGAGATGAGAGAGGGTGATGCATTGGGAGACCTCGCCGACTTTGTAGGTGACCTCAGTGACCTTGAAGGGGGTCTTTTCAAGGGCCTTGTTGGGAGTAGTGCTGGCAAAGGCAGCGGTGGCCAGGGCAGCGACAATGAGGATGAAGCGAGCCATTGTAAAGGACTTTTTTTTTAGAGTGAAGAAGTGAGCTTGGGTGTGAATGAAGATGTTATGATGGTTGAGTGAGCTGGCAATGTGGACATGAACGCCGTCTTAAATACTTCCTGCCGTTTACGATGCCCTCATCGTCGTTGCCGAACTTGGTACTCAACGAGTTCTCAACTACCGGTGAGTTTCTCAAAGCTTGGAGACTTCTCATCTTCATCATGACATTCATGAACTCAATCATCGTCGGTGTCGGCTCTCGGCAGTTGATACGCCGCTGACTCGAAACAACCCATGATATCTCTCAAGCCACAAACAGAACACGAGTTGATCTTGCTCGCTTCTATCCTCATCTGCGATAGATTGGGGGTTTGACTCTCACCATCATCTGCCGGTATAAGATGAGTCGATGAACTAAGTATAGTCTGACGTTCCTTTGTTCCTTTTTGGAATATTGCATATTATTAGATCCGCTTTGACAGTTTCACCTATGCGAATAGTCCGTGCTTGCAATTGAACCGTTGCTATAGGTCAGTTATTGGAGTCGTGCTCGGTGTTCGATTGGGCAAATAACCTCACACCGAACCCCCCACGTGGGCTTCGTTTCGGTATGCTTTGCGGGCCGCTGCCAGCGACGGCACGTTGCGATGCCACCGTCGGTAATACAACGGTCCCTGGTGATATTATACGAAACAAGCTTTTTCTAATGCGAAGAAGGTTTGTAGGATTTCATTGCCTAGATATTTCCCCCCTGCTCATCAGTGAGCCGGCGCCTTGCATCATAACCAATGACAGGCTCGCATTTAAACACGAACCTGAGTTCATCACGCTATGCCAGGGGATAGACAGGACTATCTTCATTGAACTCTGTTATACGCGTGTAGAACATCGTATGTCTCGGACAACAATGCATTGAACTCAAAGTTCTCTCTGCTGATTCAAGCTCTCAGCAACAAATCTCATTCAATGCTTATAGGCTGAGACACGGATGACTTTACGATAATCCAAGTTTGGAAAGTGGAACTTATGATGCCGATGAGCCGAATTGTGAGACTTCCTGTTCGGCAATTGCTTCAGTCATGATGAAGTCGGATAGTGGTGACTTCCATGAGCCGAGTTGCTATCCGTGCGAATGAGGTTCGCCAGTTGCCTGACAAGACGGTTGCTGAAACATGAGGTTGGACTGTTTGGGAGAAAGTGAGTCTCTTGGGAGATTCTGAAATATAAAATGATCAACTTTCCCGGCCTCTTTTGCAACTCACCACTCTCATCACCAGCAACACTACTACAAGAAATTCTACAGCTCCCAGTCCTCAAGACTCAAACATCCCATCCAAGATGAACACTCTCAGCCTCATAGTCCTCTTCTTCGGCGTGTAAGTCACCCGTTCCTTTCCGCAACAACCAAATCTGACCTCTCAGCGCCATGGCCGACACTCACCACAACTGTGGCTGCACCGTCCGCGGCACATACAGACAGGATCTTGGCCAGGCTGCCTGTGCCCTCTGGGGCTCCAACCAGCCCAACACTCATTGGGACGGCTACTCCGTAAGTACCCTGTCCATGAACTCACAGAGAGTACGGAAGCTGATTATGTAGTGCGTTGACAAGGGCTACGGCCGCGGTATCGATGGTGCTCCCTGGGAGACTACCTGCAAGCAGGCCTGGGATATCAACTTTGGTGGCAACAAGAACGATGCTTGGGGCAAGTGCTGGCACTAAGCTGACTGATGCCAGTCTGTGGGATCAGTGCTTGTTTGGCTCGGGATGGAGATCGTGCGATTGGTTCTTTTCTGCCTGCCAACATTCACATGGCTTCTTGTTACTTTAGAAACCATGTAGAACTCTTCTTAGTCTTGTCATAAGCTTATGGCAAGGCGTTTGCAATTCACTTTATGCTGTGCACAATGCTTGAGCTATTCCTTCTTCGAGGAAACTTGATGTGATTACGACTATTGTTTCTCAAGTCACGTGTAAATTCGTCAAAGGCCACGTCTAGGACATAATAAGGCTACTGACTAAGTCATCACAAGGAGGCTTGTGGCTTAACGGTTAGGCGTCACTGGCTGAACCAAAAGGCTGACTAGGCAGCTAAAGGTAAAGCTAAAATTTAATGAGGACGTTGAAGTATATTGGCTTGATACACGTTGATAAGATGTCATAAGCTTTAGCTATTAGAATCCTGTGTGACACTAAAACTCAGGGAGCCCTGATCTTTAGAGAGAATAGTGATGACTTCTCTTTTGCAACTCGGTGTTTTCGCATAGCGAATGGTAATTGCACTATTGAGGATGGTATCGCATGTCTCTCAAGATCTTCAAATGGATGGTTTCGGTATTGGAAATATCTGCCGAGAAAGGACTAGTAACATAAGATCAGAGGACTGGCGCAAGGAGTAGTGCCTTTGGTGAAGTCAAGTGAGTACACCAATAGTTAAAAGTGGACCTTAACTGCGGACATGCGTTGCTAGTTATAACAGATCACTGATTACGGGGCTGGGTGACTCGAGGAAATGGGAACGAAAATTGGCATCAGTTTGAGCGTTAAGGACCAAGGCGGGCGTCAAGACTGACACCAGTTCCCTCCTCCAAACTCAAGGCAATATCACAGAGTAAAGGTAGTCTATATTCAAGACTCCGTAAGGCAGATTGAGTAGCGCAGATGTGCATTCCTGATCTCACCGAACTAGTGTAGTTTTGCATTCCAACCATCGACAGATCGGTCTGGACGCCGTTGCAAACGTGGTAGCTCGTGGAAATTCCCCGTATTTGCGGGTTCACCGAACTTAGATCTAATCATGTTACCCACAAATTTAATCATCGCGTTAACGTGGTAGTCGGAATACTCCGGACACGGGATAGTATTTGCTGTAGTGTTCACTAACGCCAGCTGCTGTTAGTGCTTCGATAAGATTGTCATTGGATGGCAAAGTTTCTGTCTGCTATAATAGCATACTTTCACTTGCGATTCTGGAAAGGTTAATTATAGAGCTAGGCCTACCCGATGAAAATAAAACTTGATGTAAGGTTACTGATATGGAAAATGCCTTGGAACGGATGGAAGATGAATCTTGGCAGGCCTCCCACAATGCGGGGGACAGATAGAGTTGATCTTGACTCAAGCCATATAAAAGATCAGGCGCCACACTCTACTCTGCACCAGGGTCCTTCATAGCTTTGGCTTCGTCTTGAATATCCACCCCATCTTTTTCCAACCCTGCTTCTCAGCCAACATGGCATCTCTCATTGCCTCTGCGGTATCTACCCTTCTGATCAAGTTCGGCACCGGTCTAGCTGGGAAAGCCGGCGGCTGGGTCTTCCAGGAGGGTCTAGCAGCTGTAACCGGCGGTATCACCGACACAGCAAGGATCAGAGAGGACATTGCCAACGTCTTGAAAGAAGTGAAGCAGATACAGACATCTGTCACTGAACTCTCGAGTCAACTCTCCGATAGTCTGCTGCAGCTGCGCAAGGACAGTCTGAGAACTTACATCACTGATATCGAAACTTATTACGCAACAATCGGCGATATCATGCAGGAGGCTTTTGAACTTCCTGAGAAGAAACTAACAGATGCGGATCGTGTTCGTCAAGCTAAAGGGCTGCAGAAGCGCCTCAACAATCGCCTTAGAGCCTGTTCAAACGACGTTCCTGGATATCTCGACAAGATCAACGACTTCCTCAACGAGCGTGGCTCCAATGCTTTCTTCCAACAGGCTGCACAGCAAGCTCTTGATCAATCGGACGATTTCCTCGAATATTATAGCAAGACCAAAGTCATGGTACGTGCAATCACACTGAAAGAACATGTGGCATAGCTGACTGATACTCACAGGCACTTAACTATTGGGTTGCATACATCAAAGGCATCAGCCTTCTTCAGATGGCTCACGACACTCCTCAAGTCAACTTCGAAGAAGGTTCTTTTACCATCGATCGACACAAAGCCAACGTTCTCGCCCAGGAGAAGAACTTCAGATCTACAGTTGGAGAAGTGACCATCGCTCTTGCTGAAGAAGTCATCAGCGACCCGAATGCCACAAGAGATCTCACCTGGAGAACAGCTGGCGGTACCTACATTGAAGCATACAAGTCCCCTTACGCAAACTACGTCCTTTCTGGTATTCCCGGACCACGGGAGAGCGCCTGGATCGTCAAACACATCCCGAGCGTCACCAGGGAAGATTTCGATCCTACGCAGGGTTACCCGGTCCTGATTGAGCCATCCGACCGAGTTGACAATCCTCTCTGTGCTGGAGGATCGCAGTATGGCCTCGATACTAGATGGACGACCGCTACGCTGGGCGAGTATCAATGTCGTTGGTTCATCAAACCTAGGTCTCCTGGGGAAGCACGCTTTTCGTTCCGGTTTCTAAGCTCTAGTGCTGCTAATAACGGGTCCTATATTGTTGACAATCCAGCGAGCGACCTAAGAACGTTGAATTATGTCGATTCTCTTCACAAAGAGGATGGAAATCAGTTCTTCAGTGTTACGCTTGGCGAACCAAAGGTTTAGGGACATTACGGTATCAATCAGGACAATTAGACGCTCCTGGATGGGTTAGATATGGGAGTATTATGTATATTATATTACGTTCTTTAGTTGTTACCAGATGTATCATTTGCAGTTGAGACTTGTGGCTGAGAGCTTATTCCGGCAGAGAGAACCTAGTTGATCTAAACATGAACGTGCTGTATCAATGGGCTTAGAACTAGCACCAAGTTGCCCTTTTCTCATACTCACATGAAGCGGAAGCTTGACAGATGTGACATCGGGAGGACTGTGACGGACTTGAGAGCTATAATATTTCGAGTTATTCTTTCTACTTAGACCTTTACATTGAGTTTCGACCTAGGCAAGCTGAAATAAGCATGCCGAGGCCTTAAGCAGCTATGCAGATTATTCCATCCCCCAAATAAAAGACGTTTCTGATGTAGATCAGCCATGCCCGATGGCATTTTGTTTGCCAAAAGGTGGCCTGTAAGGAGCTTATAGCAATCGAAATCAGCGTTATGAAATCCAGGTCAATGGCAGCAAAGACTTTAAAATGTGAACCTTTTATTGGAAAATGTGTGAAAGCCTTGATACGAATGTTTGCAAATGAATCTGCACTATAAGAAAAACGAAGCGTTCCCGATCCTGCATCCTGCCCCCAGAAATAAGACCCTACTCATCCTTGGCAGGATCAAAGCCAGGGCACTGATCGCCAGCAGCCTCACCGAGCTTCTTAGTAAAGCTATCATCCTTGTCCCAGAACTTGGGGCCAACACCACCATTCCAAGCATCATAGAGGTAGTCTCGAAGAGATCGGCCGTTGACAACAGGCCAGTTGTCCCAGCCAACAAGGTTGCCGATGAACCACTGACCAGTGTAGTTCTCAATATCGTCATCGGCTTCGTTGGCCATGCGCCAGCAGTGAGTGAAGCCACCGTCCTTGTGGTAGACGACCTTGGCGCGCTGTCCATCGAGGCGGGGAGTGTTGGTGGCGTGTTCGTAGCCGCCGTGGCATGAGGGGGCGACACGCTTGACGTCTTCGCCTTGGACGAATACGACGATGTTCTCCCAGTCATGGGTGTGGCCATTACCGCCACCAGCAGCGTTGATAGTGCCCCAACTAAAATTGGTCAGACATAGATGTTGTAGAGAAGGTAAATTAAACTTACGAAGACTGGTCCTTCTCAAAGTAGTACTCATACATAATAGCGCACCAACCGTTGTTGCAGCGCTTTCGGCTGTAAACATTGTTGTTCTCCAGACGGTTTGGCTCGCGGCAATCAGCGGCGGGGCCCTTGAAGTAAACGTCCTTCTGGCTGAGACCACGGTTGGTGTTGCCGTCCTTGTCGATGGCAGAAGTGTAGTAGCAGCCGTCAGTGTCGAAATCGGTGACAGGCTGGAACTTGTGCTCGATCTCGTGAGCTCCGTCGTCGAGACGGCCCATGAGAACTCGCTTGGCAAGCTTGAGGGGTCCTGCTTCGACGGTGAGAGCACCGGCCAGGACGGTTGCGAGGGTGAAGGCGTGCATGATGGCGAAGAAAAAAATGAAGTTGGAAAGAGAACAAGAAGTTGAAGTTGAAGGAAAAGGGTAGAGAGTGTTGTGAATTGATGGAGTGATGATGAGATGAGATGGTATATTTGTGACGGCAGAGAAAGCCTCTTATATACGTGGTCTGTGACAAGGTGGATAAGACTCGATCAGAATGTCATCGCCCAAGTTGAAGTTTATCATGACACCAAGCAGCCATTCCTCTTCCCATCTCATCTCCAAGAATGAAACGGGTCATGAAGGATTGGCTATACGAGTAGGATTCACCATCTGAGCCAATAAATGAAGCCAAATCTATTTCGATGATCTCACTGCATACATGAATTTCATGCATCAGTTCAGCTCGATGCAACTAAACGCCCAAACCGCCAAGGCGCAGCAGCAGCTCAGACCAATCACACGAATTTCGCACCCGTACCTTAATTTTAAGCTTAGCGGATCTTATCTGCTTAGCCACAACGATCGCAGATCTGACCAATTAAATGTCTGCCGGACCTATTTTAATCTCGGGCGTAAGCTTTTCCTTGAAACGTGTAGGATTTTGCTAGTGTTATTCTGGAAATCATGCTCGTGGTGTTGTTTGGGGGCTGTGAGGCGTTTTTGGTGAAACCAGCCTTGTTTTTGGTGGCGGATGACAAAATGTCAGCTCTAGGTTTCATGCTGAGAGATACTTTGGTCGGGTGGTGGTTTGTGCGGTGGGGGATGTACCTTTGATCAGCGCGATTAAATGAGAACGGGTCATGATGGGCTATGAAAACACTTTGGTGGCTTTAAAGGATGGATATTATCTTTTCTAGAGCCTGACAGGATTGAGATCCAGGCAATCAGTCCATGCCACGGCTGGCAGAGGCTGACGATTTGCATGTAGTTGAGAATGGATTCTCTTGTCATTCTTTGATTGATACTTAAAGCTTATGACGCCTCAGCGAGGCATATCAAGCCACCACTATCATGAGATCAGGTTTTTTTTTTTTAACCTCGTCTAGTGGATGTTCTTGTTCCTCGTGTTCAAAGAGTCTTGAGAGAGTCCGCAAGACACCAGCCAGTGAAGCCTTGATACCTATGCGTAAATTCATCGGGATAAAAATAAGCGTTGATGAAATTAGAGTAAGCGGGCATGAGATTGGTAGTAAGCGCTGATTGAGAAATATCCACAGGGCTGTGATTAGATCGGGGCGGGCGTGGGGTCCAAGCCCACTGAGATGCATGCTTCAGGGTAACTCTAAGCTTTTCTTAGATCGATAACGCAATTCGAAGCAGTTGTCATGATGAAGACAAAGATGTCACTCGAAGAACTGAACTCATGCTAAACAAAAAATGCGGTAATATGATGAATGGGACAAAAGGAACCGGGATTTGATATGTTGAAAACGTTAATTGCGAAATGTCTCCAGTGGAAGGTTTTTGGTTCATGGGTGTATGAATTAGTCTCTTCTGTGCTATCTTTAGCTTATCATCCTTATGGCTCAAGAAAAATGTCTCGTAAACAGTCCAGTCTTATGCAACAAAACTATCTACAGAGGAAGGGTTATCCTTGATCTAGGTCATAGGATTGACATGGTGAATAGACGAGAGACTGGCCAAGTACTTTCGACTGCAGGAGCCTGGAGCAGGCGTTTTGCGTTTTTATTGTAGGTTTCTATCATTCCTCGAGCCATCTGCAGAATGCTTGTTTTCATTTAGCCACGTAGTAAACTTTTGCAAAGCTATTCCGAGATGTGATATCTTATGCTTCTCTTCATCTGGCATCTCCGCCAATGTCAGTCCCATTCCGCCCGGTTGAAAGCACGTCTGCCACCCATATCGCATCACGCCTCTCGCTGGTACAATCGTCCCGTCAATTCGTCCTTGAAACAGTACAGGCTCATGACCAGGGCCTTCACAGTACCCTATGGTCGCTACTGCTTCAGCGGTTTTGTCTGAGAACCCAGCTAGTAAGAGATGTAACTTTTCCGGTCCTAAAGTCTCGAGGAAGAATTTTATGTAAGGGCCTGGCATGCCGTGCATCGCATTGAAGCAAAGAGCTGTGTCATCCACGACGACTGGACCACCGGCCTGCCAAATGTGTCAGCTTAAATCGCGCTATGTGGAAGAGATCTCACCATATCTGCAGCTGTGCGACATTTTGCGATTGTGATTTCTTCGATCGATCCTTGTATCTCGGGCAGATCGAGAGATTGATTGCGAACGATTATCCCAAAGGGGGCGAGGATAGCCTTGATATCGGCTATTTTATTAGCATTGCCAGTGATGAGGTTGATTTCCGTCATCATGGTGGTGTTCAAATGAGCGATGCTTTTGGTGCGAGAGTAATCTCTAATAAAAATGACTGACGGGTCTGATTCATCAAACTATGCGGTGTAATCTGACTCCGGTACCGGGTATAGACCCACTTAGCACTGTACTCCACCATCGACGTCAAGATGCCGTTTTGCTAATTATTAAGACATGAGATGCCTGCTTCATAAATTCTTTCCCGTGTAAACCCAAGTTGAACTTCGACTAAATTGCCTGGCTGAGCTCAGCCGCACCTCTACTCAGCTCGCGAGATAGCTCAATGATATGTGAAGTCTCTCGGGTTATATCAATACGATATCTTGGACCTCGTTCTCCAAGATCTGTTTTTCCTCCTTTGTTGTCAGTTCGACATCGAAGTAGCCCACTCTTTGAAAGACCCTCTCACAGCGTGGAAGTCGTTTGCAGTTGCGAAAGCGAGATAAATCGTCTTCTCCAGCTTCCTGAACAATGATGCCCTCAAGTTTTAATTCCTGTGGCCGGGTTTCCCCGGACATTCGATTGAACCCGGCGGCGCGCCTCAGTACTATACCCTGGGCCTCTTGTTGTGGGTGCCCAGGATCAAACACTGTCCATGCCTCATACATGTCGTCTATACCCTCAATGTGACACCTCAGTTGCCCTGTATTAAGTCTGAATGGTTTGATCAGTCGGACTGTGACCGCTTGCAGATGAAGCCACCCGCGTGCCAGCTGACCAAAGAAGTCATGTCCTTTGAGCTCGAGGTAGACATCCAAATACTTTACTGACGACATAGGTGCAGGATGCACGTAAGAGGTCGTCCAGCCAGGGAAGGTGACGGAACCAAAGAGAGAGGCCCAAGACCACGATGGTGCAATATACTCCCTCGAAGCTCGCACATCTGTCTCATCGACGCGCCAGCAGAGCACATGGCCAATATCCTCCCACCACATCCCTGCGCAGTACTGCGCACCTCGAGACCTGGCAACAAATGATGCTAGCCCAGACAATGCTGGGAGCCGATCCGATTCGTAGGACAATTCTCGTGTTGAATAGTCGCTAATCATTTTGTACCACTTATGGACCCTTTCGTAAGACTCGAGAGGCTCGGTAATTTCGGTGATGGTGTACCAGTCCAGTATACGATTGTCCTCCTGCTCAAGTTCTTCATACCTCTTTTGCTGACATGTCCAAGTAGTCTGATAATCGCTGAATCGCAGCATACGCCTCGACAAATATTGCTCTTGCAAAGTCCAGCCTCGCGTGTCTAGAGGGAGAGGGTGAGGGTTTATGTATTTGTCACCTTGAGGGCACAAATACACATGTATGCTCCTTCCAGCAGCAGTAAAAACCTTGAGTTCCCAGAGGGCAGAGTTTCTTTGTTTCAAGAAGCCCTCTCGGTCATCTGAGGCAGAGGTTGCTCCTATAGTAAAATATGCGCCGCGGTATACATCAGCCATCCGAGATGCTTCCCTCTCCCAGTCTGCAAAGTCGCCCTGGATAATGCAGAGCGAGTCGATCCATAAATAACGCACACCGAACTTGCGACTGACCTTGACAGCATCTCGAAACGTCTTTGGAACATCTAAAGTGAGATGGAAGCCCTCATTCATCTGTTCAATTGTAGTCCGAGTGGTTACGAACTCCTTGGACTGTCCCCAGCAGTGACTTAGAGCCACATATTCGACCTTCTGGTGAGGTTCCACCAACTTTACCATGTCAGTATCTTCGGTCCCTACATCAAGTAATCTTGTCGGGAAAAACTTGGTGTCTTCTTGCTGACATGCCTCATGATTGTTCACGCATTCCTCGATCCATTTTGTAATGCGAGCTGCAGCGATGCCCCCCAAAGGATCCGGAAATACAGCAACTTGGCAATCTTTGATGTTATTGGAGGGATCTGGTGGAATATCAGTCTTCTATCAAGTTATGTTCAAGGGACTTGCTTTGCTTACCTGGAAGCGTAGTAACGTCATATGAATTCGGCCTACAGCTGTAGAAATATCGGCCCTCGCGAGGCTCTTGACCCTTCTGCCATGTCCTGTACAAGTCACTGACAAGAGAAAAGAGATCACAGTCCTTCTCTGTAGTATCTGTAGCTTCACCATCTTCCAACCTTTCGTCGAAGTCTTTTAACTCATATTCTGCGTAGATAGAGCCTGAGGAACTCCGGGCAGAGCTTGTCGTGAGAAGATTGCAGAAGTAACATAGTGACATATTCGTGTCAGACATTTGCCATGAAAACATGGAGTACAGAGAGTATTAGGCTGGTCTGTTCAGGTTATATCATGGATGATCTGATGTTTTCGTTTGGGCACCCATTGGTGCCACGACATCTTCGGACCCACATTGGGTACCTTTGCTTCGTCAAGACTTGATGTGTCAGAATTTTTGGTTTATTTCTATTCTCCAAAACTCAGCAGAAAATTGACTGGTGTCCCATACTTGTTATGATAAATCGGCTTTCAACCTTCCAGCTCATGTCGCTGCGTCTGCCCATTCGCCTCGAGTGGTGAAGTAGCTGCCGGTAACTCAGCAGTAGCTTGACTACTGTCCAACTCTTGCAATCCGTTCTGCTTCGAACTTTCACCTGAAAGCTCAGCTTTGCCCCATTGCTTCGTAGCCCCCTCATCGCTGTGTTGCGGAGGATGTTCACTGGCCTTCCTCTTGCGACGGCGCATCCATAGCCAAAGACCAACGAGTGCCACTATAGCAGCAACTCCACCGACTACACCACCAGCGATAGCCCCAACTGGTGTTGGCGATGAATTGTCAGGGTATGAGTCGAACTTGGGGCCGTCTGTTGATCTTGGTGTTGTCTATGACATCGAAGCTATTTTAGTTAGTAAGAACATTATCCCCAAACAACATAGAGGTTAGGCTTACCGAAAAGCTTTTCTACTTCCCTGTTGTCCCACTCAACCTCATCCCTGGCTCGTGTCAGTAAGCAGAATACCACGGATACCAGCACACTTACCCGCTCTGATACCAGTCTTTCACAACCTTTGGTGATTCGTAATCCTCAGCCTCAGCATCATACTCACTAGACCAAGTCAAACTCGGCAAGTCAAGAATGCCAATCCCCTGAGTCCAGGGGTCTTTGTCCTTCCAACCTTCGTTTTTACCCCAGTTATTACCACCTATGCTTAGCATCTGGCGCTTTCCAACAAGAGCACATCCATGCATTCCTCTCTTTGGACCATCGACCTCCGCCTTGAACCACTTGAAGGCCGGGAGTGATAGAACCCAGACATCGCCGTAGGCTTTTGTCTTGTCATTCCACGTGTTCCAGCCACCGTAGATGTATCTAGATCAGGTCAGCCAGACCGAATATCAGAAGCCCTTTTGACAGCGTACATATCGTAGGGATTGTTTAGCCCCTGTACTCCGACAGAACAAAAGTCAACTCTGGGATCCGGAGAGACACCCGACGTTTGTTGGTAGTACCACTCTTTGGAGCTGGGGTCGAATATAGTAATGTTGGTGAAGGACACTGGCTTTGACATGTTTCTGAACGCGGGTGTCTTGACTTTTGCGCCACCGATAAAGATCAACAGTCCCGACGAACCGATGGGAGGTATACAGATAGCTCTTCCGGACCAAGTGGCATAGTCTAGTGCTTTTGTCGACTCATTTGTCCACTTTTGGGTCGTCATGTTGTAAGTTAGCAGCCCGTCAAGTGGTCGCTCAACATAACTGCCGTCAGTGAACCTCTCGTCAGTCCGACGTTCGCCATAGCCACCGAGATGGTATCCAACGCCATGGCAACTGGTGTAAGCTCCTCTCACGGTCCGATACAGAGAGCTGAACAACGTGTCGTCCTCAGGGTCATGGGTGGACCATCTTCCCTTGCCATCGTCCGCCTCAAAGGCATATAAATGGTGGTCCCCAGCTGATGAGGTATTCTTCTAGGACCCTTGACCGCCCCATGAGTAGATCATTGATCGTTCCTCATCAACCCAAAGAGCTGGCTGTTTTAGATATGGCCATGGTCCTTTCTCACTCTCTGTGAAGGCGACTGTGTCGTTTGTCCAAGATTCATCTAAGGGTATCGAAAGAGTGAGACTGACTGCTCGGTGTTAGTATTAGCCGCGGTATTGAAGTTGGCGTTGCTTTACCAGCTGTTGACCGTGAGCCGTCGAGGTCGGAGCTAACCTCTCCGCCGTCGATATAAATTTAATATAAAAGTAGTAATAAGCTTTAAGTACTATAAATAGCTAGTAATACTTTATTTATAAATAATAAGAGTATAAAAAGGTCTTTATAAAGCTATCTTATTACCCTTTTTAGTAAATTAATTATTTAAAAGGTATTTTACTAAGCTATAATAATTACTTTTATAATAGAGGCTAAGCTACTTTTATTAGCTTAAATTATAAAGGAATTAATAGCTTTTAAGTAACTTTTTAATAAAATGCATTTTAACTAGAGGCGGTGGCGACAAGGAGATGAAGAGGCTTCATATTGAAGATCAGTGTTATCGCGCGTGTACGTCGTCGTTCTTGATAGCCTGTGTTGTGAGTAGCTAGGGTACTCGTCTTGGTCTCGTTCGTGCAAGATGATTTACTCTAGAAGTTTGCGTTTCTGAAGGCTCTAGATGTTGTTAACCATCATTTCCTATCGAACGTATCATGCGGCGGGGTAAGTGGTCGGCCTCCCACATCAGAGCACGTCATATGATGTGGTAGGCTGACGCCTTGCTGGCCTCAATTTGAGTACTGACAGTTACGAGGCCCCTCCGGAACCATAAGGTGACAAGGGAAAAATCTGCCCATTTGACTATCAATAGGAAGGGTATCCATGATGGAAACTTCCCTTGGACTTCATCCCAATAACCGTTTTCCGTAACATAGAAGATATTCAATCTCTACCAAAAACCAGCATTGCCTTTTCTCGTGGCTTTGTGATCACGGAGTTGGTGCAAACAGACCAACAGACGCACAAACCGAGGAGCACGTTCCAAAAGCCACATTACAGGCAACAACAGTTACTGGAGCAATTGCACCCGAGGTAGCGCCCCAAGCCGCACCAGCAGCTCCATAGCAAGCCATGACGACCTTAGAACAGCCGGCTTGACAGCTCCCGTAAGCCAAGGGACCAGCAGATACAGCTACTGCCAAGCTGATGACGGGGAGGGCAACAAGTCCGAGTCTCATAATGGGGATCGGTGCTGTCTGTTGAATGTTAGCTATGGTTAATAACAGTGTAACCAAAGGCTTGCATGGACATACAATATTGGTTTCGGGTTTAATAGGTTCTAGTGTAGGGATATTGATGTATGCAACTCAAAACCAATCCTTTCCTCGTGAGAAGGGTTGAGCTTTTTAGGTGCTTGTTGTTTCAGGAGTTTGATCACGCTGCCTCTAAGGAAGAAGCAGAATAGCGTCTTTTTATACTGCGCTGAGGTTCCACTTCATGGGTAATATCTGTCCTTGCCTTTAACTTTAGGGCGAAAGCTATCTAGAACGTGGTCATTTGTGGCTGACTCCTTTGGCTGAGAGTTTACAATCATCACACAGAACTTAATATCGTCTTAACCCTATAACCAGGTCACCGTTTTCAGGAGCCAATAAGATGGCGACAAATTAAAAGCAAGTTCAATTGCAGCATCCTCTCAAGGCCAGTTACATAGTATAAAAGAGACAAGATGACGGTTGTAATCGACAATGGTCGGCCTCCAGCATCAAGGTGCATCATCACGCACCACTTATCAGGATTTACACTTGAAACTTTTGGCTGAGAGCTTAGCAAGTCTCATGACATATAACCTCGTTTAGCGAATCAAATTTCTTCTCATTGACTTTCATAACTTCATCAGATGAGTGCGCCACTGAACTACAGATAAAGGCCACTCACTCTCATATCCAGACAGAAACGTGTCTTATGGGGATCCTGCAGGCGTAAGTGGCTTTCTCCCATAGACAAAGTAGCTAATCATAAAGTCAGCGTCACATCATCGAATCAGATTCAGTCGGCACTTACATAGGCCAATACGCATGGATCCTGGGGTTCTGCAAATCCTTTCTCACATGCGCACAAAACACCCTCGTCTCCTCAGTTGACCACCCAAGCCCTCTCGTGAAATACGCCAACGACAGCCCATCCAGTCCTCCAGCGATATTCGCACAAGCCCAAGCCCCCAGTTCCTTAAACTTCTTATCTCTCGGCCACGGATTCGTCGGCCACTTCTGCTGCACCTCAACGATGTCAACGAACCCCGCAGCAGCGAGGTAGTTCTTATACTCAGTTGTCGGAAACACAGGACGGCCAAGGTTCTGACCAGCTTCGAAGCAGGATCTGCACCACTTGGAGAGATAGCTTTCTGGGTGGAGGGTCCCGTCGTCGGAGCGTGCGGGGAGGGACATGTCTTGGAGTTCGAGATAGCCGCCGGGCTCGAGGTTGTCAAAGGCGACTTTGACGATTTGGGGGAAGTCAGTGAAGCAGCCGAGCATCATGCGGGCGAAGATGAAGTCGAATTTCTTGGTCCATGTCCATTCTTTCTCGAGGTCATCTATTTCGAAGCTAACGTTGGGAGGGACGCTGGGGATGTCAGTATTTTAAGACGGGATAGAATGTCAGCAGGGTTGCATACAGAGCTGGTTGGATTGGACTCAGGTCGACGCCGATGACCTATAAAGTCAGTATCATGAGGCTACGCGACACCGATTTATTTACCTCTGCTTGAGGGTTTGCATCCGCTGGAAACATGTAAGCGCTTGACGTTACTACATACATTGCAACAAGATCTTACCGTAGTCAATCGCCCATGAGCCAGTGCCTGTTCCCATGTCGAGGACACGATTCGCGCCTTTCGCTTTGGGACATACAGCGAGGTCTCCGTCGAGCGTTCGAACATAAAGCTCGTGTTGCAAGTCTAGTCATATCAGCATTGCTCTGACAATTACAAGTTCCGACATACCCAGTCTCTCATTTTCTTCCTTTCGTTCAGTCAGTAACATTAATATGCAAAATACCCGATGCGGTATTGAGTCTGTTGATCAAACCTACTTCGTCATTCGGCAGGACATATTCTATGACTCGTCAGTTTTTTGCTACCAATTGACATGAAATTATCTTACTCCCGCTGCTCAAAGCATGATAGCTGCGACCATTTTCCTGTCGATAAGCCAAAATACTCGAAGAGATTGAAACAACCGATGGCTCTACTTCCTATACACATCATCAACATACGTCATTTTGAGGCCCTGTCAAAGCGTAAAGTGACCCATGAAAACAGCGAGTCATTGAAACATACCTCGCCAATTGAGGAGTCGGCATCGTCGTCGTCACCTGCAGCCTATGCACGTCAAATCAGACCCCGCTTATGCACAGACATCGACTTCCTTACGATGGCATCTTGGATCTGGATAATGGGCTCCGAGTCTGGGGGCGGAGAGTTACCCTCGTGCTGGGACTCTTGAAGTGCCATCGTCGATGGGGCCAGAGTTACAGAGTGTGATTGAGCTGTGGATCACGGAGGATTGATCGATTCAAAGGAACGCCCCCTCTTTCTTTATTTTCTTGTGCCGGCCCGTGCCTTGTGTAGCGTGATGGGCTGTTCTGGATCGGATCGGAACGTGGCGTTACTGATGTTCCGCCAATTGATTCGGGCGGGGATGGCTTCCGAACTGCGCCATCCCCATCCAAATCATATCATTTAGGGCCTTGGTCCGCTGATGGAGGTACAGCTCCACTAACTGTGAGCCCCATTGACGGCACTCAATAATGTTAGGGTGTATGTACCTCCTGATATGAGTGGTTTTTATCAACGTCAAGGTCGGGGTAGCGTTCATGCGCCTTCAAATCAACCTAATCTAATTGGACAAAGTACGATAAAGACGTGCGCCGTCGTTACAGGGGATCTCAATCTCCAACGGCGTCGTCGGCTGATTAGTCTGATTAGCCAATTACTCCTGATCGAAATGGTTTCTCTTCTTTCGTCCGCTCATCACGGTTCGATGCACTGCTCAAACATCATTCAAGATGAGCGCTGAAAGCGATACGTCTGCAGGCTTTGTGCGCGATGTCTGGCAAGGCGTTGCCGACCATCCTCGGGCCGTCATTGCCACAGCCATCCTTGGGCTAGTGGTTCTTTTCGTAGCTGACACGTTGCGCGCTTGGTACCGACTATCACATGTTCCTGGTCCGTTTTGGGCGGGGTTCTCCAAAGCTTGGATGGTGAGACAATCCTTCAAGGGAATCCAACCTTATGCGATCCAACAAGCCAATGAGAAATATGGTATGATCTGAATGTCGCCTTAGAAAGAAGTAGCTAATTGTATTTTCAGGATCTCTCGTGCGTATTGGGCCAAATGAGCTGGCTACGGATGATCCCAAACTGCTCAAACGCATGATGTCAAGTCGTTCTGCTTATACAAGAGGACCTTGTAAGCTCACATCACTTTCACTCCTTGATAAATGTAATGATGAACTGACTATTGAGGACAGGGTACAACGCTCTCCGTTTTGAGCCTGGAAAGGATAACCTCTTCTCCATGCGAGATGACGATGCCCATGCAAAGCTGCGCAACAAGATGGCCGCTGGTGTAAGTTCCATCGCCTCGAAAGCTTAGGTAAAAAAGGGTGTTAAGCATTTCTATAGTACTCTGGCAAAGAAAACGAGTCACTGGAGCGCACCATTGATGAACATATCGCCAAACTCATCAACCTCCTAGAAACAAAGTATCTCTCGACAAATCAAGACTACCGCCCCGTGGACTTTGCGCAAAAGATCCAGTTCTTCACTCTAGATGTCATCAGCGATCTTGCATTTGGTCAAGGATTTGGGTATATCGAGCAAGACGATGATGTCTTTGACTTCATCAAGATCACAAAGTCTTACTTCCCTGTCACGTTGGTCATGGCGAACATCCCATCGCTCGTGTCGCTGCTACACTCGAAGCTCTTTAGTGGCGCGTTGCCCAAGGAGAGTGATAAACTTGGCTTTGGTGCTTTCATTGGGTGAGTCTTGTCGGTGTCAAAAAGTCCACAGTAAGCTGATAATAGTAGCGTCGCGAACAAGAAAGTCGCGGAGCGATTTGCGCCAGGTGCCGAGTCTCGTCCAGACATGCTCGGCTCTTTCATTCGCCACGGTCTGACACAGGAAGAAGCGTCACGAGAATCCCTGCTAAACGTCGTCGCTGGAAGTGATACCTCAGCAACTACCATCCGTCTCATCATGCTCAGCCTCCTAAGCAATCCCATCATGTACCTCAAACTTCAGAAGGAAATCGATGATGCCATCAAGGCTGGAAGTATCTCGTCACCCATCACCGATGCCGAAGCAAGAAAACTCCCTTATCTTCAAGCTGTTATCCAAGAAGGTCTTCGTATCAAGGCCCCAGCAGCTGGGCCACTGTTCAAGCAGGTTCCTCCTCAAGGCGATGAGATCGATGGAAAGTTCATCCCCGGAGGTACACAGATCGGACAATCGCCATTCGCTGTTTATCACTCCAAGGAGATCTTTGGTCAAGATGCGAGTCTCTTTTCACCTGAGCGATGGATCAATGCAGACCCTGCGAAATACGAAGCTATGGCTGAGGTTGTCAGTCTGGTGTTCTCGACAGGAAAGTATCAGTGTCTGGGTAAACCGGTTGCGTTTATTGAGCTAAACAAGATTTTTGTCGAGGTGAGTGTTGACGGAGTGGCGGGAAGACTTGAGACTAATTAAGCCTGACAGTTGTTGCGACGATTCGACTTTTGCATGACTCGTCCTGAACGACCTCTTCATATCATGAACGCTGTAAGCTCTCTACTCGAGTTTTATATTGTGGCTACTGACGTGACGTAGGGAATTTGGCTAATTGAAGATTTCCCTGTTCGCATCACACGACGAGAGGCTTAAGTCCACCAATCTGCGTATCAATAATTCATAGCATCCGAGTTGATCATTAATCTGTTTATCACGTTCGAAACTAGTAACCATATTATAATGTGTGTAAATTCAATATAGTATATAGCTATGTGAAGAGTATGATAATCAATACGCTTACCATGATGTGCTTATGTTGCCATTATTCTTCGCTTGAAAGGAACCATATGCACAAGCTATGAGCTAGGTGTGTGATTTGCAGTCGAGATTTGCGGCTGAGAGCTTAAATTAGCAGAGAGAACTTGAAAAGAAACGATGATTGGCTAGAGGATCTTGGCTTCCAAGATCTACATGAAGGCTCCATCGATAAAATTTAAGCTTGTACCTGGGCTATTGAGCCAGCTGAGGCTAATTGTCAATAGCGTCGAGGTTCAGTGTCACCACCACAACCGCAGACACCTTCGTCCCCATCCCAATATTCAACGTCCTCGCTATCGGCACGCAAGTCGACAGCCAAAAAGTCGGCGGCGAGGTAGAAACAGGCTTCGAGATAGGATGGAACCTCGAAGGCGCACCGCAGACCCTCCCATTCTCCATCGACCCCGACACAAACCAAGTCATTGAAATCAGCGGATACTATCTGTGTGTCCGATACACCGACAAAGATGTCCACCCTCTCACGCTCTGCGATCCCGGCACCGAGAACAATTTCATAGGCGGGCTTTCTTATGTTACATGCGAGCAGACTCGCGATCGCAGGCTGGCGTGTTCGGTGGGGAGTGCGTAGCCGACCCTCTTACTAGCTTTCCGATTTGTTCGGCCGTACCTGGGACGTTTACGGCATTTTATACGCATCCTGCTATGACGACGGGCGCTGGTCTTGCTATGGGACGGGAGGGCAATAGTCCTACTGCTGATATGCAGTCTGTTGACCTTGGGATTGAACCTGCCTCTGATGATTCATAGTAAACAAGGGCTGGAACAACATTTCTTCTCTGAACTCCCTGGGGTCGATCTAATCTCTCAGCCATTCAATTGTACATAATATATCTGACATTCCTTCCCCTTTTTCACGAACTTTTAAATCACCCCATGCATTAACTTTGATCATCCAGTAATTGAGTTAATATTATGGTTATTCTGGCTCTAAATCCTTAGCTCAAGAACCTTCAGACGGTTCTTTCTAATGTAGTAGCGCTATTGACTTTTAAGCGTCGCAGCGGCTTTTTCCTAGTTTCCGATCTATCGCATTAGCCACGCCTCGAACGTCGATAGCGTCGAGGCCTCAGCTAATAGCTTTAGATGAGGCGAATGAGTAGCTGCAGTAGCCCATCGATCAGCGCCTTCAAAACCCCGTTTCAATTTCTGTTTCTTTTGTTCCCTGATATTAGTCTTAATCCAACTTCTACCACTCATTCTGATTGAGATATGCGCGTCAGTCTTATTTGGTCTGCCGCCTTCGTGGCAAATGCTGCCATGGGGAGTGTTTGCAAGCCTCGGAGGGATACGAGTTAAGTCACTGATGATAGAGTATTTCAGTGTCAGAGATCTGACTTAATTAATAGGCGTCGCATCCGCGGAATCTCGCACGACAATGACCTCTGGTGAGACTCACACCGTCGGTTGATATATCTACTGCCACAGCCACGTCTACTATTGATGATAGCACGACACTGGGTACGAGCGAAGTCGATACATCCATGATAGGAATGCCAACATTCCCGACTATAGCCACTACCGATGCCACCGACATTAGCACCACAGCCGACACCACGACAGCAGAATCAACTACAACCTCGGACGCGACTTCAAGCATATCAGCACCCCAACCCCCCGAGACATTTGACGTTCTTGCTGTTGGCGGCGGCTCCATCAATGGACAATACATTAAGGGCGTGGCAAATGAGGGCTCAAGGATGGGATGGGATCTCACAGGCGTCGGGATAGGCATGATGCCTGGGTTTATCATTGAGCCTGACACAAACTATGTTAAAGCGACGCGTAACAATCTTTACTTATGCATTGGATACGGAGACGGCAGCGAGCCCAACTTCGTCGCGACATGCGACATTTCTACCAGTGGTGACCCGTACACTGGGTTCCTCACGTGCGAGCAGACCACTGACCGAAAGCTCAAATGTTCTGTGCCAGGTGTTCAGTGCGTCTTCGATCCGGTTACGATCTGCACGTTGACTGGTGGGAACTTTGATCAGTTCTACACTTATTCTGGGAGGTCGGATGGACTCTGGCTTGCTATTGATTCGAGCAGCAACCCGCCTACTGATGCCACATATCAGCCTATTGAGCTTGGCATCACGGGAAATCAGTCCAAGTAGAGACCTTGATGTGATGTCTCATGGAATTCAAGGTAGTATCGATGGGGGATTCCTTTACTGCGTACTGGAGTAGTGTAAGGTAGCTTATGGCTGTATGTTGGTATGAACTCAGAAATAACATTAATAACTTTTGTGGCTTCTATCTACTTTGGGCCGGTTTATGAGTAGCCAACTCACTACCATAATCACTCCCTTTGACAGAATTGGCTATGATACAACGCTCGTCGCTGTCCCGACTTGCTTCTGTTTGCGGTCCTCCAACGGAAATAATTTGTTCGGATCTAGATGCGTCGCTCTTCCAAATACCTGGACGAGGGCTTCGAGCAGCTATATCTGACAAGTTGTAGCCTTTTGCGGGTCCACCTGGCCCTGTATAGTATAAGGAACTCTTTTTCGTTGATCCGAAAATGCGAGGGAAGATCTTGCCCAAGGGCTGTCGTAGCACTGGTAGGCAAGCGGCGATGATCCCCAGGTTAGCTTCGATGAGGGTCCATACGCCGCGATCGATGAAGTTCCACGTCATGTCTTTTTTATTTCTGAGAGAATTCGAGACCGATGTTACTCGGAGGATTGATGTTATGGTGACGCTGTGACATTGGTTAGTTCTTGTCTGGGGGTATTGGAATTTGTACTTACAATCCACCTAGAAGAAAGATGCAACAGAGCAGTAGTTTCTCCCGTCTACTAGTTTGAAGCCGCATGATGGGCATAATTGGAAGAGCCAAGACCATCACGTCGGTCAAGATGTTGAGGACAGCGTAAGCAACCCAAAACTTATTCGAATCGATACATCTGGCATCGACAGACTTGTCCCATGCGCCCTTGATAGGAACACATTGCCAGATCGTCGCAGCAATACCACCAATACTATATCCTACCACAACTCCCAGTACAACAAAAGACCAAACACGAAACGATTTGGTGACAAACAGGCGGAGATACAATAGAATTGCGGCGACTTTATTGAGACAGACGGTTGCTTTGTATGGTGTCTGGGCGATGAAGAACATCTTCAACGCCATTCGAAGATCGGGCTTTTCGAGATCGGCTTTGTGCATTCCGTAGCCGTGATGTATCGCAAGTTGTATGTACGTCGATAGAAGAACTGACGATATCTTGGACAATTAGTTCTGTTGTTTTAGGAGGGTCGAACAACCTACCAGCGAAACAATAATGGCAACATCGTCTGATCCAAGCTTGTGTATCGAGTACCGCGCAATACATCTTGCAACGACAAACAGACCTGATGAAATGATCATCACTAAGGATGTGATGTATAACTTCCAGCCATGATTGTCGACGCCATCGGCGGGAAATCCCATACCTCTGTCCGTCATTTTGGTGGCTGCATCCTACACGGGCGGGCTAGAGTGGCACCTCGAGAGGGGCCATGGAGGACCCCCAGAATATAAGGTCGGTTCCAACAGCGCGGCACAGCCAATGGTGCAATAGGCCTATGTCACCCGGCACATTATGATATGATGAACACCGGTACCGCTACAAGCAGTGCCGGGCCATCGTATGTTGGTTCTAAAGTCACGAGGACTTGGTTTCGGAGGCAGCGGAAGTGTTACCGCATTGTCGGGTGAATAGAGTGCGTAGGTATCGAATGACGACAGGGCCAGCGAAGAGTCCGTAGCGACCATCCTGTCTTGGTAGTGAGGGAATAGAATCAATCTCCGAAGAAGAAAGGATGAACGGTCCTTTTGCCTGCGATCCGGGGTGAACCAACCTGTTGGTGGTGTCATTTCATGCAGGGGTGAGGCGCGGCGAACTGTTCCCCGGAGGTGAGGTAATTCAGACTGGTCACGATCCATTGAGGTAACAAAACAGAAAAATACGAGTGAACAATGCGATTATAATCCTCCCAGGGCCAATAGGAAAGAAAAAAGATTCTAGTCATCATCTTGTAGCTTCATTCTCCCTCCATTGTTCGCGGGCCGTGCCCCTGTCAAACCGTTGATCCGGAAAGGTCGGCCGCTAAATCCATCCTGACCTGGTCACATCCTTTGTGGATTCCTATTCAGGGCACTTCCCCGATGCGCGTCCAAGTGGTTAAATAAAGTTCCCAAATCTCCCCATCCCAACGTGAGACAGTGACTTTTGGCCCTTTCTGTCACCCCCTGCGCTACTGCACCTCCATCATGTACGCGGCTTTTGCATTCGCTCTTTGGGCAGGTCTGGCTGCTGCAACTCCGAAATGCAACCCATCCAAGTACATCACCATCGAGACGGCCAATGGACCGATTACTGGGCATGTCGCGGATAATTCGCCGTGTGTTGTGGAGTATCTGGGTATTCCGTATGCGAAACCGCCTGTGGACAAGTTGAGGTTTGCGGCTCCTCAGCACATCACGTCTTACTCGAAGAAGCCTTTCCAGGCGAAGAGCTTTGGATATGATTGTCCATTGACGGCGAGTAGGAAGGTGGATTATCCTGATATGACACCCCAAGCCCAGCGTATCATTCAATACTTTGCCAGCGCGGCCGGAACTCCCCAGAGTGAAGATTGTTTGACGCTCAATATTTGGTCCAAGGCCACGCCCAACTCTGCCAGAGCAAACAAGCCCGTGCTGGTCTTCTTCTATGGTGGACGTAAGTTATTGTTGTGCTGTGTATCGCGACATAGACTGACTTGAGGATATAGGCTTTGCTATCGGAAACACCGACAGTCCTTTCTACAATGGCAAATACTTCGCTGACGCAGAGGACATCGTCGTCATCACCGCCAACTATCGCATCAACATCTTTGGCTTCCCCGGTGCACCTGGCGAAACTCAGAACCTCGGTCTACGCGATCAACGAGCCGCTGTCGAGTGGGTTCGCGACAACATCTGGAGATTCGGCGGTAATCCTTCCAAGATCACCATCGCCGGCCAATCTTCTGGCGGCGTAGCTGTCGACTACTGGACATACGCCTACAAGAAGGATCCAATCGTCAATGGAATCATCGCTCCCTCAGGTAACGCTTTTAGTTTCCCTGTCAACACCGCTGCTGTCCAAGAGAAGAACTGGGCTTCGGTCGTGGCGGCTGTAGGATGCAACACTACCAGTGAGGTGATGTCCTGCATGCGCAAGGTCGACTGGGAGGATATCAAGAAAGCTGCTGCTGGTATCAAGCCTGCTGCTAGCTCCAGCGTCCTCCGATCCATCCCTCCATTCTACCCCAAGCCAGACAACGAGATTGTTTTCTCCGACTACGTTAGCCGAACCAAGAGCGGAAACTTTGCCAAAGTGCCCATCCTCTTTGGCAATAACAATAACGAAGATGGATACTACCGTATTCCTGCCTATGGAAATGGAGTTGTTCCCACCGATGCCCAAGTCAAATCTTTTCTTCTCGAATCCTTCACCTGTCCCGTATCCTACCAAGCCAAGGCGCGTCGCGATCACAATACACCATCGTGGGCATATCGATATCTTGCAGACTGGGATAATACGAGATTGTTCCCTACAAGTGGCGCGTACCATGGAGTTGATCTGCACATGATCTTCGGCGCATCCGGCGATGTCAGTGGCATTGAGCCTACGGCCGATCAGAAGAAGCTCACCAAGATCATGCAACATGCTTGGTTCTCTTTCAGCGATGATCCTTGGTCTGGTTTGAGTAAGATTGGATGGCCTAGATTTGATCCCAGTCATAAGACACTGATTGAACTTGGTAAGGGCACCAAGCCTCGTGTCGACTTTGTGAAGCCTTCGGTCTACGATGCTGCTTGCTCAACTGTCACGATGGGGGCGCTTTCGACTTCTACGTAGGATAAAACATTTCTATCATAGACTAGGCCTTTGGTATCTCAAAGAGCTTATACTCTTATCCCACCAATAATGTCTTACAGTATGTCGCTCTCTTTTTATAGTTGCGTCCCTAGGGATCCTTCGCGATATGTCCATACGCCAACAATTACCTCCAAGTTACGTCTGCTATGGATTGTGTAATCTTTTCTCGGGGAATTGCATCACAAAAATAGCATTCCCTCCGTATAGAATGGCCTCAATATGACATAGAATTGTAGGATTATGAAACCATTCTGTTAGGTAAATGGTGCCTTATCGCAGACCTCCATCCACAAGCATAGGACATTGGCGATTGGGTAGGCAGACACCCTCTTGTCCTTGATTGCAGCGCCTCAGATCACAGCGGAGAGACATGTTGCATTTCATGAAAGAAGCAAGATCAGCGACTAAGATGGTCAGGTTTTATTTCACAAAGCCGTTCGAAGACAATAGACAATACATCGAAAGCCAGGTTTCCGCCTTGGAAAGAGAGAGAACCGGTAAGCGACCTCGCCACATGTCTCAGTGTGATGTCCGTGGAAAAACGGAGTCTAGGACTATCAAATAGCTTCATCACATTCCTGACATCACGTCGTAACATGTCAAACATTTTAAGCTTAATTTACACTTTTTAGGGTAAAACATGCATAAGATACCTCTAGTTAGACAGTCTAGACAAGTCTGGGGCTTGACGTGAGGGGTGTCGGGACTTGATGCTCCGATGAAGCATCGCACTGTGATTCGGTCCCCCACCACCATCTTCTAGACTTCAGCCAGCCACGGGCGGGACATCAAGTGCGTTTACCCGGATTAGGGAGTCATGTATCACTCACGCTCAGCCGCAAGCCTCTTCATGCAAGTTTATACAACTGTCACATATGATTGTCTCAATTAACCACCACATGAGAGCAAGAAGCCTACTGCCAAGAGATAAGCATGCCAAAATTATCCAATCTCAGTCTTCTAAAAGCTTGCCTAAATGTTTTTGTCACTTAGGATAAAGGTCTTAGCTTGGCTCTTTATGCCACCTTCTCTGCCATCAGGAGCTAGAGCAATGCTGCGCTCAGACAGTCGACATGGCAATGCATCACTTATGTGATGCTAGTAGGGCTGAAAAGGTCGTCGGCCGATCCATTCTTGCTTTCAGCCGCACCTTGAGGCATGGTTCTCAATAGGCCCTTGATCACCAATCTTTCATCCATACCAACTCCTGGGGCCCTGTCTGGAGTCGCCGGGCTCGCGAGCTTCCCTACAACGACGCGAGCCGAGACCTTGACAATTTCGTTTCCAATCATCAGGAGATGACAGTCTGCTTCGCTGCTGGTAACGACGGCGGCGAGGCGACTGAGCTTGGCCACATTGGTGCACAAGCAGCAGCCAAGAACTGCATCGCTGTTGGGTCATGCGATAATCAGCGCAAGGCCAAGGACAAAAGGTTCCAAGCCTTTGACGCCGATGGAGTAGTCGAGGGTAATCCCAACAACATCTCGCACTTCAGCAGTCGTGGGCCAACGATTGGAGGACGTATCAAACCTGATGTAGTTGCGCCAGGTTCTATGATTCTGTCAGCATTGTCAAGGGATGCGAAGCCGGATGACAGATTCGGTCGTTCAAGTGACCCTGCGTGGATGTTTCTTTCGGGCACTAGCATGGCTACTCCGCTTGTCGCAGGCTGTGTTGCCGTTCTCCGCGAGACGCTGCAGAAAGACGGTGTAGCCTCTCCAAGTGCCGCTTTGCTCAAAGCTCTGCTTGTCAACGGCGCTGTTAACACGGGCAAGAAAGTTGAAGCCCAGGGCTTCGGCAGCGTTGATCTCGCCAACTCCATCATCCTCAAGGGCATAACTACCAACAAGGGCTACCTTGAGGGGGAACTTGTCGATAGTGATGACGAAGATGAGTTCGTTAAGACACTTACCCTTGGAGACCTTCTCATGCCTGATGGGCCAGACTCGGAAACTGTTACGTTGAAGGTCACTATGGTGTACTCGGATCTTCCTGGTGCTGCTTTGCAGAACAACATCAATCTCCAGGTTGCTGTTGGTGATGCGCCGAGCAGATTCGGAAACTTGGGTGATAGACCTGATAATGTCAACAACGTGGAGCAGGTCATTTGGAGTGGTATTCCGGCTGAAAGGGACACCAAGATCACGCTTAGTGTCACTGAACCGAGGGTTCTGCGTGGGCATAAGCAAGCTTTTGCTTTGGTTTGGAGTGTGATTTGATGAGAGCTTGCCAGACACTTTGGGATCTCGGCATCAAGCGACGAGAATACTTAGGTAGCTTATGCTAGAGCATGATTTTACTTAATTTATCTTGGCATCCATATATGAAGTCTAGAGCTTTCTTGCTCCCACGGCGGGCTTATCTTAGTGTGTACGCATGGATATGGTTACCATTCCGATAGTAAATAGGACTGCACTTCCGAAAGGCGGAATATTCCTCTCACATGATGAACGACGAGCATAATAGTTGGCATAGATCCTCTTGGGAAAAAATGGCCCGAATGTGCGGCTGAGCCGTGTTTACCGGGTCGGCCGCCTCCCGGAGTGACGGGACTGGACGAGCTTGAGCACAGCCCTAAGATCGACAGTTTGAGAGATTCTGCACAAGGAAAGTGGTGTCATTTTACTCTCATTTTCAAACATCGGGCCTTGCTTCATGTCGTTGAAGCCTGGATCAGCTTCCTGTCCTGGGATCTAGTTGTTGCGATGATGCCAATCTTGGGTGTAAACTCACTCTCAGGAGTAGTACGTGCATGGCCACGAATCAAGCGGTAGCATGTGTTCTTATGCATGTGATGATGCTTATTTCTATTGATCAAATGGCTGATTTACCTTATTGACAAATCTGAGGCTTGCCAAAAGGTCCATGCGATGATAATGCCAGCCTTGTAAGGCAAGCATAGTGGAGCCCGACATTGAGATCTGCGCGCTCTGTTGTTTCCGAAAGGCCTTCTTTTATAGCCTTGAATTAGTCGATTGTTGTCAATTAGCTGCATAAAACGCGTCTCCTGTCTCATGGGGATGGATCCCGTGAGTCAGTCCCGTACATTCGTCCCGAGTTTCCTGCTGATACCAGGCCAAAGCCATTACTCAGCAACTCAGTCCCTCAAACTAGCGGCCGCTGCACTGCCACAGACTTCGAAGCAGACGTCATCTAGACATCGTATACTTAAATGCCGCGTTTTAAAGCCCGAATCCTTCGAGTATTTTTAGCTGGCGTGAAACAACTCCACGTGGTTTGTGGCTTTGCCTTGTAGCTTGATTCTTCATCGTTTGAGGCTAGCAGTTGGCATCAGCACTCTAATGGTCATGGCGAGAGATTAAATGGCCTCGGATAATACTTGGGACAAGTCAACTGTGTTATTAACGACATTACCAAGCACCTAAAATCCAAAGGCTACTCAGCTAAGGAAATATGTACATCCAGTGAATCGCTGACAAGCTGTTGGGAAAGCACTTACGATAGAAACTAAGGAGGCTTGCTATTGCTAACCCATTTCCGCCTTGTGTTCTTGTGAATCCACCGCATAACCCAAGAGGATCATAACCCTTGTGCGTAAAACAACACCGTACGATATGTTGAAACACCCGTGACGAATTTCCGGCCTAACAAAGCTCGTATTTCCTCCATCGGGCATGCTGAGAGGCTCAAGGTTGTTCTTCCAAGGTCGATCATGACCAAAAGGTCCACAAGTCGGCCGCCGCTAGACGGACGTAGCAGAACATGTGCCATGCCAAGTCGGCAGTCAAGATATTTCCGAAGCTTCTAATAAGAACAATGAACAAATCCGTCAACACAAGTTCAAGATGTATAGCATTTTGGCCATATTGTATCTTGTTCGCAATGCTGATAGGACATAATCGACGACTCTTTATCGTGTACGCCTCCTTGGCTAGTTTATGGGTATTTTTGTTCCAGATCTGCAGACTCTACACCTTCTCCGACCCTTCTTCTTTCTTTTATGACTCGGGCCGAGCGTACGAGACGCGATACAGTGCTATTCGGCAACGGCAAGCTGATGAACTACTCAACGTTGCAGAACACTTTCCCGTGGAAGAGCTAGCGAAGCTCCCCCTTTTCAACAAAATCGCCGAAGCAATACCACGAAGCTCAGAGAAGCGTATCTGTGTCGGCATCCCGAGTGTCACGCGAGAGCGAGAGCAGTTCCTGCCCCGAGCCGTGGCCTCGCTTGTCCAAGATCTCAGTCTTGAACAAAGACAGGCGATACAGATCGTCGTACTACTGGCCGATGATCATCCAGTATCCCACCCCGCCTTCGGGAAACGTTGGCTTGACCGCTTAGCAGATGAGGTCCTCGTCTACGGCAATATCTCGACAGCCGACGCCCCCAAGCGATACCGTACTGTCGCGTCGGATCACAGCCATGAGCTCTCCCGAAACGACCGAGTCCACCGCGACTACGCTACATTGATGGCAGCCTGCCAAGAACAAAAGACACCGTACTTTGCTTTGGTTGAGGACGATATCATTGCCGCGCACAATTGGCTAGGGCGATTATCTACTGCCTTGGATAAGCTCAAACGAACCGAAGACGTTAAGAACTGGCTGTACTTGCGACTGTTCTATTCCGAGACATACATGGGCTGGAACACAGAGGAGTGGCCAACCTACCTCGCCAACTCGATATGGGTTTACTGTATCGTCCTAGCGTTCTACCTCCTGGTAGTGGCTATAGAAACACGACGCAGATCTCAGACCTTCCATCCAAAGTCCACTATCTGGGCCTTGCCACATCTGACATTCTGGACAGCGTCCTTCATCCTGTTATACTTCCTCGCCGGCCGTCTCACAGTCAATCCGTATCCAACAGGCGTACATGAGATGCCAAACTACGGGTGTTGTGCACAGGGTCTTGTAATTCCTCGGCAACACCTTGACGAGCTTGGTGTCGCTCTGAACACCGCGTCTGATGCTATTGCTGGCGATTCGCTCATAGAAGATTTCGCGGATAGTCACCATCTGAAGAAGTATGCTATCACACCAAGTGTACTGCAGCACGTTGGAAGGTTGGGATCCTCGGATGTTGGAGGGACACGGAAGGTTACCTGGAACTTTAGCTTCGAGAAGACTAGCGCCAGGAGACCACGGTAGTAATAGACTTATGATGTTCAATCCAAACTCAGCCCGCATAAGACATCACATCAGTTCGCAAACTCAGTAGGGTCCCTCATCAAGCTTTCCCAAAGATCTTGCCCATACGGAAAGACCATTTGATACCCTTCACCAGTATTCGCTTCAACACCGTCGCCGTCAGCTAACGCGACGCGACGTATAGTATCTCCGATGTCCGCTTCAATGTCCGATGAGAAACCCGATGTGCGCTCGAGATCCATCAACGCGCTGAGTAATCGGACTCCTCTCCTAGCGATTGAGCTTCCCTGTGCTTCCTTGCTCAGAAAGTTCTTCCCAAACTCGACATAAGCGCGTAGCTTCTCCCAATCATGCGTGAGGGCATTCTGGGTCTTGAAGAGCAAAGCGAAGAGAAGGGTGATTGAGCAGCTGATCATGTACGAGAGCGTAGTCCACATCCTGCGACAGATGCCTGCCTCCAGACAATCGGGCCATCGCTGGAATGCTTCGATGCTTCGTTCAGCTATCGTTACACACGACAGCTGTTGCGGGTAAGTGAGAGGTCCAGAGTTAATTGAGAGCACTTGCCTGAGAAAATGCATATCGCCTGTCGCGAAAACACGACAGTTGGAATTGGCGATGAATGGTAAAGATCTGCCAAATCCATCAGTCATGAATACAGTTATATCGCTAATCATTACTACCTTCTGAGCAATACTCATAAGAAGCATTGCTGGCATTAAGCTCGTAGGCAGACCATCGGTCGATGGACTATCGCTTAGCGTATTATTAACATCACGTAGCGTGCCAGACCATGAGAGATATAAGCTCTTGACCTCCTCATCGGTTCGTGTGACTTCATCATATCTTCTATCAATATCATCATTCTGCGTGTCGACTCTTAGCATGCGATCATGATGTCTCCACATAACAACAGACACTGAAAATGCTGTCAGTCTGTATCGTCTAGATCGAGTTCACTTTCCTTACTTTGGGCAAGGCAATTAGTCCAGGTAATAATGGTACTGATCTCAGCAGGCTGCACGTCAATTCTGCCATCTTTTATCATGCGTTGCGCATCATCATGACAGTTAGCGGGCATCGGGGTGTTGAACTGTGAATAGTGAATCTGGCAGGTGTTTTGGAACGGGATCTGTAGCCAGTCGTACCGCACGAGAAACCACCACACTCGCTTTCGCACTTCGCGGTCGATGGCCTCGATCACACTGGCACCAGGGTCATCATAACCCAGCCGATGCAGGTTTAGACATTGAGCGATGCGGATAGCTGCAGATATGAGAACACATATGAGGTCAGACTTGTCAAAATTGTGAGCAACTTGAACCAGCAAGCAGATTGCTTGAACCGAGGTCAGCTTATGCTTATCCATGAACTCTACTTGATGCAGCATATCTCTGCTCTTGTCAAACAGAATACGCGACGCGTTACTGTCAACTTGGATGACTAGATGTCAGTAACTTATAGAATGGGGATCGCATGGCAGCTAACCTGTTATTGGCTGCGGTAAAGATGACAGGTAGTCGCTGTCGAGATGGTAGAGCGTTTGCTTGTGAACCGTCAGGTTTGGGTGCTGAGCAGCTGAGTGTGCATCTTACGGAGAGAAGAGCGTAATAAAGGGCTATCCAATTTCTATCACATTCAATTTGGAGAATGTTCTCATCAAACTCGCGCAGAAACGTCGGCATATGAACCGTATTATGCATCCAGATCAGATGCTTCCCATGAAGCACCAGCATTGATCGAGCATCCTCGACAGGTAAGAACGTATCCCACTTTTGGACAGGCTGCATCGCGGAGGTAGAAATAGACTCTCTTCCAATGAATTGGTTAAGGATATTGCGCCGACCGTGGGTAAGAAACTCCAGCATGGCAGCAGCTTCGTTGGTCAACCTTGGGTCGGGCGTGGATAGCGAAGCTAAAAGCTGTTCAATCATTCGCTCATCAATTTGCGGTAGGGGATCATTGCTAATTGTAGCAGTGCTACCAGCTGCAGGGTCAACAGTAGTACTGGCGGGTACCTCATCGATTGCAGTTGGCGACACTGTCGCGAGGCTGGCCGCTTCAGGGACAGGTACAGGCGGGTCGTCCAGTGCTGTCGAGGCCCTGGAACGCCCTACCGAACGCCTCGAAACAACAGTGACAGGCTCTCGCTGACATTGCGCAGCTTTGTTCTGGCGCACGCATGCAGTGCAGGGAATAGTCTTGGAGCATTTGACCTTGCGACGAGAGCAATTAGTGCAAGCGAGAACAGACCGCTGACTGCTTCGGGCTGATCTCGGATTTGGCATTTGTGATTATTCCCGATCGGCCGTGTTTTGCACAATTCTTGTGCGTGGAGATATTTACAACACGGCCGAGATTTGTGAATGGGTCTGGTAGACATCGTTACCCGGCTAATCCACGGCTATCATTACATGCATCAACCTCAGGTGTAATCTGTTAAAGACTGGAGTGCTGCGCTCCGAAATGCACGACAGATCAGGAGGTGGCTGAAACGTTTCGCAGTTCCCTTTTAATATAGCTTTGTGTTCTAAAGCCTAGGATAATTAGGATTGGTAAGTTTTTCCAGGATATTTAGAGGTATGGTCATTAACGAGCGCCCTTTGTGCAAAACTCGGCCGAGCTGAGAAGCAGCAGCGTGTAAATTGAGGGTCAACCTTACGGTGGGACGTTAGCCGGCCAGATTGCTTCTTAAATACCGTCATTTCTCTAACTCTGACTGAAACTTGCTTATAGGCTATTTTTTTTATTATTATCTTTCATCTTCCCATCTTCATCGTCATTAACTGCGACGTACCGAATATTCACCAACAGTTCGGACTACCCTACATCATCACACTCATAGCTCAAGACGCTATGCCTCATCCAGCTCGCACCAAGATTTGTGTGTACTGCGGAGCAGGCACTGGTGCTAGTCCCGCTCACATGGAAGCTGCCCGGGCGCTCGCTCGTGCGATGGCCGCAAATAATATCGACCTTAGTGAGTTATACTCTGAACAGCCGAGAACCAAACTGGCGTCCTTGAGCATTACTCACTGATACTTTGTAGTTTACGGCGGAGGAACTGTTGGTCTCATGGGAGAGATCGCCAAAACTCTGGTCTCAATCAATGGGCCTCAATCTGTTCATGGCATTATCCCCGAGGCCCTCGTCAAGCACGAACGAGCTGGTTCTCACCAGGCCCAGAACATTCCCGAGGAGGCCGTGTTTGGTCGAACCACTCTCGTCAAAGACATGCACACGCGAAAGAAGCTTATGGCGGAAGAAGTCTTTGCAGGCGGTCCTGGCAGTGGATTCATTGGTCTTAGTGGTGGCTTCGGAACCATGGAAGAGATCTTCGAGACGACGACATGGATTCAGCTTGGCATTCATAGCCGGGGTATTGTCCTTCTCAATGTTGATGGTTATTGGAAGGGAATTATTGACTGGTTGGATAAGGCTGCCGAAGAAGGTTTTGTGAAGCCTGGAAACAAGGGTCTTCTCGCGGTCGCTGAGACTGGTGAAGGCGCTATCAATGCGCTGCGCGAGTACAAGGTGTCGAGCTCGATCTATCAGCTCCAGTGGGGAGCTCAATAGTATGAATCAATAAGAAACGGTTGCCTCTATATTGTTTACTTACCACGTGTATTTCACTTTATCATTCGATTATAGACTTGAATATCGACCAGAGTATGAGCTTGGAAGCGCTTGTACGCATTGTGAACCGCCATTGCCGCCCAGCTTGTATAACCTATATTAGGCAAATCTGTTCATCCTTCTGTCCACTCATTTCCCTCAGAGGAGATTGATCGTAGTACATGATCCCTTGGATATAAGCTTCTCCAACCAGTTGATAGTGATCTGGCTTGATGTTCCGCATTGCCGACTTTCTTACAACAAAAGGCACCTTTGATGAATGAGGAACAAAGATCTTATCGCCCCTTTTAGCTGAAGAGGGGACAATCCCCGCATAGCCTTTCTCGGTCACGCATATGTTTGTCCCCGGAAATCTCCCCAGGAATGCAGAAACTGTTTCCCAGAACAAGTCATGAACCTTTTCGTACTCTCGTCGTTGCCGAGCATACTCATACCCATCCCTCCCGGGGTCTATCTCGCCGACATATTTTGCCAAATCAGGCGGCCAAATTCCGGGAGATGATCTCTCATGAGTGGTGAAGGCCGATAGTGAGCTTGAAGATGTCTGAGGGCGTGCAGCATCTCCGGTTAAGCACTTGATGATCAGCCCGATTTCCCAACTCTTCCCTAGGTCATGGTAGTTGTCAAGATGAGATATAAATCTGCGAAAGTCGTGGATCACTTGACAAAATGGTATGCCCGTGATAGTGCTGTTCACACCTGACGCTCGACAATTCTGGATTGTATCAAAGAACCTCCCGCTGATGTTGAGAACAGGCACCGGAGTTTCTCCGCGTCCTCCTAAATCCTCCGCAGTGGCAAGGATAGAAAGCGGTGCCCCAGCATTAAAGCCAGGATGCCCTCTTGTACCGGCTGACTCCCAAGTAGAAATCGTTGGTGCGTAAACCTCTCTTTTTGCCGAGTTCATGAGGTCGGGAATCCAGCGACAAAAGGACGCGCCTTTACCAAACCCAGCGTGGTAAATCAGATCAAGAGTATGCTGGGACTTGACCAAGTGTAGGGCGCAGCGGGACAAGATGACACTTTCTTCTGATCCGTAGTCAGGACGGAAAGCTTCGTCCTCCATGTCATGAGCCAGGTTCAGGAGAGCAAAGATTTTGTCGCGTGCCTCGGAAGATCGTGTATAGAAGAACATTTCTACAAGCTCTAGGAAGCTGTACTTGTGCCGCTTTGGAGATGCTCCTGACCGAGATCCTTGGTAGTTTTGTCGGATGGTATGCAAGGCCATAGCTGGTCTGTGAAACAATCCTTCTTGATATGCCAGACCTGGGGTATTTTGAACCCGTGCTTCGCATTCAAGAACCCCCTCGATGAAAATGTTCCACTCGATTCGTGAGCTGCCATGCATCAGGAATGGCTTAGAAGCAAATACTAGTTCTTGAATAATCCAAGTGCGAATAAACCATTGCCGCTGCAACAAGGACCTAATTAGTCGTACATCGTCGAGCCGTAGTTGATATTCAGATTTTGTTTTGCTTGTGGATTGTTGTAGCTTTGAAATCGTTGTCAGAACCCCCTTTTCATCTGGTTGCTCAGGACCCATCCAGATAATGACCTGCTCAGCCGTTTGGTACACCTTGCCCATTTGACTGACTTGGACCGCCTTCTCTGTGTCGTCATTCTGGTTGATACAGATCGCATCTACCCAAATTAATGCGTCGGCCTGTTGTTTCCGAAGGCAGGTCAGACAGGACGACAGAGAATCGGTGATAGGAACTTGGACCCCGTTGACGTCGAGGAACGGACCCAGTGTTGTTGGTGGGAGACCCCAAACATAGGAGATTGCCCAGAAAACGGGTGCTTGCTGCAGGTCTTTTCGTACCAGAGTTACCTTGAGTGGTTGGTCTTCGTCAAGATTGAGTCTTAGGAGACGGATCTGCTGGTCTTTTAACTCCAGTCCACGATAGATACTATTGCTCTTTCCTTCTGCCACTCCACTCGCCGCGCGATAACTTCCTGCGAGAACAGCATTAGCCTCGAGGGTGACCTTTGCTGTGAAATGGCTTGGTGGATGGAGAAGTAGACGGTTATCCTCGTAGAGATGCCAAGGATCGATGTAGAGAGCGTAATTGGGATCTGTTCCCAAGTCATAGACCCGTGCCAGGATATAGACGTTCCTTGTTTTCCGACCAGGATGTAGCTTCATCTTTCTCGCCTGGAAAAAGATTAGTCAGTTATTTAGAAGCAAAAGCCATGAGGGTGAACTGCAACAAACCTTTTCGTATTGTGCTGAAGACAGCTGGAAGTGTGAATGGAGGCCGAGGTTCGTAGCACAGACCTGAATGTGAAAGGTGCATGACTTGGATATCTGGAATTCTCGCGTAGGTAGATTTTTGATCACTGCTGCTCTCAGATTTCCCTCGTCCTCATCAATTGTAAATGTCGAATGTGTCGTCCCGCCTTCTGGATAGAAACGCGATAAGCCATGCTTTGACCGCATTGGACTCGTCCAATGCCTTTTCGCCTCGTACCCAGATCCGAGAAATGTGGCCAATACTTTTGACATCTGCAAATATTAGTTAGTCCTTGGACGAGGCTTGCTGAAAGACGTGATCATCATCAGATAGGCTTATAAAAGCTTATCTTGGGCAATTGTGTTGGGTAGCCGGTATACTGCNNCCCCACAGCTGATGGCTCACATCACGCACCTCACACACGAGGCTTGCTGAAACTTACACATAGCTCTCCGCGATATATGGTTTCCTGGGTGTCATAGCCTTCGAACGTAGTCGACGAAGTGCTGGGCTGAAATCGCCCTTTGCTCATGCTCAAATAATCGTCCAGTTCGTCTGATGTCAGTTTGGATTCCGCAGCTCTCCTGTCCTCTTCCTCCCTCCGAGCCTCCTGAATCTTCGAGTAATCCGTAGGCAAACTAACAGTCCACGGGCTCGAATGGGCACCTGCAGTATCGCCCACAGAGCGGGAACGTATGCTTTTGCCTGGTAGTGGGAGATTATCATTTTTGTCTGTCAGATGGAGCGTTTTGGTGTCGCCACTCGAATGATCCGTCAGCTTCTTAGGAGGTGGTTGCTGGTGTGTTGAAAACTCTGCAACGGCTTCTGGCCTCTGCCGATCCCGCCCTCGTTCAACCGCATCACCACTGGGTGTTTCTGCCCTAGCACTTATCGAATTCTCGTCAGCACGAGGCCTCGGGGACGCGGACTTCCCCCTTTCAGTGTTGGCTTGATCTTCCTTTACATGTCGGTCAGGTAGCATGCCTGGGTGTTTATCGTAAGGAGACTGATGGGGCTCATCGGCTTCATCTTTCCCTTCTTCTTTGACCAATATAGAGCCTAGGGATGGAGAGCTCCCATTCCCATTTGCTTTCGAGAAATCAACCTTTTTGCTCTTGATGCCCCCAGAAACAAGACCTGATTCACCGGCCGCCTTGTCGCTGCCAGGCTCTGTGCCAGCTTGTGGCTTCAAAGCCGGCTCTCCGTCCAATTGTTTAGCTCGCCCCTCTTCACTCTTTTTGGCCCTAATAGTTGACGGACTCGCAGTTTGATGAGGTTCGAAAGGAAATTCTCTAACGTTGTGGCTGGATGAGGGACCCGCGTTGTCTGTCGATCCAGGCATCACAAGTTCATCTGAAGCAACACTACTCAAGTCGTCCGATTGAACTAACCCTATTTCTCAAATATTAGATGACTGGTGAATAATGATTGATCAAGGTCAGAGAGTTGCCTCACCTATTGATGAGTAGGACAACATGCGTCGTTGAGCTCGATGATCGAGATCCCTCTCGATGAAAGAGTGATTTGTTCGCTCAAGTATGGTTGCGAGAAGGCTTAAATCGTCTGGATCCTGGATGTGAAGGAACTCTGCCAATGCCCGAACAAGGTCAGGGGGGGTGTAGTCATGAACCAGGAACTTGTCTTCACAAACAACATACGCTTTGAGTACGTTGTCTTGAATTTGTACCATAGCTTGGTTTTCCGAAGAAACACTCTCATGCTTCTTATCCTGGAAACGAAGAGTCCATACCGTTTCAATACGGCCAGACTGGAATACTTTGATGTTTCGAAGCAGCTTCCGTAGCTTAGCCACTCTTCCCGTCTTTGTCTGTTGCGGTATCAACCTTCATGGCGTTAGTCAAAAGGATATGAATGTAGCTACCGACGAACTTTGACTTACTGTGAAATATACCGTGCTTTATCACGCAAATTCTGCGCGTATGGTTCTAGTGGTCGACAAATGTCGTCTTCGGGCCCTAGTACTTTCTTGGTGGCATGCCACGAGATGCGGCGAAGACTAAACGTCATTTTATGTGTCAGACCCGACAAAGATTGCAGATCTTTGAGAGAGAAACGACACAGATCCACGACGTCCTTGAAAACTTGCCACAGATGAGTCTCGTCTGGTATTAACCACGACTCATCCCATGGTTTCCCCCATGAGCGCAGAACAACTTCTCCAGTATCTGCTAACCTTACAGGGAACATGCGCCATGATTTTACATCAGGTATTTTCGTGTTTGGTTCGTCCCGGGACTGGACAAGAAAGTCAGAGATAGACTGCAATACTGCAAAAATATGAGCGATGTCTTTGGTGTCCAGATGATCGACCTCCTTCTTCATAGTATCGAAAGTGGTAGTCGGCGTCAGATCCTCGAACAAGCCATGCAACTCCGCGTAGAATAAGACAAGCTGTGGAGTTTGTCTCAAGCAGGCGGGCCCTTGCCAGACGCACGCTTCCGTGTCATACCAATCCCCGGTTTGACCATTATAGTGATGGGGAATATAGATGCATCGTTGCTCGTGGAATAACCAACTGGAGAGTATAAGGGTCAGTTTACGATTCTTCACCTGATGTTCCAGATATGAACGCTTACTCAACTAGGTACTTGTCAGAAGTAGCCCTGTACTTCTCAAGCTGGAGGTAGATTTCCCTGACATACGTGTGAGGGACCTGCTGGCCGCGCACCTCACGTAGAAGATTGATGAATAAACTCGCGTTAGGCTGTGTTGTGACTCCGAAGACAGTCAAGAAATCCCAATCCCCGTCATCAGCGGATGGGACGTCAAGGAGTCTATCCGCTGGTACAATGGAGTTGTAAGTCAATGTCTCCTCTGGCGACATTCTATATCGCATGAGCGAGCAACATGACCGTGAAGGACGGCTGACAGCGGTGGAATGATTGGTGGTCTGATGGCAAAGCAAAATGATGCTTGAGGTCGGAAGATACGTTTCACTGAGTTTGTGTATTGACGGTCCCCGGCAAGGAAATAGGGAATCAGAAATCAACTTTTTGAGTCTTCTGCGGTATTCTCATGTTAGAGATGACGGCCCAACAAGCCACATTGCACTTACTCGGGACGATTGTTGTTCTGAAAGAGGGGACAGTAGAAATCCCAGTGTAGTTTCAGTACTTCCAAAGTAATCCGTGGCGCCTCTTTCAAAAGTCTTTGGAAATCTTCATGTGGTGCCCTCTGATGATCAATGATTCGCAGTTGCGACTGCAAACCAAAACACTTCATTAGCCACTCGATTCCACCAGAAAAGTCTCGCAGGCTCTCTATATAACGAGGATGAATGAATTGTAGCTTTAGCGCAGTTTTGATATGGATGTCGCTAGCCATCAAGGGGGTATCAGACTCAATGTACAGCTCAGAAGCCTGGGCTCTGCCCATATCACAGGTTATAAACCAAAAGCCATGCGATATTGTAGTTGATGGCTTCCAATTAGCCTCATACAGGAATAGAATTTGTTTCATCAAATCGTCCAGTGTTGTAGAGGTCCTGTGTATGGACTTCGAGTTCTCATCAATAATAGATTTGCATAACTGAGTTGTCGACCCCTGTTTCACTCCTAGTTGTATAAAAAGGTGCCCTCTTGCTGTGCCGTAATATGATGGATCAACGGCCCAACAGTCCCCAAGGCTTCCGAGGAGAGGAGAGGAGAGTCCATCAATCGCGAAGTATAAGCTGCCAGAGCTGGCTGAGACCCATTGGTCGAGACCGTGAAGCGGAATAATTGGCAATGACTGGATCTCCTTCTTGTATTCCTTAACGAGCTTCAGCAGCGCGATGCAGAGTCGAACGTGCCAGCTATTTGTCTTTTCCTGGAAGACGTAAGGGAATCTCTTGATATATGTCTTGAGATCATTCAAGAACTGCCGATTGGTCAAGACTCTGACACCAAGCCTCTGTAGATAGCTGGAAGTCTGGATTGGATACATCCCGGAAATTATCCTGTGACCAGAGACCTCACTTGGAATGAGGGGATATCCTGTCTCATCCCTAAAGTGCTGGGGGATGGAGAAAACCTCTCCTGGGGTACGTACATGCCCGTCAACATCTTGAAAGACGGGCTGTCGAGATAAAACTTCCAGTGATAGCTCCCCAGTTCGCTGGAAAATTCCATTTCCATCATTTCTGTCGGGAAGTAGCAATGGCCACTTAAACCACAACTCTGGGTACTGGGTCTTGAATTTGGGGATTGCTTCACTCAGGGCATTGCATATCTCCATAGCTAGACGTTTATTCCATTCGCAGGGCTGTATGTCTTCTCGATTTGTAGACACAATGAAATCCGAGTGAACTAAGAACTATTCCTCGCATTAGTCAAACTTTCAGTAGGAGGGACCAAGAAAATGAGTCAAGAACCTTGAAGCCATAGTCGCGAACTGGTAGAAATGCGTATACTTTCTTTGTTGCAATTGGATTGTCTTCGTTGAGCCTGTCTGGAAAGGCAAGAATAATCTCAGCTGAGTGGCGACCCGGTCGTCTGGAATCAGGCAACATGTAGTTAACAATGTGCCGATAAGTGACATAAGCATTCATCCTATCTGCTTCCCAAGTCTTGGCAACGTTCAAGACCTTGAGCTCATGGGGAATCAGATCCGCCGTAAGCGTTGTCTTCCATGTTCTATCCTTTGACATGATGCTCGAAATCCACGAAGTTGCTCTGATCAGCTCAATGTCGATGTGCTTGACTTGTGAGAGAAACAGAAGCTCAACAGCACTAAATCTCTGCAGGGTCATAACTAATTCGGTGGCTTTCTCTGCTCCGAGGAAGTTTTCGCTAAGTTCCAGCACAATCAAGGTGCCACTTGGTAGATTAGCTGCCACTGGAAAGTGTTCGGCCCAATGAGGTGAAATCTCTCCGAGTAGTCGACTTTGATCGAGGGAGAAGGAGTAGTGACCAGACTTGATCCAAACCTTGGTGGCGATCATGAATACTGATTTGAAGCCTATGCCCTTCTCACCAATGAAATTGCGATCGCTGGGACCCGTAGACTTGCTTGCCTTGGTGCTTTGGCTAAACTTGCAAATCGACACGACATTCTTCTTCGAAAACCCAAGCTCATTGGATTCTATACTCAAGTATCGACCATCGTAGCGTAGAGCGACATGGGGAGTTTGATCACCGTAGGCATTATCATCGGCGTTCTGCAGTAGCTCGAATAAGAAGCGGTTTAAGCTACTGTATTGCTCTTCGCATAGCCTTCACCGATGGGTTAATGCTTAACGAGAATGCAGACTCAAGAAGCAGAACGTGCCTTTTGAAAACTGTTTGGACCATCTCATCGTCGGCATACAGATCGTGATGGGTCTGACAGATCTCCTCTATATGCTTTTTGGCCTCCTCTCGGCTCTGAGGAAAGTTTGGCGACGAACGTGATAGTTCATCGGTGGAACAATAATCACGATTGATTGTTGGAGTCAATAACGGCGTTGTTTCTGTTGCTTGCGCGTCCTGCCTGCTTTCCATTTTCTGTACGTGGATTGTCGTGCTAATGGGGTTTGTGGATAGGTAAGTATTCGGTTTATCATCACTAGCACCTTATGGATACGGTGGGCATTCGCTGCTTTTGCACTCTGTAATCCGTACTGCATGGATACAGCCGGCCTCTGAACGGAGTGTTGGCTTGGTGACAACGTGCATCTGGGCCGCCCCTCTAGCCCCTGTCTTGTGGCAGGCCTCATCCGTAGATGCACAGTAATTTTCTTGTTGTCGCCTAACCTTGCCTGAAACTGCTCGATGTGTTGTCATCTCCCCCTCATTCCGCCTATCACACCCAATTGCGGGGGTCATTCTGCCTCATCAAGGCTCCACGAAATGTTATTCGTAGCCTGCATCAATTACACTGCCACAGTCACTAAAGTACAAGGAGGATGATGACAACTGCCAGGCGCAGGATTGGCCATAGCGCAACTGGCAAACCGCTGCTACCAAGCAATGCCGTTGCGCCAGTACAGGTACCCAGCTCAATCTATAAGATCTAGTGGGGAACTGAGGAGGAAGTGGAAAAACAATAGTGCCAGTGAGTGAGTCGAAGTATTACTCTTGGTTCAATTGACTACGTGAAATCTTGCGTGATGATGCCTTGTGCAACGCCTACCAAGACCCCAACCCTAAACCCCCTTCAAAATGTCTTTCAACCTCTCGCAACCAATCGCACACTGGCACTAACAGAGCTGAAAGCTGCGCCCCCCAGACATACAAAATATTCTTCTTAATCATTTCTGCTCTCTCTTCCAGTAAAACTCGCCTCGACTTACACAACTACAATAGAATCGATGACATGACGATCAATCAGAGCTTCCCCTACGAGAAATTACCCAATACACAGTCTTTCCGCCTCCTTGAGATCGAAAATGGCGACAGCAATCGCTCAATCAGTTGTACTCTGAGATCGCACTCACTGGAAACGGCACCGTTGTATCAAGCGCTGAGCTACGTATGGGGGCCTCCAGCCACGAGCAAAAGCAAATCAGTTCAATGCAACGGCCACGACTTCTTCGTTACTGACAATCTGTACGGAGCTTTGCATCGCTTGAGAGAAATAAAAGATTGTCGCTTGATCTGGATTGACCAGATCTGCATCAACCAAAATGATCTTCAGGAACGTTGTCAACAAGTCAGTATCATGAGAGATATATACAGCAAAGCTCACCTCGTCAACGCTTGGTTAGGCGTGACAGATTCACCCGAGTCTGCCCGTGTCGCTGATATGATCTCCATAATGGCATCTGATAGTTGGCCTGGCATCGAGAACAGCACCAATCCTGTGGACGATAAAACCCTGGAATCTCTTGGCCTACCTGCAAAAGACTCCCAGACCTGGGTAGCCTTCAACAATATGCTCGCCCTTCCATATTTCTCAAGAGTGTGGATCATCCAAGAGATAGCCGTGGCCAAAGCCTATAGGATCCTGTGGGGGAGCATCATTATCCCTGGCGCGACCTTTCGGAGGTCTGCAGCAGGTTGGCTATTTATACCCAGGGTATTGCAAAATACAGCTACAGCGCATGCTGTGAAGAACGCGATTATGGTCCTAGTGGGAAATCACCAAAGTAAAGACTGGCCTCATTTAGTGTCTAGGTTTGTGGAGCACGAAGCATCAGACCCCGGGGATAAAATATATGCCTTCATTGGGCTCGCAGATCAGACAGGGTACGACATCGTGGCAGACTACAATAAGCCTGTTCTGGAAGTTTAGGTAACTGAGAATCTCGATATTCTACGCTTCTCTACGGTTCAGGACCTCGATACGAAAACAGGACCGTTATGGGTTCCGCGGTTTCACAAGCTGCAAAAGCAGCCAATATTTTCCCAAGAGGAAGCACTTTCCTCAAAAAACACCAAAGCCCGAATGGACCAAGATACAGATCAAGGAACATTGTCATTGCGGGGAATCCATGTCGATGCTGTCGCTATAGCGATAATGCCATCTATGCCAAGTGAAGATGTATGGGAAGAAGTCAAGGCAAGAACTTGGGCAAAAGATCCACGCCTCACGGAGGAAATGATTCTGGACTCATTAGGCTGGGGACCTGTTGCCTGGATCCTACAAGCATTTGAGATGATGGTGCAGCATGAAGATGTAATTCTTGAGAAAAACGGCATTGATTTGACAACACTACTCCTAAGCACGCTAACAGCCCACCTGGATCCAACCCGCTACCTGGTCGGTTTTAAAGAGTACCTATCATCTGCTCTAATACGACTTCTTGTCATAGAAGGCAAGAAAAATGAGATAAGAATTCTCCTCGGGCTTCTGTGCCTTGTACTTCAAGTGTGCCCACCAACACATGAAAGACAGGGGATTTTCGACGTTGAGGAAGAAGTACAGCAACTGAGAGAGATACTCGCAGAAGTACATGACAACCAAGGTGACATCGATTCGTCTGTCGAGCTGGTCAAAAGTCTCAAGATTCCACCACCCACGGGTCAAAGCAATACGCCTAACAGCTTCAAAGATGTGATGGAAGTAGATCGGATGTTTTTCATAACCGAATTAGGGTACGTCGGGATTGGACCTCTATCGATGAAGCCTGGAGATCATGTTTGTGTTCTTTACGGTGGATGCACGCCTTTTGTTATGCGCCCGGTGGATGGCACTAGTGATGAAGATTATTTATTCTTGGGGGAGACTTTTGTTAACGGGTTGATGAAAGGAGAGGCTTTGGATGACGAGGGTGTTGTTGAGAAATGGTTTCGTTTAAAATGAAGAGCGGAAGAATCGCTACGTTTGTATAAGCCCTTGAACTCGGATTAGTCCCTGAACTGTTGCAATTTGTTTTTAACATTCTGGGGTATCAGAGAGGGCTGAACTCATGCATGATAACCTCAGATTTACTAGCTCGAAGATATTTATAGAAAGAAATATGCGAGGACCCTAAACAGGACTGAAATGACAGTAAGCTGCATGAAAGGCCAGCAGCTGATTGGTGGTAAGACAAAGCTGAAAAGGCCGTTATCTCGAAGTCGAGGACTTACTCACAGCCTGATTTTGGTATGCAGTATATAACAATAATGCCTCATCCTTGATCACGACCCTTTGGTTTAATCAACACTGACCATGGAACATAAGTCATACTTCAGTTACCCCATTACCCAACCTTTCCCCTTCCGCTGGTTTACCCCAGTTGCTATCATAGGAGGTATCGTGTTCATCGCACTCTTCACTTTGATGAACTTTGCCTCGAGTAGCTATGAACTCATCGTCCAAAACTCACTGGACCCCAATGCGACTGTTGCCAGGCGAGGCTTTCTGCATCGCTACCCATCTTTCCTGACCACCAAAGTCCAGCCCAAATGCCAGCCCGCCACGTTGCCAGTAAACAGCGATTCCTTCACAAATAGCACGGCTTTGACGTACACGTTGACAAGCGTTTGGGAGAGAGGAGAAGCAGGTCAGCGTGTCATTTCGCCGGCTCTAACCTATCACCGGAACATTCTGCAGAACTGCTCTGTCCATTCTGTTGAGACCGACTTCGATTCGCTGGACAGAGCTGGAAAACAGATCGGATTCTGCGAATGGGGCGCCGTGCTACGGTCGTACATTACGTGCAAGATTGACACACCGGCTGGAGAAGTCTTCTTCAACATGACGCAGACCTACGACTACGTTCCAGAGACCGTTTCCTTCGATAGCCTCGGCAAGTTTCTTGGTACTGGGTTCCTTAGCCGTAACAAGACAACACAAGCTAGCCTCTGGTGGGGCGAGTCATTAATGTCAACATTCTGGGGAGAAGTCACATTGATGCTGCAGGATCAGCGGGGAGCTATCAAAGACGACGATGATAAGATAGAACTCAACAAGGGGACAGTTTCTTTCATGATCAACGATACGCTCCCTAATATTGACGACCCCGGCTTCTTCAGCCTCGACTATCGTTTCTACGGTAGTAGAATCGATGAGGTAGCCTGTTGTCCAGGCTTACCGACTCCCTTAACGGCAAAGGCCCTGGATAAAAGCGACACTTATCCGAACATATGGCTAAAAGCAGACTCGCTGGCCAAAGCGGCTTATTCAACTATTCTCGTCGATCTTGGCCAGAAAGCTGCCCCCAAGTCCAACATCCTTACCGACACCAAGTTGCTGACGCGTTACACGGAGAATTTCTCAACAGCACGCATGGCGAATCTGAGATCAGGTCCAGCGAATGACAGTTACAGCGCATTGAAGCAGACGACGGGTGACTTGGATATCACGCCGTCGGTCATCGCTACGACGTACATCTGTCAGGTCCCGAGGCTCAAGCCAGCAGGGAATCTCATCGTTGCTATTATTGTAGCTGATCTTGTGTTGCTTCAAGCTGTATGGCAACTCTACAAGCTTTCGGCTGAGTTTTACCTGAGTAAGAAGAATCGGGAGACGGCTCCGTGCGAGAGATGCTCTGTTGTTGGGCAGGCAGATGATGGCGTACCACCATCTATGCCGAGTCAGGAGAGTGGGCTCGAGTATTTTCCACTGGTCAACACACCGAGGCAGAATGAAGCTCTGTTGACAGGGAGTAGGGTTTAGTGATGGTGGCCCAGCAGGCTGCTGCAGTCTGCAGACTTAATGCTCACCAGCCAGACATAGAGTATTGCATGATGAAGATATTTTTCAGTTGCTGTAACATTCATCACCTCTCTTATCACTCCCTTCCTCGGCCTCAGGTGTTTATTTAGACTATTTTATTAAGCTTGAATGGGAAGCCATGGGATGACGTGCCTTGGAAGCTTCCATCCCGCTTAAGGTCCGGCGCTAATGCAAGCTGCTGACATTTAAAGATCCACTCCCCGCTACAACACAGACACAAATTCTTCACTCCGCCTGCACATGCTTGCTTTACTCTTGATGACAATGAGAAGGCATCGGACAGACACTCGGCAAAAAAGTAAATTGGCACGGCTTGGCATAACTAAGCCTCAAGGTTGACGATGGTGAAGTACGCGGCCTGGTGGTTCATCCGCTGTCATGACGCATGTTAACATGGGGTCATGAAGATATCGGAGATATGGAATATATAACAATCAACATATCGCCTAAATAGAATCATCCATTACCATACTTCTAATCCAGCGAGCACACTGTAACAATACACTATGAAGTCCATCCTCAACTACGCTGCCCAAGGCATCATGGCCCTCGCAGCTGTGATGCCCGCTTCTGCGCAGAACCTCTCCTACGGCGCCGTCAACTTCTACCGTAGTGAAGACGTCGCTATCCAGCCCATCCACTTCAGCACTATTTACAACACCACCATCGTCGGCAATCTCTTCACTGCCAGGAACATAAGCCTCAATGCCAGCTCCCCCGCCATTGTCGTCGGCCATCCCATGGGTGCAGTCAAAGAACAATCCGCCAACCTGTATGCCACCAAGCTGGCAGAGCAAGGCTTCATCACGCTGACACTCGACCTCCCCTTCTGGGGCAGAAGCGACGGCCCGAAGAACCTCGTATCACCCGATTTCTACACCGAGGCCTACAGCGCCGCAGTCGATCACCTTGGTACTTACAACTTTGTTGATCGCGATCGAATCGGTGCTCTTGGAATTTGCGGCAGCGGTAGTTTCATCATCAACGCAGCCAAGATCGACGCTCGCATCCAGGCCGTCGCTACTGTATCCATGTATGACATGGGGACCGTCAATCGTCAGGGTCTTCGAGGAGCCGTATCGGTCGAACAACGCAGAGCGGTTATCGCCAACGCGTCACAGCGGAGATGGGCTGAAGCCGACGGAGCTCCAACTGCAATCACGGGCGGGACTCCGAACGAACTAACAAGCCAGTCTGATGCTGTCTCTCGTGAGTTCTTCGACTTTTATCGTACCGTCCGTGGCGAGTTCACCCCTGAAGGCTGGCAGCGCAACCAGACTACTAGCCCTTCGCTCGTCACCAATGTCAAGTTCCTCAACTTCTACCCTTTCAACGACATCGAGACCATCTCCCCTCGCCCGCTCCTGATCATTTCTGGCGATCAGTCGCACTCTAGGGAGTTTAGCGAGAATGCTTATCGTGCGGCTGGCCAACCCAAGGAGCTTTACTGGGTGCGTGGGGCTGGCCATGTTGATCTCTATGATCGTACTGAGATTATCCCTTTCTCTAAGCTCAGCGAGTTTTTTCAGGATAACCTGGTTTAATACCTAGAGCTGCAGCTATAAAACGATCCAAACTTCACTTCTAAAAGGCGTTACTTCCGCAGGTTCAATTGAAGTTCCGTGGGGAACGACCTTGGCGTTTCGCATTTTCGAACCTTATCTCGTTCTCTAGATAGAAACAACAAATTCTAAATTGTTAGCCAAATAGAACTATCATTCGTGATATGGCTTTACCCTCCATCGGATTTTGGATCGGATGTACACACACCGAAAGGCATTTGTAGATTCCATCGTCATCTGATTGTTTCTTTTCGCATTTAGTCTTTTGGCGCACAGCAATTCTGTCAGCACTGTAAACATGAGCACCAGAACCCCAGTTTTCCGTCAGCAACTCGCATTAGCGCTGGATGCCACAGTGGTTATAGCGCATCAGCCAGGTGCATTAGCGTAGACGATATGCCGGGAATGACGTGAACAGGTTGAAAGCAACAACTTTATATACAAGCTTTATCGGAACACAATTTTACACGTAGTTCTTACTTATCCTTCTTTCAAGTCTCATAGTATTCAGTACCATAGAAATCTGCATCTCAAGCCATCTATCATCATGGGATTCCAGACAGCACCGAAGCTCAAGACTCCTCTTGGCCTCCATCGCATCCTTTCCCCAACCGCTGAAGTCAAGGTGTCGCCAATTTGTCTCGGCGGCATAAGCATCGGCCACGAATGGAAGTTTTACACCGGCAAAAACGAAGAGCCGTTCAAACTTCTCGATGCTTTCTACGAAACAGGTGGTAACTTCATCGATACTGCCAACCTCTACAACAACCAAGAGTCAGAAAAGCTCATTGGTCAATGGATGGAAGAACGTGATGTCAGAGATCAGATGGTCATTGCGACAAAATACTCTGCAGGCTATCGTGCTTTCGGCGATAATCCAGAGCCGTTACAATCAAACTTTACGGGTAACTCTGTCAAGAGCATGCATATCTCAGTGCGCGATAGTCTGAAGAAGCTGAGGACGGATTACATCGACATTTTGTATGTCCACTGGTGGGATTTTGCGACGCCTGTTGAGGAGGTCATGAGAGGTCTTCATGTTCTTGTAATGCAGGGAAAGGTACTTTACCTTGGTATCAGCAACACTCCTGCCTCGATCGTTGTCAAAGCCAACGCTTGTAAGTACTGTCCAGCTATCGGATTGAATACATTGCTAACCTCAATAGATGCAAGACAACACGGTCTCACGCCGTTTTGCGCTTACCAGGGCAACTGGAACGCAGCCCTTCGCGACATGGAGGGTGATGTCATTCCAATGTGCGAGGACCAGGACATGGCGATTGTATCTTGGGGATCCTTGGGCACTGGATCGCTACTCACGGCCCAGCAAAGAAAAGAAAGAGAAGCCGACCCAGATGCACCGAAGCCTCAGATCTCAGATGTCGCGTTAAAAACTAGCGAGGCCCTGGAAAGAATCGCGGAGCGAAAGGGAACGACACTACAAGCCATTGTGAGTCTCTATTCGTTCTTATTCATCAATGGCGGAGCTAATATAACCAGGCTCTGACGTATCTCTTCCACCAATCCACGTACGTGTCCCCCATCGTTGGGGTCAATACCGTCGAACACGTTAAGGCTATGCCTGATGCGCTGAAGATCAAGCTATCCAAAGAAGAGACTGATGAAATTCACCAAGCATCGCCGTCCAATCCAGGATACCCCTTGAACTTCACGCAATATATGCAGCCAGTGAAATATGACCTGTCATGGACACCTGCAGATCACCAGCAGTACCAAATGGCAGCTTGGATAGATGCCCCTCCCAAGCGTCTGGTAAGTGTCCACAAGCTTCTAAATCGGTCGGCGAGCTGACTCTTCTAGCCGTACCAACCGAAAAATTGGTAGATAGTGCAGTGGCTTGGGCGAAAATGGACATCTTTGAAAGCCGAATAGATTCTTTTGTAATGTTGATACAAGAAGGTCTAAGCACCGAGGTTGCCAAACCCATTCTGAAGCGTCGGACATCCGATGAAGCTATCCCGCTCGGCAGTGACAAACCATTTATTTCTTGTGCTCTATCCAGGGTCTTGTTCGTTGGCGGCCGCCCTGGCAGGCGCTAGCGCCAGGCCAGGCCAGTAAAGCTTAATTTACGAATTTCCAACGGTCTTGACAAAGATATTTTCGGCAACGGTTGCCGTCTCATCATTGGAGCCTTTAATTATTGTCTGGGCTCTTTGGGTTCTGTATCTCCGACCTTTCTTATTCCGGCGACTCATACCCAGCTATTCCACCACATTTCTCAATGAACCAGATCAGTAGGGAAAAGCGGGATGGCGAGTTTTGTCGTAGTGAGAGCATAGAACGCGATTGTATTTTTTGTGCTGTCCTCAAGTACGCTCTGATCGCTTCAGCGTGCCATTGGATATCAGCAGTAGTATTCCTCTTTGATCGCATTTTCCATGAGCACGTGAACTCGATAAAATGAGAAACCCGGCACTTGATGCGCCAGCAGTTAGTAAACTGATCTCGGTATTTCAGTTGAATGCCGCAGTGGGGAGATGTGGAGTTGAGGATTAGAAATGGACCCACTACCTCACGATGACCTCCCACTTTGCTTCTAAGTGGCATTGACAACATGTCCAAGCTCAAGAGTCACCATGTAATTCAAAGGCATCGCGAATTATTATATATAGGATTACCTCCCAGCAATGGAAATGAGGGAACCACACAGAAATCAATCAAGCAAGCAATCACAACAAAGGCCTACAACTCAACTTACAACCCTTCTCAATATCCTTCCCAATCATGCGTCTTACAACCATTTCGCTGGCCCTTCAGTCCATCGGCCTCATTAGCGCCAGAGCAATCAGCCACCCCGGCCTTCGTGTAGAGACCTTCATAAACCATGGCTCTTCCTTCGACATGGTCTCCTCATTGATCATCGGCTCTCAAGCCGCTGTCCTGATCGACCTGCCCATGGCAATCGAAGGAGCAGAAGCCCTGGCCGATTGGGTCCGCAACACTACCGACAAGCCACTTGTCGCTGCTTTCACCACTCACTTTCATCCTGATCACTACCTCAGTGGTGGTGCGCTGTTGACGCGATTTCCCGAGGCCAAGTACTATGCCAATTCCAAGGCCGCGGCTGAGATCAAGAAGGAAGCAGCTCACAAGGTATGCAGGATAATACCATGATGTTTATGATGGCTAACATTGAGTAGGTCAAGCTGATGAAGGATGTTCTTGGTGAAAAGTCAATTGTCAACAAGGTTCATCTTCCTACGCCATACGACTTTTCATTCTTCACCCTGCCCGGCGACGAAGCCACGCCAATCCATTTCTTGAACCCTCTCACAGGCGACACCGTCGACGAAACACTCTTCTGGATCCCATCTATCAAGACCTTAATCGCTGGTGACTCCGTGTACGGTCATGACATGCATCTTTGGCTCGCAGACTCTTTAACCAAGGCCCTCACCGAATCTTGGCTCTCAACCCTCGATTTGATCGAGTACCTCAAGCCAAATGTCGTCATTCCCGGACACAGCCTGTCCAACAAGAAGTTTGGCTGCTCAATTGATGTTGATCATACACGCACTTATCTGAAGTATTGGCAGAAGGAGATTGAGGCCAAGGGTCTCGATCACTTCACCCCTCAGGTCATCTTTGATAAGTTCAACAAGCAGTTTCCTGGCCTGCTCAACTTGAACTCTTCTACCTCGGCTTTCCTGCTGAACAGCACGGCTGAGCAGTTTGGTCGTGGTGGAACGCGACAGGTTCACTACATCAACCTCGCTGCTTATACCGATGTCGCGGCTCTTGATGGGTGGACTATTTAAACAGTTAGCTGATGTTTGGGGCAGGGGACTGAGTAACAGGGGGAAGTTAGTGTTTTGACAGTTTGTGTTCATGTATCGGCAGTTGGTGCATGTACTGTCGATAAGGATAGAGTTTCTTTTGGACGGAGTTGTTTTAGAGTACGGAGTTGTAATAGATAGAGTAGAAATAGAGGTTTTCATTCGTCATCTGTCGCAAGTTAGCCTCTGGGCGCATCCAATCAGAATGTCGATCAATTTGTCAGCACTGCTTCCGCGGAAGACAAGATAAGCCAATGTCAGCATCACTTCCTTCAATCACTCAATCATCATTCTATCAACCATCTCTACTATCATAACGTTAGAAATGCCGCCAATACAGATGACTAGAAAGGTTGTCACCGAAGCCCACCTCCCAAGGTAAATTAAGTGCTAACGGCGTGTGATAGGCATGCGACGTCTGCTACCGCAAGCGGATACGGTGTGACGGGCAAAAGCCCCGATGTTCTCACTGCGTTTTGTACAAATCCGACTGCACATTCCAAGCTACTAGCCGTAAGGCTGCAATCAGGAAACAACCAAATGGTACCGCGGCCGCTTTGCAGTCTCAAGTGCGATCGCTTGAGACGAGTCTTGATGAAGCTCAGCAAAGGATAAAGGAGCTTGAAGAACAATTAACACAGAAAAGCAGCATTCAAAGTGATCCGCCCCATTCGGATGAATATGACGTCAGTTACCTTGAGTCGGGTCTTGAGTTACCGCCTCAACACGAGGTCTTATCCGGAGTCAACATGTTTCTTGCAACCTTCAACACTATCCTGCCCCTCTTTCATCCACAGAGGCTTCTATCTCGGGTCAGTCTATGGTATGAGCTGCCCCATCAGCGCGATACCTCGACTTGGGCGGCCATTAATGTCATTCTCTCCCTAGCCTATCGGCATATCCCAGACGAAGAGAAACCGCCTAATTACAGTACCCTGCACTTCATGAATAAGGCCCAATCAGTCCTTAATGATATCATGCTGGGTGATTCAAGTCTCCTAGACGTCCAAACGATTGTCGGCATGGTCGTATTGTTACAGGCGACATCAGATTTGAAACCAGCTTCGGCTCTGATACCCATTGCTTTGCGTCTTGCTCATGGACTTGGACTGCATTCAAGACCGAATTCGGAGAATCTGAGTGTTTCTGAAGCTTTGGAGCGAGATCGGGTTTTCTGGATTGCTTACATCCTCGATCGAGATACATCGATGCGCACAAAGCTACCTCCTATTCAAAGTCAAAACGACATCAGTATTGACTGGCCATCGGCTACACCTACTGATGGAGCTGGTATGCTATACACAGCTGATAACTCGTCTAGCTTCAACTTCTTCCTGTCACGTGTGCAGCTTGCACATATCCAAGGACAAGTCTATGAAGCAATGCTATCCAAGTCCCCGACCGCGTCAGACGTCTACGTCCGTCTTGATAACGTGACTCGAATACACCAGATGCTAGATGATTGGCTTGCCCGTATCCCTTTTGAGTTTTCACCCATCGCCATTACTCAAAGCGGGAATGCAAACCTACAGAGGGCCTTTGGTGTTTTGTACTCAAGTCATCTCACCTGTCGAAGTGTGGTCTGCAAGGCTCATGCCATGGAAGCACAGTGGATACCAAGTCTTCAAGATTTTGGAAGAAAGGCAGTTGAGCAAGGGATAGTTGCAGCTCCACGGTTGCCAGTGGGTTGGAATAATCTTGTTTATGAGTCCCGCCAGTACATCGAACTGTTCATAGCTATTGATCATAAAGATCCCGCCTTTATTTGGTAAGTCCCCTGTTACTCTTCCTCGTCCAACTTGCTAACCTCGGGGTTATAGGATGACTGCGTGTACTTATATCTCTGCGGCGGTATGCCTAACAGCCAATAGCCTCTTCAACCCTTGGCATACAAAGGCTGAGAAGGATGACCAGTTGATCAACCCCGCGTTCAATTTTCTGGATGATATAATACTGCAAGCACCGCTTCCACCGTTGAAACGTTTACGTCATTCGTGGGATGAGCTCCTGAGGAATTCCCGCGAGATGTCATTTCGCAAAGCTGTACAGAATGTGGATTGGCTTGAGGCCACTTGTAGCTGACGACCTACAGAATATCCAGGTAGAGATATAAAGGTGTTTACCTCTCGGTTGGTGCTAAGATAGAGGTGGAGCTTGGTCCTGTTGTTTCTCAAATGTCCAAAATGTGGAGTCTTTTGTAGCCAGGTTGCCATGATGCCATATCCATCCTCCGCGGAACAGCTAACTAAAATACATTACGGACTTAACGTTGAAGGTGTTCCGCGGAAGAGTAAAATACATCATGCTTATCAATAAAAAAGAAATAAAAAGGTTCTGATCTAGTAGTATCCACTCAATACGCGGTTGCAGGACGTATATAATTGTCGCACCCAGGAACGAATATTCCCCAACACCATCCTATTAATCACCTTCTATTATCTTCCCCTTTCCCATCCAAAATGGCACCTCTCCCACTACCAGGATTCTCATCATTCACCAAGTCATGGCACTCTGAGCCATATCCATTCATCTCGCCCACAAGACCAGAGCTCTCAGCTGCTGGCAAGAACATTGTTATCACTGGTGGAGGCACTGGAATTGGTCAAGCCACTGGCATCGCTTTTGCACAAGCTGGCGCCAAATCCATCGCCATTGTCGGTCGACGACTTGAGCAGCTTCAGACCTCGGCAAAGGAGATCCAGGCAGTCAATCCTTCAACACAAGTCCTGTTTGAATCAGCAGACGTAACTAAACTTGAGTCCATAAGCACCGCGATGAAGAACATCGTTGCGAAGCTTGGCAAAATCGACATTTTCATTGCCAATGCAGGCATGTTACCAAAAGCTGGTCCAGTCTACGGCTATGACGAAGCTCAGCTCCGCCAAGGGTTTGAGATAAATGTCATTGGCGTCTTCAACTCCCTTCAAGCATTTCTCCCCCTCGCAGCCCCGAGTGCAAAGGTCATCTACGTCGGCTCTGGCATAGGCCACTGGGCCCCAATGGCAGAAGTCCCTGGTGTGTTTAGTTACGCCGCAGCCAAAGCAGCTGCTTTAAAGATGGTTGACTACTTCGCGTTCGAGAACCCCAACATCCATGTCGTCAGCATCCAACCTGGGATCATTGCAACAGAAATCAATCCCGATCTGAGTGTCGGTTTCGATACAGGTTCGCTTACAGATGTTACTCACATTATTACTTCCGAAACTAACAAGACCAGTGGAGTTGCCAGCTCATTTTATGGTATGGCTTGCGTCAGAGGAAGCTGGCTTCTTGAGGGGTAAGTTCGCCTGGGCGAATTGGGACGCCCAAGAGCTACTGGAGCAGGCAAAGGAGATCGAATCGACTAGACTTTTGAGTGTCACTCTGAATGGGGTTGATATGTAGGATTTGTTAGTTCAAAAAACCCCACAGGAGCACCGTGTGGTCGGTCAGCTATTTAAGTGGTGCTGGACTATTTGTGGTCTTTATAAAAAGTCTGCATCAATCTTGAGCTTCGTATATCTCACATGTACTGTTGAGAAACTTGACATATTATGAACTTCGGCTAGCTTTCGTCGTCTGGCCTCCGAAGAGATAACCAAGATTAACGCTCTTTTTCTTCGATTCAAGCTTCTCTCGCCTTCTTCCAGGGACCTTAGTCCTCTCCTTTTCCAGATTCGGTTTCGGCTTGTCGTTCTTATTCATAGGCCACATGGTCATTACAACTTGCATTCCTGGCTCTACGGTGCTCTCCCACCTTGATGGATCTATCAGGTTGCCGTCAAAATCCATGAGATCATAATGACGAGCATAAACCACTTCAAGACAAATGAACGCTTGTTTGATCATGTCTTCAATGCCCTACAATGGGTCAGTATCCGGAAGTTATTGTCATAGAGCTATTCAACTTGCCTCCCACTTCTGAACAAGATGGTATGGGAACGTGAATTTTCGGCCAACGGCATCTGTGAAGCGGACGACTGGGACATCGCTTTGTGCGGGAGAAGGACTACTAGGTCTCACCTCTTCTTTTCCAGGTTTACGTACTATGTTTCCTGTGATCTCGTCTTTGGACAGACATGTCCAGTCCGCTAGAAGTGTTTCGACAAGAAGTTGACCTGCTCCAGGTTCGTAAATGGCTATGTGTAATTCTGCTGGCGTTCGCACTGCAAGAGCCGTTCTATCAAACGCTGAGCCTTCATGTCCTTTGACAGTATCCTGTTCTTCTTGAGTCTCTGAGCCTTCTCTGTGTTTATAAGAGCTTTCGAAAATAAGTTCAAAGAGCCATCGGCCTGTCCCGTCAGATGACCCATGCCCATGGACCTGAACCTGCCCTGTAACATCGTCAATCTCGCTATCGGAATCGGTCTTTGGTTGACTTGATGATTGGCTAGTCTCAAAGCTCTCGTTATCTGAGAGGTCAACCATACAGTGGGAGGCTGCGTAGGCGAGATTCTCTGATTGCTGGCGGAGGAGGGGAATCTCTGACTCTGGTTCTTTCTGCTTGCCTTCGCTGGCGGAATCTGGCTGAGTGACTTGGGATCTGCACAAGAATATTAGTTATCATGGTATCAGAACAGAAGCTTAGAAACTACTAACTGTGCTTCCTTTCTTGTTGTCGCTGCAAGGATCGGAATGTTGAGCATCAACTGAATAGCAGTCTTATGGCTCTCAATCAGTGTGAGCTTGTACTGCACTTCTGACCGCTTGAAGCTCCATCTAAAATTTTGAAAGCCCCTAAAGTTTTCCATGAGCCCATAGATATCATCATGTATCTTGGATATACGGCGAGTCGCAGACCTTGTTCTGCGGAGAAGTTTGCGACTGCATATATCGGCGCTCTCTTGCAGTACCCGGCGAAGTTCTGAAAGAATGCAAGACAGATCCGAGATATTGCGGCTATGTCTGCCATCTCACGCGAGGCACCGCGCGTCGATGAGATAAAATGGTAGATCGCTTTTGAGAGCGACGTGCCCGCAGTTGCAATGCCTGCAATACTGGCGATGATCGATAGAGGATCCATGGCGGTCAACCGTGATATCAAATTTGATATCACGTCAGGTCAGAAATGAAATGTCGAAACTGTTCATTGCAAACAGCGGAAATGAGATGAGGGGCCACGCTGCCCTGCTGTATGCCTTGACGTCTCTGTAACCAATCACGGTGTTGAACTGCACAGCCTGATTTTGCGATATGCCTCACCAGTTCTTAATGAGACTGCTGACTGGATCTTATGCCATATGACGCAATGTATCTGCACAGGAGGCAAAAAGAAATTTTGAGAAATAATACAAGACTGTTCGGACCGAAATGTGAGGAGGCCAGATGATAAGGAGACATTACACAATCATTATTTCTTATTCACAACAGGTATCTAGGGCTACAATACAGTCCCCATGCCTTTTTCCAAGCGCTTCTGTTCGACAACCTCATCGTTTTTGCCTTCCTACCTTTATTTCCCGTACCTTTTGGTGCTTTTAAGCACTGTTACTGCCCTGCTTTGCCTTGAGATCAGCCATCTCCTTCATGTGCCGTCGCTTCCTAGCCTCCCAGAGAGGATACACGCAAAGACATGACGCGAAAAGAATAGCCACGCCGTTCCAAATCTGCGCACCCAGAAATGCACGGTTATGCTGACCACCGTGAGCCTCATCAGCTGCCAGTGCAATCGGAGGTCCGATTAATGCTCCAAACCCTGCCACCCCATAGACAATTCCCATTCGAGTACCGATGACAGCCAGTGAAGGACATAGGTATGGAATGATGAACGCAGGCAAGGTCGTGACTGCACCAGAGAAGAAGCCATATAAGATGAGGAAGACAGTAAAGCCGCCCAAGTTATGGACTGCAATCCAGCACAGGGCAAGGATACCAGATACCGCGATGTTAAACATGAGAATAGACTCCGCTCCCAAGATCTTCTTATCCACTATGGCTGCAGGTAGGATTCGGCCTAGGGCTTGCGCGGCGTTGAGGACAGACAACATGTAATATGAAAGATCCTCTGAGACGGGATGGTCAAGGCCCAACAGACCAAACGAGGGGGTGAGAATGTATGGTACGAGGAAGCCCAGCCATATAAAGAAGGATGCGAACGTAAATACAACGAAGGCTTTATCCTTGATGATCGACTTGTCGAAGAGCTGTCGTGTTGGCTTCTTGACTGCTTGTGTACTGGGCTTGATGAGGATTGCCGCGGTTGTCAGAGTGAATAGAGCGATAAAACCAATTGCCCTGCAAGCCCAACCAAAGCCACCAGAATCCAGCAAACGACGGACTACAATTGGGTAAATAATACCGCCGAAGGACCCTCCCGCCGTCGCACAGCCAAGAGCCAAACCACGACGCGTCGTAAAGTAGGGAGGGATCATAGCAACGCTAGGGATGTACAACAGCCCAGTGCATATGCCTCCAAGGACACCCCATGTCAACATGACTTGATAATATTGCGTCGATCAACTCAGCATCATAAGTGTAAAGGTGAGCATGAGACTCGAGGCGATGAGGATGGGATAGAAGTATCCTTGATCAAAGAGTGGACCGGAGATGACACCGATGATGAGGATAAGGGAGACTTGGAGTGTACCGATCCATGATATCGCAGACGAGGAGTGTGTTTGAAGAAGCGTCGTTTCATAGTATGTTTGGAACACGCCGAAGCTGTTGGCTAAACCGAAGTTGTTGAGGTTGACTCGTTGTAGATGGTTTCCAGTACCGAAAGAGTCCTTTTTCAGTCTCTCTTTCCTTTGTCGAAGTTGAAATATCAGAAGACATGTTTGCCACTGATGCCAGGAATCTCTCAAGGTCACCATCAAGCTTCTTAGGTTCACGAGCCAGCCTTTATACTGCATCTATCCAAAGGGTCTGAAGCTGCGTTGCCGCAGATCAAACCAGGGTGAGGTCTTGATAGTCCATTTTGAGATAAGTGACAGCGGCAGACAACACGGTTTGCTGTTTTGGTCTTTGCCTTATGAGACAGTGTCGATCATCGTCATGCCTTGATCTTTTGAATTGCCTAATCGAGAAAGCTGGTCGTATTCATGTCGATGATTGGCTGTTGGGAGGAGTGATCCATTTTCAGGGCACTGACATCATTGCTGGGTGGGGCAGCTGAAGTCTTGGTTGTGTTTGTCAGCCATCACCAACTGCTACAAGAGACAACGCGTCTTTTGGTGATGACTTTAAATTCGTAGGACCACTACATGCTATGGCTGTTGAATTAATGTGGACGTGCTTCCAAAGGGGACGTTGAGGCAAGACTGCGGCCGACCTGAGCGACCAGTTGTTAGGTTTCTCCCATTACTTGAGGCTGAATGACTTCCATCATAACTACGGTACGTAAAATCACGTTGAACTGGTTGTGCACGAACATAGATCTTACATCAGAGAATACTTCTTGTACGACTCAGAAACTAATAACTCAACACTCTTCAACAGATCGGGAGCCCAGATCATGATGTCGAGTTATTGGTTACTGCAAATAATGTTTGTTGATTACCCTGTACTCCTCCAGTCCGCTTGAGTTGCCTCTATAATTAGCGACGGAACAAGCCGAGTTTTTTGTCATTCTTAGTAAACTGATCTTATCAATAGCTGTAAAATACAAGTTCATAAAAGACCCCCAAGCAAAAGTCCAAGTCGACAGAGGATGCCATTCGCAATACCCCCCAACTTGACCGTCACAACGGCCAGACAGACATTCGTCTCTGGGGAAGCTTAAATAGAAGCATAGCTCAACGCTTTCTCATCTCCAAACCTTGCTTACACATGTCGGGAGAATGCTTTCCCACATCACGGCATCTCCAGGGTGAACTCGGAGTCTTCTCGCACGAGTAGATGTAACGTTGGGAAGTAGTCAGTAATTGATAATAAACCATTGGTTAGAATTATCGGTCTATCCCTTCAATCTCGCTCTTCCAGCAGGGAACCTTTGGGTTTGCGGGCGGCTTGTACTCCACTATCCACTTTCCATGTGCCGGATATCCGTGATGATCTTTTGCTGACCCCGCGAAGAAACGAGAAAAGTCACGATGATTTGGGGTAGAGGCATTTAACAGAATCCGTAATATCTCGTATAATAAGAGGCTCACTCCGAGATCTACGATATTATAAGCATATCGTCATCTTTCACAGCCTCCTTCTCTATAAAACGATGCAATGGCAACTCCCGAACTGCTTCTCGAAGCCATCATGGAAATCTCCGCGTCTCACGGTGAGATGCGGGGAAGCACTAGCAGTCACAAACTCGCTCCAATTGGACCGACAAGTTCATCGGGCAACTAAACTAGGTATCTCCGCAGTGATGCCGTTGGGATGAGGAGAAAATAAAGTGGCGAATTCTCCGCAATCGGCACGAAATATCCGTCTAGAGGGTGCGGAGAGTCCTACTAGGCCGTGGAGAAGCCTCCGTTTCCCCCCGCTGGTTATAGAGACGATCCCCAATATTTCTTAACCATAAATACTATGCCTATTTCTCCCTGACTGATGTTCTGTACCTTTGTGTCGAAGTAGGTCATTCAGAAATTCTGCAAAAATGAAGTTCACGCTTGGAAACAGAGCCGCTATGGCGGATACGCCTAGTGAGGTTATGAACTGGCGCTTATACTGGAGTACTTTTGTCTTCGGTTCGTCACCCAAGCTCAGTCACTGATGTGTCAATCGCTAACTTCTTCGAAAGGTGTTCTAGGTGCCAGTCGTGGTCTCGACGAAGGTCTCGTCGGAGGCATGGTCACGCTCAAGAGCTTCAAAGAAGAATTCGGCCTCGATCACGGATCCGAAGAACACCAAGCCCAAGTCGAGTCCAACATCACCAGCATGGTTCAGATCGGGTCCATCGCTGGTTCTCTCCTTGCATTCTTCCTCTGCGATAAGATCGGTCGTGTTAGATCACTTCAATTCCTTTGCATGCTTTGGCTTGTTGGTTTCATCATCGTAATTACTAGCCATGGAAGCGTGGGACAGGTTCTGGCTGGACGATTTATCGCTGGCCTGGGTATTGGTATGACTGTCGTTGTTGGCCCGACATACCTTGCGGAGACTGCACCGAGGGCTGTGCGTGGTATGCTCACCAATATCTTTGCCGGTTCTGTCTACCTTGGTGTCATGGTTGCGTACTTTAGCAACTGGGGCGCTTCCATCAACATGCCCGACTCATCTCGATACCAATGGGTTGCACCTCAAACATGCCACATTGGCTTCTCTGGGTATGTCTCCCTCTTCTTCACTGTCAACACCTACGACTAAACTTTGGTAGACTACTTCTCATCCTATCCTTCACTGTCCCTGAAACCCCACGCTGGCTCACCATGAAGGGTCGAAATGAAGAGAGCACCAAAGCCCTCTGCAAGCTTCGACAACTCCCCGAAGACCACCCTTTCGTCCAAGCTGAATTGTACGGCATCCGCGAACAACTTGAGCGAGAGCAAGAAGCCATCCTCGGTGTCTCCCGATGGGGTAAGATCCGAGAACTTCTCACAATTCCCGCCAACAGATATCGCTTCATGCTCGGCTTCATGGCTCAGCTCTTGGGTCAATGGTCTGGCGCTAGTGCCATCACCATCTACGCCGCTGAGTTCTTTGGCGTCCTAGGAAAGTCTGGCCAGTCTGAGAAGCTCTTCGCTACTTGTATTCTTGGTGTCGTCAAGTTGGTCTCTGCCTATGCATGCGCTTTCTTCCTCGTCGACTTCATCGGTCGTCGTCGATCGCTATATGCTGGTATTACTCTTCAGACCATTTCAGTTTTGTACATCGCCATCTTCCTTGCCATTGTTGGCACCAAGACTCTTGAGGATGGAACTTTGACAAGCACACAGAAGCATGCTGGCGTTGGCGCAATTGCAATGCTGTACATCTCAGGTGTCGGTTGGACCATGGGTTGGAACTCTTTCCAGTATCTCGTCAACGCTGAGATCTGGCCCCTTCGCCTTCGTGCCCTGGGTAGTTCCATCACCATGTGTCTCCATTTCGCGAACCAGTACGGCAACACCAAGGCTGTTCCGCTTATGCTGCTTCACATGACAAGCAGTGGATTCTTCTTCTTCTGTGCTGCTGTCTGTATTCTCGGTCTCATCTGGGTCTGGGCATTTGTTCCCGAGATGGCAGGACGATCGCTTGAGAGCACCGATGAACTGTTCTCTCTGCCTTGGTACAAGATTGGTCGCTATGGAAATAAGCTGGCTCCTGATAATGAGGCTATTTTGGCCAAGGACGAGAAGGCTGAGATGAAGCGGGAGGTGGAGGTAAGTCAACTGGAGCAAGCATAAAGATGTTTGTCTAGTAAACAGGATTATAATCTTATGGGATACATGAACAGAAAGTACTGATGATTCTATTGTTCTGCCTCTAAACAAACTCCACGAAAGCTTCACTACCTCTCAGTGTTCGTTTCAACTCAGAAAGTCTTTTACAGTAATCAAGAGTCGACTCTTCCCAACGACGTCGATGAGAGCCTTTCAATAGAGTCGTGTACTCTGTTTTGCCACTCCATGGCCTAATGGCGCATTCACCATTGAACGCCTTGTCTCCAAGCATCCTCTGATCTTGAAACCGCCCAACCAGTAACCAACGAGTGATGTCCGGATACGTTAGACTCTTCTCAAGTCCACTAACCAGCTCCTCGTTCTCATCGGTGTATTCGAGAACGGCGCCTCGTCGGACAAGTAGCTTGACCAGCTCTAAATTCCCAAAGGTAATGGCGCACATGAGAGGTGTCCCAAACCAACACCCTACCTTATTCACGTCCCCTCCAAGGTCTAGCAACAGACCCGTCGCCGCCGCATTGTTTCGAAATACCGCTAGACACAGAGGGGTCCCTTGAAATCTACTCCTCAGGTTCAAGAGAACGCCAGCGTCGTGCGGTGGTAGGGATCTGTATAACCGCTTGACCTGGCTTGTTGTGCAAAACACGATGGCATTGTTGAGAATGCTGCCTGGGTTTGGTACAGGAGAAAGTAATGGCTCATCAAGCAGCCGATGTTGGGACAAATAGTCGACATACCTTCCTTGAAGCAAAGGGAAAGCAAGCATAGGTATTCCATCATCGCTCCTTTGGTGAATATCCAGCCCTTTTGACAGGAGGTACTTGAAGGTGGGCAGCGATGAGCTTTCTTGCGATGCCTTGAGGAGAAGATTTGATCCATCTATGTCCCTATATTGTAATGTAGATGGCCGCTCTTCTGCCAACAGTTTCACAACGTCTAAATGACCCATGAGAACACTCAACGACATGGCAGTGTCACCAGACATGTTGCTCGTTCCAACAATGGCATTGTGTCGCAAAAGTTCCTTCACCACAAGGACGTGGCTGTGGCTAGCCGCGAGGATCAAAGGCGTGTCGTGATATTGATCAAACACGTTTAGATCAGCGCCTTGCTGAATCAAGAACTTGACCATCTCAACATTTCCAGTTTCCGCTGCAACTTGCAGTGGCGTCCTATGCGGGAAGACGACCGGATCATGGTTATTGAGTAGTGCGTATTTGAACTGCTCAGCTGAATCACGGTCGAGGGCAGGACTCAGGTCATCCTTCCAGGCGTTGCTGGCTCTGTTAATACGCTTGATAATTCCTGAACAGGCTTCACTTACTAGTATTCACCGATATTCTCTCTACAATGACCCAGTATGAGCTTCAGGACATTAGAGTTCCCTCTACCAATGCAGTCGCAAATGGCGTCAATAAGGTGTGCTCGAGTAATTGATCGCGACTTCAAAGCAGCTGAAAGCAATTTCTCAATACAGGATGACGGCTCCATGGCGGTGACAGCGTGAGTGAACAGATTTTGGGTGGGGTGACGTTTGCAAAAAAGGCTGTATGTGCTTGAACCCTCGTCGAGTAGCCAGTTGGCGATGACTGGCTTCTGAGCTCTTATAGCGGTGAAGATAGGGGTGCAGGAGTGACAGCTTGGCAAAGGCTGGTTGATCAAACATCCCTGACCGACAGCCACCTTGCACTGCTCAAGATTGCCATTCGTGATGGCGGCTTCGAATTCTCGTCTTCGGGCCAGCTGTAGCCCTTCGTTGGAAGTCAAATCCTTTATCATTTCGCCTGTTGCTGCAACCTGGCCCCGGGGAAGAGGAGAGCCTGATGCCAGTAGAAACGAGGCGAGGTCGTCGAAACCAGTCTCGAGGGCATAGTCTACGGCAAGTTTCCCATCTTTGTCTTGAGCAGAGATATTGATCCCCTGATCTAATAACATCCGACAGCAAGCCATAGACCCTCTCATCACTGCTGCATAGTGAAGCACTGTTCTTCCTTGGCGATTGCTGATATTGATATCGAAGAACTGGTTCTCGAAGAAGTATGATAAGAAGTCCGGCGCGTTGGCTGCAAAGTGTAGTAAACTGACTTCGTCGTCAACTATCTTTGTCTGTGCTCCGTTCGCGCTTGTATAGGTGGAGGACGCAACAAGTTGCCACTGGGATGGGCTAGAAGACTTTTCGACTATCCACTTGAGTATATCAAGCTGACGGTTGCTGACAGCCCACTGAGGAATTCCCCAGCCATGAACGTCAACAGTAAATGGATCATGCCCAATATTCGATAGGCACTTCACCAGTGGTAGGTCCTTTTGCTTTGTAGCCTCGATTATTAACGGCGTTGCGGGGGCGATAGTCGACTGAACAAGTCCCTTATCGTCGAGTGCTTTGATCAGAGATATCTTATCTGGGCTTGAACCTTTGACAACCAGCTCCAATGGGCTCTGTCCAGTCAGACCAACCGCGTTGATACCTTCAGAAGCACCAGTCTCCAATATGGCCTCGAATGCTTCAATACTTGCTTCTCCACACGCTATCTCAAATAATGACGTGGGGTTGCTTGACATTTCCTCGGGGACCGGTCGATGAACGTCAACACCGAGATCAATGAGCTTTACAATAACCTCTGGATTGACCCTCGAAATAGCCAACCTGAAGAAATGGTAGCCATCGTCGACAACCTCAAGCGAGGTACTGAGTTTTGAAGAGCCCACAACTTGGGATAGAAGAGTGGCAAACGATGTTGAGCAAAAATGATCGCTGAGATAATTCTTCAGGGATCCAATTAGCGGAACCAAACCAGATATTTTTCGTGTACTCTCATACGAGGAGAGAACACCGTGATTAAAGAGTGTTGTCAGATCTCTAGAGAAATAATAGTAACAGTCCTCGAGGGCAGAGGCATCAACGTCGCAGCAGATCTCTTCGACCGCTAGGCCAGCACAAATAAGTTCCCAAGCATGTTTCACTTTACCAGAACTTAAGAACTCATTGTCCTTTGGGATGAGGATCTTCAACATTTCGGGGTCCAAAGGTATTGTCTCATCAAACTCCATAGAAGTGTTGTGATAAAGCCAGCGCTCGAAGAACACTTGAAACGGGAAGTTCCCTGAGCTGTCAGCACAGAATGGATCATAGAGCTCGGCCAAGGCTCGAGCAAACTCTGGAGTGCATGTGGCACTCAGATGGTGCATAGGTGTCCGTTCAGTGTTAGAGACGTCAAAAACTGCAACTGCTTTATCTCGCAATGCGGTTAATAGCTCTAAGGAACCAATTGATGCGACATCATGCATTATTGAGCTCTGTGACACGTAGTAATCTGCCTTGGCTGGTAGGGTCTCTAATAACTCGAGTACTAGCTTGCTATGACCGCTATGAAGAGCAGCAGAGAAGGGTGTTCGGCCATCGTTGTCTAAAGTAGCGAGATTTACCAAGGCGTTTTCATCCTGTTTCTGGAGTAGGGTCATGATCTCTTCGTGTCCGTGATAGCAAGCTGAGTGCCATGAGTTCTCGCCACCTTTGTCTCTAGATCCGGGATTGGCTCCTCGAGAAAGAAGAACTGAGGCTACCTCTGTGTTCTTTGACTCACAACTGATGTGCAAACAGTTTTGTCCAGAGATACCACAGACATTTGGATTAATACCAGACCCAAGAAGTATCTCGGCTATCTTGCCGCTGTTGGCTGATGTGCTTCTAGCCGCCGCACTGAGCAACTTGAAATCGTTCGGCTTCGCAACAGCGTCGCCATAACGTGGATCCGAGATGAGTGTCGCCAGCTCGTCGACTAATCCAAACCTGGCAGCAATCCCAAGTGCTTGTCGATACCCAAGGTCACTATACCTATAAGCTGTAGGGCTGAGAGCCATTTGCGGTAAAGTGAGGCCACGAGCACGAGAGAAAGACAACGCAGCGGCTGCCAGTGGTTTCCACTGAGGGAATGCTTCATCCCCAACAGCTAAACGAAGTATAGCCTCGAGTACCAAGTCATCAGACTCATCCTTGCACTCAAACTTCAAAAAAGCTGTGATTGCGTCTTCTGGCACGGCAGATGTCGGACGAACGAGTGGGAGAAGGCAATGACCTGGCAACGAGTCAATGGCTTGAGCCATGCAACTATGGCCCTTGATGACATGTGCAGTATCAGCGCCATTATCCAAGAGAACATCGATAGTGCGAGCCATTTGTTCCACGATACGATAATCTTCCATCTGTTCCTCAAGGGCTCCTTCGTCTACTCGAGCGATCGTCATGGCAAGCGGAGTGGCGTTACCTCGCACCTCATCCACATCGATACCACTGTCAATGAGGAATTGGCACAGCTTGGGAATTAGTAAGAACGCCGCGAGGTACAGTGGGCCGTTCATCAATTGGTGCTTAGCCCACAGCTCGAACTGTCCCCCAGACAGTACTGCGTGAGCCCATGCTCTGAAGTTCCCAGTCTTGTGGATATCGAAGAGGCACTTGAGAAGTTCCAGCACAGTTTCTTCTTCCATGACTCTCAGGTGGATGGAATAAGAAGTTGTGTGTCTCCGTATCCCCATAGGGGTATAGACGGCGAACTTGTAGAAAGGGTGCTTTTGGTTCCTTTCTTTGTCGTAAGCTTCCTCGACTGTATCAATGATAGTCGGCACCCGATCAAAGTGTGGAAGCAACAGGTAACTAATCGAAGTTTGTGCGAATGACCGGTAAGCAGCCTCTTCGGAGTATCGAAAGTCTCCGACTTCAGTCCGTTCTAGGTATTCCAAGACTGTAAAGTGGGCAAACTCGAAGTAATTCCCGTCCAGCGACTTTCGCAGCAGACATCCACAATTACGTGATATAACCTCAGGCTCGATTATGTCATCAGCTTCAAATAAATCCATATCTTGCTGAAATGAGACTGCTTCGCATAAACTGGCGATGTTCATCTTGGGTGATCCCAATGCTGTCCACTGGAGGGCTCTTCGGATACAGGTCTGTGTTTCAGGTGGACACCGCATGACTCTTTGCAAAACACGATCATAGGTCTCGTTCAGAGTGGGGGGTAGCTCGGTTAAAGCTCTCTTTCGAGCTTTGTTATTGGGGAGGCTGCAGATGTGGTCGATCTGGCAAGCCACCCACCGAAACCTAGGTGATATTAGCTGTCTGTACTCCCAAGGCCATCAAAGGTTAACTCACACTCCTTGAGCTCCGTGCACTAAAGTGTGAAGTATATCCTTATAGAGATCCGGGTTCGTCCGTTCGATGCTTTTGAGCACCTTTCGCTTGCTGACTTCTGCAAGCGTGTAGTCTTCCAAATCCCTCACATGGGCTGAAACCTCAATGTGTTCAAACCCCTCAGCGAGCTGCTCACGGATCTCTTCTTCCTTTCGGCTAAAGAAGGCACAGCTGACAGTCTCAGATCCATCTACTATCGCTTTCAAGGACCGGGTCATACGGGCTACCTGATCACCGCATTCGTCCAGCCCATCAACTATGACAAAGACCTTCTCATAAACTTCAGACATGCATCCAACGAGCTCACCAAGATCGTCTAATCTTGGTTTGGTGGGAAGCTTGTCGTCGGGATGTAGCATATCGAAGTATTCTTCGAGAAGATCAAAGGCCTCTTCGCCCTGGAGACCAAGTTGGACTGCAAGTGCCGCCAGAATATTCTCGGGAAGACATGTATCTGGGTTCTTGTAATCGCAGAACGCGAAGCAGACTGCTGTCAGATCGTCGCTCTGTTTAAGAACAGTCTCGATGACAAGCCCACACAAAACAGTCTTGCCGCTGCCTGGGGACAATTTAGAAAACCTCCAACCTGATAAAGGGTTGCAGCTTACCTGGGATGCCACTAAGCCACAGTTTAGAGTTTGATCCATTCTTCCACCGTTCAAACGTTGAATCGTCACTGGTAAGCCAAGACCCAATGGCTTCATGTCGCAGCTCCCGGCTAATATCGAGATAGTCCTGAGGTTTCACGCGTAGAAAGAAATTCATGACCTCTTTGCGTCTCTTGTTAAGCTCAACTCGCGTCTCAAAACTGATCCTCCGTTCGATCATGCTATAAATTTCATCCTGCTTGGCCAGACTCTTGATCAAAGCGTCCATACTATCTGCAGAGAGCGCAAGTTGAAGATTGGCGCGATGATTCGCAAGCTCGGCACCCAAATCCTTTGTCTCCTGCATTGAAAAGGGCCATTTCAACCTGCGAACGAAACGCCGCGCTGATTTACCGCCATCAAAGTCAGAAAGCGCTTTGTCAAGCTTACTATTGATCTCATTCAATGTCTTCTGGCATGACTCAAGATGTTGCGGTTTAAGAGCTGGATCGGAGTCTCGCTCTTCCAACGCCGAAGCCAACAATCTCAGGTTTTCGAATATTCTAGCAAGATCTCTTGTCTGGGCGGCGAGGTCTTGGGCTTTTGACGGTGCATCTTTGGCTTCCTTGCAGAACTTGGTGAGTAGTTTAAAGACAGATCCAGTGAGTTGCACGAGGCCAGCGATACTAGCGGCCAAGCCGATGGCCTCCGCCATGTTCGAGTCGTGGATATTGTAATGGTGAGTAGTATTTGAGGGGCAGGCTGCAGTGAGATTGAGGTTGAAACGGATGGATCAGAGTGGCGAAGCTGATGATGGGATGACCCAATCATGTCAGCCTTTACACGCCACAAGATCCCATGACTTAACAGGGATTGTTAACAGGGGTAGAAGACGAGAAATTGGTTGAAGATCCAAAGATATCTCACTTGATAACAACTTGGTGAAGACTGAACACCAACAGGTCATGTGGCATCGACAGAAATCGATATTGACGGAGTTAGCCCCCTTGACTTTCTCGTAGAAAAGGAGGCTTCTAGTCTAATATTACGAAGACCAACAGGAGTCTGTACTTGGTAAACTAACAAGAGTAGCATTTAGTGGGAATTTGCACAGACCCGAACATAAACCCAAGTATGTTTACTCATCTCATGTTAGTCAGTGTCAACTCGCGTTAGGGTGTTCAAACGAGTTGAGGCAAGAGAAGCCATCTGTCACCTTCAGTCCTCCCGTCTGTACAGAACGGGGACGGCGCCCAAAGCAGATGCTCTTGCCAAACGAGCAATGACCTTCCGATAAACACAAAACAACGGCTCATTTTCATTTCCCACCTCAACATCAGCCCTCCCATCTCAGTATCATCAGCAACACATCACTCTCAGCCTCTGCATCGGTATCATCATCAGTCTCGTCTTCTGCATCAACCTTGTTCTCATCGTCATCACCTGCATCATCAATTACTCTTGCTCTGACTTCGTCTCATTCCTCCACTGCAGCAATGCGCTCTCTTCACCTTCTGGCTTTTTGCGGTGAGACTCCCACTAACCCTACCTATATTAAGCATAACTTTACCTACACCTAGCCTCACTTTACCTATCTTAATCCTAAGTTTACCTATCCTAAGCCTAAGCTTACTTATCCTAAGCCTTACCTAAATACCCAGCAATCAATTCTGCAGATCCAGCTCTGACCGCCCACTCTTTAGGCCTTCCACTGGCTTCAGCTTGCCCCCCGAAACCTTCTTTCAAGGCCGACATTCGTGCTGACACCAACCGTGATGGACGAGTCGACCTCGAAGGTTCTTCGGACACGAAAGACAAGACGCGATGGACAGAAGAGTCCGGTGCCATTTTCCTTCCCAACATCGGCGATACAGATCAACGATGCCTGTCTGAGTTTACCGGTCGTAAGGTTCTACTTGACAAGAACCTTGACGATTGCCACGATGCTTCTGACAATACTCAGAGATCCCCCGACTATCTCGCACCCCTCAAGACCGTCCCCATCCCAATCCTTCCCGAAAACGCAAAGGGTACGGTTACAGTTCCTGATGCGACTCAGCGAAAGCTCGTGCGTATCTTCCAGAAGCAGGGCAAGGATTGGGTATACATCGACAACGACCATACTTTCTCTCAACGGGAGCTGCAGGCTGGCCTTGATCTTGGCATTGATGCTCGTAATACCAGACGTCCCAAGAGTTCGGACACCAGAAGTCCCGAGCGCTGGGATGGGCGTGTCACTGTTCGCTTCACCATCCAAGTCGGAAGTACCAAATCATCTGACACAGTCATGTTACGTGTCGCACCCGTGCTCATACACCATCACCTCCAAATGGTCGAACAAGTCCTCACCGTCCAGAAAGCCTCGAACCCTTATCTTAATGACTTCGCCAACATCCTCGACTCAATTACAAAGGCAGCTGGCCTCAAGAAAGACCTTGGCCTCTTTCTCATGCACGGAAAAAGGTTTGATAAGTGGGCCCAAGACTTTGTTGAGCCAGGCTACGCAAGCATGCCTGGTCCAAATGGAACAGTATCTATCCGGATCCTGATTCGGTGTCCCCGCGCCCGCGCTTCGCAAGAGGGCGGTCGAAACCTCTTTCTGTTTGTCCGAAAAGCTGGAGTTAGTGCAGTGCAGCACCTCGGAGTCTCGAGCCCTGATATCGATTCTGGCGGCAACATCGAAGCCATTCCTCCCTACACCTTCAAGGGCAAGACCTGACGAGCTGGACGTCTCATCGTTGGCCAGCATGGTAGCAAATACCATCATATTCTGTCCTACCTCGAAGCTCAAGAGTCACAGAAGCCCCTTCGACTTGACACTGACTGGCTTGCCGTGGGTCATGTCGATGAGTTCCTCCAGTTCATTCCCGCCAACAACACCCGAGGTTGGGTTGCAGTCATCGGTGATCCTATTTTAGCCATCAAGATCCTTGAAAACGCGAAAAAGGCCGGGCATGGGTCGCTCCCGGCTATCTCACGCAAGGGCGATACTGAGTGGCCGCGGTCCTGCAAGACGCCCGAGTGTGACCAGCCCGTGAATTCCATTACCGTGAGCCAGCTGTTGAGCAATAACAGGCTGATGAAGCTCAACAAATGGTGCGATCGGAAAATCAAGAGCAACGTCAAGACTCTCAGGAAGGAAGTTGGACTCACCGATGAGGACATCATTCGCATTCCGGCTTTGTTCATTGAGAACGGCCCCTGGGATGGTCCTGACTCGGAAACCGAAGTCGGGGCCTTTTTCCCTGCTGCCATAAACAACCTCGTTCTCACTGGGTACAACACTTGCATTGCGCCTTACCCATGGGGTCCAAGGGTCGGGGGGGACATCTTTGCCGAGACAATTAGCCACAAATATGCCGAAGTTGGAATGAAGATCGAGTTTATCGATGACTGGGATACTCATCATAGACTCCAAGGAGGAGTTCATTGTGGGACCAACTCATTTCGAAGCATGTCTGCACCGTGGTGGTGATCGCATTGGGTTGTAAGACCTTGAGTAATTCGCCGTTGTTGTAGATAGTATTTTATTCATATGCAGCATCAGTATTCCTTTCCATACCTCATGGCCCTCCAGTAACTTAATGCTCTTGTGATCAACAGTCTCGCGACTCTACATCAGTGGTCTAGCTCGGGATCTTAAGCCTAAATGACAAAAAGTTTAGGTAACTTAGTATAAATTAGGATACCTAAGTTTAGGATACCATTTGTGGAGTTTATTGGCACCCTAAACTTAGGTTCCATGTTTTCTTGCTCCTAATTTGAATCTTGCTAACAGGAATCTAATTCCGGCAAGGGCCCACGCAAAGCCGTGAAAGGTTTGTCGTCGGTATTCTCCCTAAACATCCTCGATCTCAAGTTCCGGACCAGCCCCGTGCTTCAGGGCGCCGAGGTAAGACTGCAGGAGGTCGTTCTCATGAGCGCGGCGATCCTGATACGGCAGTGCGCCGCCGATGAAGTAAGTAACATTATGCATGGCTGATGCAGACTGAGTTACCTGCCAGTCAAGAAAGCCAGGCTCTCCTGCGGGTGACATGAGTGTATTTCAAATATGAGCATCACCATGGACGACACACTTCATTTTGGAGTCAGATTCCCAAAGACCTGTGAATGTCGCCGCCATACGCTCCCGATCCTCCATAGACTCAGGAAGCGGAGGTCTCGCATCTAGAGCAAAACGTTTATCCCATTCATCAGGCACCAACAAACCCAAGATTGCATCTTTGATCGAAATTGTTTCACTTGTACCCCCCCAGGTGCTGGCATGGAGGGTAGCGAGCTGCTCGACACTCATTCTCGCCCTCTCAACCGTCCATGTCCCAAGTGGGTTACTAAATGTGCAGCCCTGAGCTTTGAGATCAGCCATCACAACGATTCCATGGCCGTTCAGTATTTGTACCGGGATACAATACCGGTAGCAGGGGGATCTTGAGCTTTGGGGTAAGGTAGTAGTAGAACTTAGCAGCTTCGATTCTATCAATGGCGTAGAGGAAAGGAAAAGATTCTCGAATGTCGGGATTGGATCCGCCTTTGACGCAAATATTACTGACGCTGTCATCGGTATCACTCTGGAACGTTAGTTTGATTGAGACCTTGGAAACCGCTCCATGGATTATCTCAATGACTTCAACATCTTTGACAGGCTTTTTTTGAGAATCTGGGTGAACCGTTGCTTCGTAAGATCGTCGACCGTCAGCGGCAACGGCTCATTTAATCGTATGACGCCATTTACCTTGCGTGCATTTGAAGCCATAATGATTGTATTTTGCAATCTGCAAAGAGGTCGCCTTCGGTGTATTGGAGAGCAAGGATGTTAAAGAACTTTTGAAGTGCTTATATGCCCAGATAGATTAGCATTCAAAAGTTCTTTGACGTCCTTGGTGAACAGTGCATATCTGACATGTCGATACTTGGCCCGGATTACACTTTACAGGGCTCTGCTGATCTTGGCAGGGATTCAGTCGGAGTCCATAGGCTATGAATAGCAGCCTATGTGCATATGCTAAGTATGATGATATGAGGACAAGTAGGTCAATCACCTTGCTTCAGGGATGAACCCTGTTAGCCTTGACCGCTGTGCGGAAGTATGCCATAGCGCATGTGTGATCCCAAAGAAGAAACCAAAAGCCGGCTTCGACATGGCAAGGAATAAATAAATTTGTTCCAGTCGTAGTATGTAGTGATCCACAGCGTCTTATGCAAGAACTCACCGGCGAATGAGTCACCAGCCACTGCAAAGGGAAGGCCTGTCGTCAGGTGCGGGGAAAACAAGTGACCTAATGCAGCCTAAACACCAGAACCGTAGTGAATCTGAGCTTCCAACAGCATTTATATGTGACCTGCGCTCACTCGTGCGTTGTCTTCCTCTATATAAACTCCTACAACGCGTGAAAATAATTTACGGCCATTTTCCCTTCTGAAAAGTCATCATGGCTCCAACAATTGAAGAACTATTAAAGGAATACGACTTTGACCCCTCCCTCATCGACAGAGTCGCATTTCGCAAACACAAACAGCCCATCGCCATCGTCGAACCCGACCCAACATGGCCAGAGCATTTCGCCCGTGCAAAAGCACGCATCGAATCCGCCATCGGCGACACAGCAGTGTCAATCAACCACGTCGGCTCAACCAGCGTCCCAGGCCTACCAGCAAAAGCCGTCATCGACATTGACCTAACAGTCAAAGACATCAACGACGAAGCTTCCTATGTAGATGCGCTTGAGAATGTTGGTTTTCATTTTCTCGTCAGGGAGCCGGGGTGGCATGGACATCGCTTCTTTTGCGATTATGAACCCGTGCCGACGAATTTGCATGTTTGGGGGCCGGGATGTCCGGAGGTGGTGAGACATAAGATCTTTGCGGATTGGTTGAGGAAGAATGAGGATGATAGGAAGGCTTACGAGAGTATTAAGAGGGAGGCTGCGAGGGCGAGTGTTGAGAATGGGGAGGATGTTATGGAGTATAATAATAGGAAGCAGAATGTCATTCGGGAGATTCTGCGGAGGGCGTTCAAGGACTTGGGATACCTTTAAAGCATGCCAGGCGGTCTCTCATGATCTTTGGGTGGGTGCAAGCCAGGAAACAACGGAATATCACGCGAGGTCAAAGAGGCTGCAAAACAAGCTTCCGTGATCGTTGAGATAAGTGCCTTGGAATAGACCGAGACATAAATACTGTGCTATCTGTTCCTAAGCATTTTGCCATGCTTAGAAGTGCTCATAGAACCCGGATTATCTTGAGATCAAGCTCTGGTAGATGCATGCTCTCGGAAGTTGCCGTGAAGTTCTTGTGATACCTTCCAATTCGAGCCTAGATTTCAGCTAGCCTCAGCTCGGTCCACGACTCCAAATGGCGAAGACCGACTTGCTGCCTGAATGACTCCAACTGAAAATTCACGTTTTTTCACAAGCCTTCTACTATAACATTCCGAGCCAGTTTCCTTTCCTCCTCCAGAATTTTGTAAAACCGCTCAAGATGTCTCACGAGCCAATGGAGACCTGTCCATGCCACGCCCCAGGCGACGATCCCGCCGAAATCACAACGTTGCACCAAGCAGCTTTTCACCAAAACAACCAACGACTAGAACAGCTTCTACAAAATGGCGCTAATGTATCAGCTACGCAAACGGCTCGCGACTTTACGCCGCTTCACTATGCCGTCCAATTCGGCGATGAGAAAGCGGTGCAGATGCTCATTGAAGCCGAGGCCAACGTCTCTGCAGCAAGCTACGATGGTGTCACGCCGTTACACAACACGTCTGCCGGCGGCGATGTGAAAATTGCAGAAATGCTCTTGAAGGCGGGGGCCAATGTTGACAGTCGCAATATCGATGAAGAAACGCCTCTTCATGTCGTGTCATTGTTTGGGGAGACACAAATTGCAAAGCTACTCATAGACGCTGGGGCGGATGTCTCGGTAAAGGATTGCTATGGAAATACGGCTTTGCATATCGCTGCAGCCCATGAGCATATTGGAATCGCCCAAATGCTTCTTGACGCTGACGCTGACGTAAATGCAGTGAACAACAATGGGGACCCAGTGCTACATCATGCAATGAGCGATGGACCAGAATGCGTCAAACTTCTCATCGAGCATGGAGCAGACGTTCACCTCAGAGGCGAAGGCGGTGATACCCTTCTGCATCGCGCAGCGCAGAGCTCACCTGAACTAGCGCGAGACTTACTCAAAGCTGGCATTGACAATGAAGCAGCAAACGATGAAGGAGCATCACCTCTCCACGTTGCTGCAACGTATGGGGATATTGAATCGTTGAGGATTCTAATCGAGAGTGGAGCCGATGTCAGAGCGACCAACAATGACGGCGAGACGGCTCTGCATCTTGTGGCAGGGAACCTATCCGCGCTGTATCTCGGCAACGGGCGTGATTCCGATGAGAAGGCGAAAGCGTTGATCCAGGCGGGAGCGGATATCGAGGCGAAAGCAAAGTCTGGAAAGACACCTCTGGACTATGCGGTTGATTCTGGCCATGAAACGGTTGAGAAAGTACTTCGTGAGATGGCATTGTAAGTCCAGAACAGCCGGACAGGGTCTTGCTTTGCTACCAAAAATGTATTTAGTAAGACATAGATATTCAGAAGCTACACAACTCGCCTAGATCCTTATGGTGAATTGTTGCACCCAACAGCGCTAGTTCTTAGTATCTCATGTACGATCGACAAGAGCCCAGGTATGGTCAGCAATCTTTCCTCTCTCCTCCTCAGTCCACTCTTTCTTCCCCCCAATCACCTCCCCATGGTTATCGATACAAGCCCACGACACATTCTTCGATTGCAACTCTTCCGCGGCTTTGTAAAGTCCATCAAGTTGTCTTTCAGCGCACTGCTCAGGCTGGAGACCAACCAATTTCGAAGCAACCTTTGACACAACCCGGAAATACCAAGCTGAATTCTTGGGTGTCGCTGTATTCACTACTCCAGGATATCCGTGTGCAAAGAACTGTTTGGCACCTTGATTTTGAAGTGCGTGATACTGTATCATTGCGTCATTCATGGTGATACAGTGGTTGGCTGCGTGAGCAAGACTGAAGGTTTCCTTGAGGTCGAGATCATCCCAGTTCAGCTTCTCAGGACTGGCATTCAGCCCGTCCAGAACAAGAAGAACTTTCGCATCTTGGCTAAGAATAGGTCTGAGCTCTCTAATCAAGAGCTGACGGCCGTAGTAGTGCAGCGCCATCTTCCTATCAATCCCCTCAGGTGTTTCCGTGCGTCCAGCGAAAGACATGATTCCTTGCGTCATCACAAGAAGATCAAGAGGGCTGTTCTGGCTATTGCTTCTGAACTCTTGCGCAAACTCTTTCAAAGCGTGCATTGACGTTGCATCGACGGCGCGAAATGAGACTTTGTCAGCTGGCATGACCTGAGGTTTTGTGCGGCCCACAATGGTGATTGATGAGAACTGGTAATTGGGAGATGTCGCCAGACGGCTGGCGATTGCGTAGCCAATACCGCTGGTGCCGCCTACTACCAAGGCGTTGGAGCCGGTTATGACTTTGTTCATGGTGAAGATGAGATGAGGAGAGGAGATGTCAGACAAGATGCGGGGAATAGAGAACAAGATATAACAGACAAAGGTATGACAGACCAGTCAAAACTAGCAAATGACCAATATTTATATTGAAAGGGTGCAATTAGCGATAAGAGTTGATGCAGCGCCGCTTTCATGCGGGCAGATCACTAGTGCTTATGCTGTCGCATAATCGTCTGCAAAAGGAGATTTTCCATACCCGTCTCACATTATACATTATCCCGAGTCCGAGTGCGAAAATAATCACAGGTGCCCGTCTTCACCTCACGGACTCACATGCTACTTGCTCAATGAACGTATAATCTCTTCCATACGAGCAAAAGCGAATTCGTCCATCACCTCCCTCCAGATCCTGTCCTGAACACTCTTGCCCTCTTCAGTGTAGTAGTACGAGCCGAGCCTGGGATCTGTTAGCCACTGGTGGAAAATGCGTTGCAGCAGTACTTACGGGTAGATCTTCCAGTCCATTAAATACGACCCATGGGATTCCTCTCCTTTGACTATCGCTGCATCAATGTAGGTTGAGGCAGCTTGTTCCTGCGTACGGCCGACTAACTTGGTTGCTGTGGCCATCGCCAGTCTCATCAGCCAAGTGCCTTTGTCCATCAACCCAGTGCCCTTTGTCATGCCTGGATCAACAAGGTTTATGACAACATCGCTTGGGTCAACGTGCTGAGAGAGTTTGTCGATAAAGAAGTGACCGAGAAGTTTGGACTTTCCGTAATGCCCCATGCCATCGAAGTTGGCTTCTGAATCGAGAGCAGAGATGATATGGTCGGCCTTGGCTTCGGGCAGTTCGCAGTACAGTGCTGTCCCCGAACTGACGATGGTGAGGCGACCTGGCTTCGCAGTTGGAGCCCTACTCTTTAGTATGGGCAAGAGAAGAACGGATAGGTACATGGTGGAGAGGAAGTTGACCTGAATAGTCTCTTCATGACCTGTTGTCTTGTTACGGTGAAAGGTTATATCGCCCATGCCAGCGTTGAGAATGACAAAATCTATCCTAGACAGAGTCTCACATCGCTTTGCAAAGCCTTCAACGGAGCTGTAGCTCCCCATGTCAAGCCTCCAAACATCAATCTGGGGACTTGTGGACGATGATGTTTGACGGAGTTGATTTGCAGCAGCATTACCCTTGTGTTCAGATCTCACAGCGATGATGAGATGACTCAAGTTATGCTGGAGCAGAAGCTTGGCACATGCAAAGCCGATGCCATTGTTTGCTCCGGTGACGATGGCTGTTTGGCCTGAAAGGTCGAGGTCCTTGGGGGGTAATTGGGGTTTGGTGCATAGTTGGGATTGGATGAATTGTTGGCCAACGGATAGGGTAAGTGCAGGCATTTGTGAGGATGCACTTCGGAAGGGAGATACGTTCTTAGCCATGGTGAATGTTCAAGATGTTGCCTTTGGGGTGAATAATCTGGGACTAAAGTATGAATCAATTCCAAGGATATCGCTCTGAGGAACAGATTTCTTTTATACCAGATATTCAAGTACATGAAATGCGCCTATCTATTGTACACTCTGTCGCGATCGACATAGACATATAACTAACCAAGCCGGGGTAACGATGTGGTCTTCGCATCTTAACGTGCTTCGCTACCCCTTGATGCGCGGGATTACACTTCCTTTCAGCTTCGTGTCAGATGGTAACGCCTTCGCATACTCCTCCTAGGTTTTCGGATCGGCCTTCGCCAAATGACCAGATTGATGTCTCAACACGGTTAGCGTACATGATAAGATCTGCGGTAACTCGGAGCTTTTTAAAATCCGAACAGGCCGGAGATAACGCTTAGCCTAATTCAGGCATCAATCTGGTCAAGCGCTGATTATTCCAGCCAGGGTCCATGACAGAGGATTGAGGCTGAGCGGATGCGAGATTTGGACTAAGTTGAAGCCCTCATTCGGGTCGGTCAGCATCACTCCATCACCATCCGTAAACATCTGACCTAATGCCAGCCACTGAATTTACGTTTCTTACCGTTGATGGCCATGGGCGTCCGGTCGAACCCGGTAGTCGAGCCTCGATTCGCAGTCGGTGTATGAAGGGGGTCAATGTACGCCCGGGCTCGCGCCGATCGAGAAGAAAGGCGCGTGAGGCATCAGAGACAGTCGCCGCAGCAGAAAGTCTCGGCAAGACTACCGAATCCTCAGAGATTACGTCTCATTGTCAATTAACAAGTTGCGGGCCCTTTTCAAAGTCACTGCAGGCCCGGACTGATGAGCTTGGCTTTGACTCATCACGCTTGCCATCAACTGCATGGCGATTAGGTATATCCACATCGGAAACTCAGTCATCAGTGCTAATCCAACTTTGTAGTCGTCAAGTTCAACGCTCTGCTCGACGCGGCATATCCTCTCGAGATATACCTCGAGAATATAAACCTCCAAGAACACAGCATGATCGACAACTTGACATTGCTGCACGAGAATAAGACCCTACTAGAATGCATGTTTCTGGCTACATATGCTGTGGACGATTTATGCTCGGGTACCAAGCTATCACTTCGAACCCAGCGGATACTCTGCACCATCCTCTCGTCTCTAAACAGCAGTCTTCGTGATGCTTCAGGGCAACAATCCCACACCACGATATTTATCATATTGATTCTTCTCTTTGCAGCTGAGTCGTTTCATGACTTTGATGCTGTTTCAACACACCTTGAGGGACTGAGGAGATTGTTGGAACTGCGCGAGACGAAGCCGGTGCCCTTGGACTCTAAACTGTTGTTCAAGATCCAGCAGGTCGATCTTAGAATGTCGTTGGCGACAGGTCGTCCGCTATACTTCCCTTTCGACTATTCCTGCTCACAACAGCCTGTTGGCGTCATCAGTCCGCCAAGAATTATCCCCTGGCTGGTGGTACATCCTGCACTGATGACCTGTTATCAGACATTGCGAGCTTTGTCGAATCATGCGAACAAGCGTCAAGCCTCAAAAGTTGGAACCCTTCTAAACTGGGCTGCTTTCCAGTCTCAAGTTAGCACAAGTCAAACTCATCTCATAGCTCTTGAGAGCAGTCAGCTACCTGTCGAGTCTGAGGCTCTGCGACTCGGCATGCTTGCCTTCTTATCCACACTCTCACGTAGCCCGGCACGGAAGTCTCACCTACCAACTTTTACCTCACAGCTTGAGGAGTGCTATGTTGCCATGAAACAAGAGCAAGATTTCTACTTGCCATTGCTTATTTGGCTGATGTTGATGGGATATATGTCTACCATCGATACATCCAGCTTGATATCATTAACAGTCTGGAAATCTTTTGTTGAGCCCGACTTGACTTGGAAGGCTGCACAAGGAATTATCAGTAAGCTTCCATGGATTGAAGTAATTCATGATGAACCGGGAGAAAAAGGCTTTAGACACTTACAGACTTGGGATGACGAATCAGGGCGTCACTAATTAGACGCATGAAGAGCTACGTATATCCAGACGACAATTGGGAATAATATACCTTATATTATATATTATGGTGATAGTATTGTTGAAGTTAACTAGGTAGATGAGTATCAGACAGTATTTCCACATAAGGATGTTTGTGATAGCCGTAACCTTTGATGGACCTACGCATCGTGAATTGTCAGCGCCCCTGGTTTTGGGCCACGTTTGCCAGCTGGTTTCGAAAGTGGTTTAGTACTACATGTCGTGGTATTTACAAAAGCCAATGCGAGGCTTGCTGGTAGAATTACTAAGTGCTTTCCTTTCCGCCCATGCATGCAGATCCTCCAAAGACCACTGAACTAATCGCGACAAGTAAGAACATTTCAAATTCTACTAAGCAAACTGTTTTCAGTAGCTCCATGTTCAAGTTCATATCTCTGGCATCCCCGTGAATTTATGACCTTATAGAGCTGACAGGCCCTTACGTCCATAAATAAACACAGATACCATACACTTCTGATACTTGAATAAGTATTTTGGCTTATTCTGTAGTTTGTCTATAAGCTATCTCGGGCTTCTGTGGTAACAGTGTATTTCTGCCGAATGAGGATAGATTCGCCCTAACTCTCGACTGGTCGCCAGAAGTATTGTCCTTTGAAATGGTAGTATCAATAGCTTTAGTTAGTATAGGACCTTGGGAAGTTATTGGAGTACTATCGAGTTTCGCGTGTTTCAATATACTCTGCAAGTACGTGGCTATCGATTTCTCTTGAGCTTCGAGGGGAGCGTTGGCAAAATTATGTACTTGCTGAGGATGCAATTTGCTTGGGTCGATGCCATTGTCCAGAAGCAATTGTTCTGCCGCAGCGAGAGGTGTTTGCTTGACAGGAGTTGGATATGTATCCAGCTCTTGGCTTTTCACAGAGGCTGTCATCTGCTGTCTGCCCCCTCGCGTGAATCTGTTTTGGTCATATTGTAAGCAAGTGCGAGTTGGAGATGAATTTAGCTGGGGGTATCCTCACGAATCTCGGTCATAGAAAGAATTTCCGGCCTCTATCCTGTCTTTCGAAGCTCTAAAAGCCGGTGCGGGGATCTTCCGCTGAGGCTGTAGGTCTTCATTTTCGCGCGGGGGTAGTCCTCGCTTCAAGGAACCCTTGGCAATGCTACTGAGTTCTTCGGTCACCGGTTGTGTCCTGCGCATATCGGGGGACGTTCCTAAATCAGACCCTTAGTGTTGACTCCCAGTCCGAATTGTAGAGTGAAACTAACCTGATTGACTAGAGCGTGGGAAGTTGTATCCAACTCTTGATGTGATTTGCCTTCCTGGAAACAAGAACAGATAACATATGCACGGTCCCACATCACTTATCGAATCTACTGAAACTTCGATCTAAATACATATGTCCCGACGGAGCATTGAACCGGCAAAGTAACCGAGAGTTGACCACTCAAGTCAATTTGCCGTCGTAGGAGAAATGAAGACCTGGCATACTTGAAATACTTTTTATAATCTATGCCTAACAGATTCCACCTAGGTTGAGAATATGGCATTGAGGCCCTATGCCTTGCTGAAATGCACATATTCCACACAGGGCTTTATCCGAGATTCATTGCTTCCACTCGGCTATTGCGATACAGCTGATATTCCCATGAAAAGCTGCAGCCTGATCTTCCCACCGAAATTCCCCATTTTCCACGAAACCGTAGAACTTGTGCAGATTGCCTCTTTGTTCTTAAACCCGGTCAATCGGAGAGCACTACCCAACTCAGACAGTTTCAATGTCACACAAGCGGCAGAGACTCAGCCCTGATTCCTTGCGCCATGGATCACCTGCTTCGAGTTCAAACACCTTTACTCGCCGTAGCTATTTTGGTGCGTCCGGCCTAAATGCGGATGGAACTGCTCACCAGGGTGCTTCTTCTCCGAGTTTGCCAGAGACTCGGACCCGAAAGAAACCTATCACAACAGTCGACTGGAGGGCTGAGCTGTGTAGGGTTATGGATCGACGCGAAGATATATCCAACGCAGACTTGCTTGACGGACTTGACGCTGCGTTTGATGAGCTCAAAGAGTCACGAAGCCGGCTCCAAGCCAGAGAAAACTTTCTCCATGGCCCGCCTCGCCACCAAGTCCTATACCGTATTCGATGTGAGGGATCTCGGTTAGACGACGAGGATTCTGACGCGTCTGAAGAGACGACTGAAGAAGGCTATACAACCTACGAAAAACCTCCTTGGGTGGTTCAGTACGGTCCGCATAAGGCCCATTTGCGCGCCGGCAGCCATGTCCCAAGCTTGGAACTCTATCTGGAAAGGAACAAAGACATTGCCTTCCTGGTTTATGTGGATTTAGTATGTTGCAGAAAGATCCTCAGAGAATCTCCCCATGATTCCTCACATCAGTATCATCCAATTGAAGCTGCTGCTTTACCTATGTACACAAAAGAGTCCATCTGCATCATTTCTCCACATCTGAGAAATGCCTTACACGATCTTAAACTTTCTGCATTGGAAGGTATACCTCATCCCGACTTTGAGGATCTTTCCCTGCATATTCCTTTCCCATATCTATGGTGGTTCAATCGCCGTGATCAGATTGCAAACACTGTCGCAGAATCAGATGCTGAGTCTCAGTGCTATCTTTCCCTTTTGCAGAACTACATGTTCGATCGATTACAGAGCGCCTGGTCGAAGGTCGATGAACTCACATCAAAAGGACTTATCACTATTGAATACCTTGACTACATCTATGTATGCATAGTATCTTGAGCGAGTGGTTACCGTTTTTGCTAATGCTAAAGGCTTAGACACCAGGGCAAATTCTTATATCGGAGGCCGTCGGAAATGACCTGACACAAACACAATGCTATCGCGTTCTGAATTGGATGAAGAAAACCTACAATCGATATGATGAGTCTCTTATATACACGATAAGAGCTGCGTGGTGGTTGTTTGATGGTACCTTTAAGGAAATCGAGGATGATCTTATCATCACTGCACCAGATCTCACCAACGAGTTCAAAATCGAGTCCCTTTCATATTATCCGCAACGTTTCGCTAGGCCTAACCTAGTCCGGTCACTTTTGGATCGCGGCAAGATGTTTTGGGAGTGTAGAGAGAGGAAGTATGTATCTACATCAGATTTCGGCGGGGACGGACTGCAAAGCTCGGTGAGAGTATTTCTTGCTATATGGTTCGAGTATGTATCACTAACATCTAATCAGATGGACACCCGATTCATGATTGATATGGAAACATACAAGTACATGCACCCTAAAGCTTCAGGGAAGGAAATTGAGCGCCACATGGCGGTCATTCGCACGATTGATCCGCAACAGATCCATCATGCTGAGCTGTCTGCAAGAGACGACTTCCTCATGTGTCTGCCGACTACCATCGTTGGTTTCAACATGAACAAGAAAGAATGGGGTGCGATTACTACCCACGCCAGCCCTAAGAATACCACCATCTTGCTGATTCCTGCGTCTAGTTAAACTCGATGTCCATACGCTCCGGGAGGTGAAATGGAATAGCCAGGCATTTGAGTACCTGGTTATCAGTCAAGTCACAAAAGAGCTTATTAAAGCAGTAGTAATCAATCAACTAGGCAACAAAGCCAATGCTGATTTAATACACGGGAAAGGCAATGGCCTGTTTATGCTACTGCATGGGTAAGCCAAGGAAAGCCACTCATATATCCAATACTAATGCCCAGTAGTGGTCCTGGCACTGGCAAAACTCTTACAGCGGAGAGGTATGCACTTTTTAGGTCATCTCGCCAGAATGCTCGCTAATTAATCCTACCTCTAGCGTTGCTGAGATCGCCAAACGGCCGTTATATAGAGTCACTTGCGGTGACATTGGGACAAAGGCAGAGGATGTGGAAAAGGTTCGTTTTCCGGCCACGTAGAGTCATATTTATTTACCGCTAATTCCAACCAGTACCTAGAAATTGTTATGTATCTTGGCAAGACATGGGGATGTGGTATGTATTTCCTCTTTTAATATGGTACCCAACAGACTGCTCATACGGTTATAGTGGTGCTTCTTGATGAAGCAGACGTGTTCCTGGAACAAAGATCTCTGGTCAACCTTGAGAGAAATGCCCTTGTCTCAGGTGAGTAGGGTATGGAGCTGCGATACAAACACGTACTAAATACCCTTGACAGTCTTCCTTAGTGTTCTAGAGTATTATGACGGTAAGCAGATAGAATATAGCTCTGCCTGCAGAGGCTTGTCTGACCATGTCAGGAATTCTTATATTGACGAGCAACCGTGTCGGTATCTTTGATGCGGCTTTCCGATCCCGAATCCAACTAAGCCTACGATATAAGAATCTTGGGCAAGCAGAGCGGCACCAAATCTGGGAGAACTTTCTCAAACATCTTGATCAATTTCAGCAAGACGTTCGATCCAGATTAACATCACAGCCACAACAGGTTTCGTTGATTGGATATGGAATGGACATTTCTGATTTGAGAAAGCACCTGGGTGAGCTTTCTCAGGCAGATCTGAACGGCAGAGAGATTCGCAATGCACTATCCATTGCCCGCCAACTTGCGCTTTATCGTCAAGAAGCATTGCAGTTCCATCACTTGAAGGATGTGATGGACGAGGCGAAGAAGTTTGATGACTATCTGAACGAGATTAATGATGGCTTCTCAGCCGACGATATTTGTAGAGATAGGCGGGAGAGATAATGAGCTGATGACGAATTCGATACTTACAACACTGCACTGACCATGTACAACATGCTGATGAGAGGCATCTTTACTGTCGTTTACATGGACCGAGTACTTTGAAGTTCTTGGTTTGCTACCTAATCCCACTCATCTAAGACTGCTTTCATTTGGGCGGCGGCTGTCGCTGCTGCGTAATACTGCCATTTCTTACTTTTATGACAATCTGCATAGTCACATATTCCCTTAATAACTAAACACGGAAAGTGATCCCAAATACCAGCACCCTCCATTTCAAATGCAATAATCCCCTCTTCCTTCGCGATCTTATCGCGCTCTTTCCCTGACTTCATGACCTTATCTCCCGACGCTACTGTACCAATATGCAGTTCTGGAAACTCTGGGGGACCTTGTGAGATGCCACCAGAAATCACATTGAGACGCTGCCGCGGGACTACCTGACTGAAATCACAATTGAGCTGCTGGCAGTCTAGCGTACGAGCAAGGTCACAAGCTCCAACGGCGCCACAAGTCCTTTCCCATTCGGGACATGTCGCAGCTTTTAAATGCTTGTGTAAAGATGATGGCGGGTGTAAGACATCTTCTTCAACACCCGGATATTGATACAGGACTCCGCCAGATGGCTCTTCAGTGGCCTGTAAGGACAGAAGATACCCTCGGGCTGCCGAAAGGACCTCCCGGCGAGCTCCACGGCCCGCCAGTCTGGCAAGAAAGCCCCTAATCTGGGAACCTGGCCTGCCATGATTATCATGAAGGGTCCTCTTTCGCTTGAAATCGTTAGGAAATTGCCGACCAAAGTCGTATTGCACGAGCCCATCACTAATCACCACATCTCCCAGAATACGTTCAACATTGGCTGGCCCAAACGGTACGCCACCGCATATACCAACCACCAGTGCTAACCTTATAGCTGGGAAGCTGATTCGGCAGCTAGAGGCAGCGCTGGCAGCAACCCCTTTTCCCATGCTTGGCAAATGGACGAGAACGACATTGTGCTCCCCCAGTGTTCCCAGAGTGTAAGAGTTGGTGTCTAGGATGACTTTTCCATATTCCTTTCGGTCCCATCGTTGGTCCATAAGAGATATGACGGCATCAGACTCCAGGACCAGAGCACAGAAGATGGCAATATGAAAGTCTTGTCGACATTTGGGTTTGGAGGCAACCTTCTTCAGCTTATCGACAGGCTCCTCACGTAAACAGGTTGAACCCGGCACAGAATCAGATTCAACCTGCGATTGAACTGCCACTCTGTCTCCAGAAACTTCAGTCCTAGGTGCGCTCTCAGTAAAATGCGATTCGGGGAGGGAAATCATGTTTCCAGGAATTCGATTTCTCCTCATGGAAAGGGTTGTTGCAGAATGGGTCAAGGTTGGGCGTCTAACAGAGATGGTTGGGACCCCTAAAGCCATGCCGGGTCGACAGGTGGCTATCATTACTCGAATCACCGTTAGTGGTGATTCTCTTTGGATGTTCTCAAAAATCATCTTAAACTTATGCGGCCATGCTAGTGTATCTGCATCGATCTGGCTGGTCCCAAGATGCAAAATGATGTTGAGTCTCGAAATGTTAGGTGCGATATTCTCAAGTATATCAAACCAAGCGCCTGATGTCTCAGCACCCCTAACTGCTTTTGTTACTTCGATTAAAGAAACAACTGACTCTGAGAGTTTCGATTGACGCAATGCTTGTAGAATGACGTGTCTTAGCATTACGATCGCCGCCAAGTCTGACGATCTGGCTTCGCTATATTGCTCAACCATGTTTATCGGTATATAGACCACGGGCTGTCGTGTTTTGATATGCTGTGCTAGCTGGCCTCCGAAAACTCCTATACGATTTGCAGAATCGAAGTCGCCTTGCAAGAGGAGCAAGGAAGAAGTTTCCTTCTCAAGCCATGAGAAAAGCAAGGGATTTTCCCAGATATCGTTGGTATATGTATTGGGAAATGTGGACTGGAGGTTGAACCGCGACAACGCCCTCTGCGTTATGTAGTCCATGTCCAAGTAATAAGAGTATGGCTCGCAAAAGCTAGGAACGTACCATGATAAGGATAGGTCCTGGGGAGTCTGCGCGAGAGTGTATGACGGGTCTAGCAGCCCATCTGCTCCATCAATTAGCGTGTAGCCATCAATAATAGCTGCAGGGATTCTATACCACGCAGGTATCGGTCCAGGCGTCGAAGCAAAAACATGTATCTTTCCCCTAGATCTGTTACCCTGATAATCCCAGGAATGTGCTGTTCATAGGTATTCCCGAGCGAAATCTGTCGTTGTATCTCGCTACGAAACTGACGGACATCATTGTTGTCCATTTCGAGGTCTCAAAATTTAAAGAGACCTGATAGTTTTGAGATTTGGAAGGTTAAGAAATCGGGCCCTACTGCAACCAAGCGTCATTCGCAGCCTGATTCTCACACAAAATATCACGTGCCACACTCGCAGCAAAGATTTCTAATAATAGTCGCAGGGTCCAGGACCAACAAAGATGTCAAAGACAGCTCCTCACCCCGCACAGCCTTTCGAATCAAGCTGGAGAGCCATAGCGGTATAATGCAACCCCCGAAAATTACATGCTCCTGCTAAATCGTTACATGGTCTCAATATGTCGTTCACTACGATCGTATACTACCTTGCCGCTTCTCTCTCGATCATCGTGCTCATGAGATGGCGCCTAATGGTCTTCGCACAAAAGCACCAGTTCTGGACACTCTGGTTCCGCCTGTCTTTGCATGAGCCATATCTTCTGAGCTCGTGGAGTGTCGCATCATTACTAGCGACTACAGAGGCTGCTTACGGCTTTGCACAGCGTCCGGTACTTCAAGAAAGCTATAACCGTCCGCTTGTCTTCTTGTCGATGGGAGTCATGTACGTCTTTGTCTTGGACTTCATGTATAGGTCCTTTCGAAATCGTCGCTATTTACATCTCCGCTGGAAAGCTTGGACTGGCCAAAGCCGAACGGGGATCTCACCGGGTATGGCTCAGTACATTGGAACGCCAGAAGACTGGAAGATTATGGCCCAGAACGGCTTGAGCTTCGTTTCTCGCCCTGTCGACCGTTTTTCCTGGGGCTATTCCGCTCTAATTACACAAGATCCGACCGACCTTCTCAAGGCTAGAGCCGAGGCGATTCCTACGGGTCAAACGACTCGTCCTATACAACAAAGTGGTGTTTACCAACTGACTGCAAACGGGGCCTCTGTATCGCTGGGTGAGAAGCTCGGATTCCAAAGGCGATGTAGCAGGGGTATAATGTCTGTTCCCGTACATCTATTCAAGACGTCACCCATGCTTAGGTGTGGCCTACCTGGAGCGCCGATTTGCCTTGCCTTTGGGATCCTGTCTAGGAACAAAGGCCTAGAGCCACGAACACTTATCTGCAATCTGAAGCAGAAAAGCTCATTTCGCCAATGGGAAGAAGCCGGAATCTGGCGCTCCAACCTATCTTCCAAGCGAACCTCTTGGGTCCTCGATTGGTCCGAGATCAACAGACCTTTCAGTTTTTCATCTCAATGAAGCAGCCTCCACCGGGTTTGTTTGGTCTTCAATCGGGCTTGCTATCTTGACTGCCTTCCTCGAAAGGCTCGTCACTTCACTTGCCTGTATAACAGAGTCTTCAAACTCGTGGACGTTCCGTTTTTGACTGGCAAAAGTTGAGCATTTATGGTGGACGCTTGTTTCCTTCCTACTGTTTACGTCCCTCGTCTGCAAGTGATTTCATTTGTCACTGGCAACAGTAATGAAGCCGTAACTGTCCTCGTACTCTCGACGACAACTTTGCTGGCGATCGTGCGGTACCTGCTGCCTGCCTGGAGAAGTCGACGGTACCTTCGTAACCGCTTCCTGGCTTGGACAGGCCCAAGCCGGACTGGTGTGGACTCTAACCTCATGTCATTGTGTGGGGACAGAGACAATTGGTTCACTCTGGCCAACCAGGCAAAGTCGAGAGGCACGAAAGGAGTTTCATCAGACAACTACGGTTAGCGACTTTATCGCGTTGATGGTATCCAGCTGGATCCTACCGACATCCTCTATAGATAAAGGCGGCCTATAAGGTTAAGCTTTAGGCTATAAATATAGATAATAAATAACAATAAGTTATAATTTTTTTCCTTAATATAAGCTTTTACTTAAAAGCTTTTATAATAATTAATAAATCTTATTATAAGCCTTAAGGTATTATAAAAAAAACTAAGAAAATATAAAAAGAGATATAACTTTAAGTTTATATCGAGGAACTTGAGAATAAAGCTCGCAGCGTCTTGTGGTTCTCGGATGGGTCGATGATCCGCCGTAGGGAGCGGAACGACTCCTTGGCCTGTACTGATACAGCATCCCAAGACTGTTTGAGCCTCAGCACAGAGGTATCGTCCAGTCCCGAGGTGACAGCCACAAGGCCATCGAAATTGCTCAACTGGAACAGATGCTGCGCGATAAGGATCCATGTCTCTATAACATAACCCCGGCCTTTGGGCTCAGCTTCGGTGAGGACGCTCTCTTTGACCCAGTTGGATATTCCGTTGGTGAGCTGGCACATGGCCACCACATTGGGAGCGTCTTTCGAGAAGCGAGAAGACATCCCACAAGAGATCCTGGAATTTCTTGTTAAGAATAAAGATTTATACAAGATAGGGTTACTAGAGAGCGGATCAACTATATATAAACCTGTCTCATGGGTCCTCGTCGATCAGTTGGCTACTGCGTGTTAATTAAGGAGATATAACTATTATACTTAAGATTACTATATATTAAATCTTGGAAATTTAATTAGCTATATATTTTCTTAACTTTTAAAGCCTTTAATATAGAAGGCTATAGGGGGCACTGTCTATAAAGTTAAGACATTATACATTTTATCTTATATTATCACTCTATATACCCCTATTGTGACGGTTGGTGGTTTCTAAACAGGTAAACTAGTCCATACTAGGTTTATGTTTATAGATATATAGGGCATAGTACTAAGCGCATTAGGTTATCATATCTCTTAATAATCAAGTAATGCGGGTTAGGCTTATTAATATAAAGAAATCTTAGTTAATAGCTAGTAAGCTTGGTTCTATCTAATGCTAAATGAGTATATTTTATAGAGATATAGTCACTGTATTAGTAATAAGAATTACTAGTAATTCTTAAGAGTTACTGGTAATTTCTAAGAGTTACTAGTGATTCTTAAGTGGGGATTAGTGACTGGTCTTAGCAGTTACTTGTGGAATCCTTTAGTATATAGTGATTGTGCTTAATTAGAGAAAAATGTAGGGTATATGTAATGTAGATACTAGGGTTATAATATAATCTCTCCCCTCTCTAGGTCTTATCCTCAAGACTTTGCTTACCTATCGCAGTGTTAGCTCTCCCTTGCGTGCGTAGAACTTAACTCTGTAATTATACTTTTCTAGTATACTGACTATATTATCTTTAGAAACTCGCTATTATCTTGCCTACGCTAAATTAATTGCCTCTAAAGGTTATAAAGTTATGCCTTGTTCTCTTTATATTAAAAATTATATGAAATATATAATAAAGGAGGGGTAGAAGAACTGTTCTAAGTATACTTATTGTAGTTGTTTTTGTAATAGTAAAGGTATAACGTTATTTAAGGGTTAGTTTCTTCTTTAGCGTATTATAGTATCTGTATTAACTGTATAGCAGATCGTTTAGTTTAAGAGAAAAATTGTATTAAGGTTAATAAGGAGGCTACTAAAGAGGAGCTTCTCTAACTGTAGCGTTAATTAAATAAGTGTTTATTGAAATTAATATGCCTCTATTATTAGAAGCGTGCTATCTAGAAAAAGGGTTTAAAGGCCCTTAAGAAGGATTCTTAGGCAATAGATAAGTAGGAATGTACTGAAAATTTAGTTAAGTTGTCCGAGTCTGCGGCTATTATTAAGTCTATTAAGGCAGGGGTACTAGATCTTATTGACTGGTTTGCTGTTTTTCCTTTTTCTTTTGACTTTCTTGATGGAAGTTCTTTAGCAATTGCTAGGCATTAATGAGGTGTTTAGACAGTTCCTATATGTTTTTACTTTCTAGGTAGTTTTTCTATTTAATAAGATACTCTGTTCTCTTATCCTCTATTTCCCTTATTTCTCTGATTACTTCTGCCTTGTAGACTTCTAGTCCTGTGATTTGTTGTGGTTTATTGCCGGTTCGAATGTGTATTGTATTAGCTGCTAATTCTAATATCGAGATATAATAAACTGGATAACACCTAATGTTCAGAGGTAGATCTAATTTATATCTATCTTTTCCTATTTACTATTTAATTTTAATTAATCTGAGATACTTGTAGTCTAGTTTGTAACTTGGTCAGTCTATTTTGATGTTTTTGGTAGATAGGTAAACCATATCCCCTTCCAAAAAGGTCAGTCCCTTTAACCTTTTAGGGTCATAGTACCTCTATATCCGTTTTCTAACGAATTCTAGTTCCGTCTTTATTTCTTTATGTAGATCCTTTAGCTTATTACTTGCGATAATAGCTATAGGGTTTATATCTTTAGGTTCCTGTATATTGTAGTATATATTAGGCGTAAATCTAAAGTTTGCATTAGATAGTGTAAGCTTTATACTTTTATTATAGGCGGTGTTATAAGCTAGCTAGGCGTATAGTAGCTTCTTAACCTAATTATCTTATTTATAATTAATATAATACTGTAGGTACTGCTCTACTACTTAGTTTATTCATTCTATTTAACCATCTACTTAGGGTCTGAATACTATAGTGAGTTAGTAAATGACTCCTATATATGCTATTAGCGCTTACTAAAATTTTAAGGCAAACATTAGTCCTCTATCTAAGTATATTTCTCTAGGTAATCTGTGTACTCTAACTATTCTATTGTAGAATATATAGGCTATTTCTTCCGCATCCGTTACTTCAATGTAAGGTAGGTAGTATAGGAACTTCATAAATTAATCTACAATAACTATAATGCTATTATAAAAGATTCTAGTTAAGGGTTCTTTTAATAGTAGTAGTTTAGTTATAAAATCTATTGTAATTAAGTACTATGGTCGTTTTGTGACCTCTATAGGTTGTAGTTCTCTATAAGGCTTGTGCTATTATGATCGTGTCCTTGCATATAGATTACATTACTTAACTGCTTCTTTAACTTGCTTTCTTTAGACTTTATATCCTTATTATAGCAGTCTTTTATAGGTTTTAGTAATACCTTAGTATCTATATAAGGGGTATATGTAGAATTCTCTTATAAACTCTTTTAGATTATTTCCTGGGATTTCTTTATTAGCTACTGGTTACATTTATCCTAATATCTCTATTTGTTAAGTAAATCAGTATTCTCCTTTTTTATTTACTTCTAGCACTTATTCTTTTGCCTTTATAGTGCTAGTATTATAATCTAGTTATTGACTAATTGTATCTGCTTTCCTGTTCTCCGCTCCTTTTCTATAAATAATTATAAAGTTAAATTTATA